TTTATCCGATGTTGCCTTACAATCCGCTCCAACGCGGTGTGCCAGTCCGCAGACTCCTTATGATGAGCTGCGTGTGGCCAGATTATTCATACCAAAAAAAGGTAGGTATGGTACTTCCAATTCCACTGTGCCGAATTGCACCAATGTCTATTTTCCTCCGAAGGCCCCTAGTAGGGACGGATGTGCGTCACAAGGGTGACATGGTGCTGTGGCACTCGCACACGATTTTGAGTTGGCTTGGCCATGCAACGATCATTGTTCATATCGATATTGAATTATTATTACATTGTTATAGCGATATATATTGTAATATTGAAGTCTCATTGAGGTATCCCGAGTCCCGACTCATAGGGATAGGTAGACAACTTGTGACTATGATACCGGTATGTCTTGAAAGACAACGCAGAATTGCTGCGTCGCTAGGTTGTGAACACTCGCTATCCATGCTGCAACAGGAGTGCCAACTTCATGAAGTATTCAAAGCGATTCTTAAATATGCACGCAATGAAAGATCTTTTATAATCCTGGTATTGGTTCATTTGTTCCGAATTGAAAGCCATGCATCAATATGGTCCAGAGGTCACGGTATCTCAAATGTCTCCTGCAACACGACGCTGTCTAGTCGCAATCTTTCAACCAATGGTTGCCAGTCGGCTGCCAACCAATATCTCCGAGTATATATACAAAATCAAACGCTCTCAGGTGACATGATCACATGAGATTTAGATTTAGATTTAGATTTAGATTTAGATGTTTTAACGTCGGTTCGGAGCCGTGGTCGGCTAAGTCGACGACTCTATCTATTTATTTGGAATTCTGCACTAAGCTTGATCTAACTGCAAAGCTCAAGTGCAAATACCTCACTATCAAATATGCATGAGAGCGTATGTGACTGACAGCTTAAAGCCCAGAAAGGCCCTAAGAATTCTGTGACTCCTCGAGTTCCTCGTCTCGAGGAGCTTCAATGGATAGCTCTTCACTGCAACGTGATGAAGGCATTGGACGTGACCCCGAACTTCCCGAACACAAGGATTTTGGGCCCCACAATGAGAAGCTAGTTACTACTAGTAGGTATCATTGGCCCATTGGCTGCGGGTCACGAGGGCGTCACAAAATGACCATCTTCATTGATTGGACAGCCAGGCACATATTTTAAGCTCTATCTGTTGGCCTTTGCAAGTTAACTTACATGCATATAGCTATATATGTAGCCTCCTCCTGGCATGTAGGTATACATGCGTGCCTAAAGAGCCACTGAGAGCCTAGCAAAACTTAGCTCAGTGCCTCAGCACTTCAAGAAACGGTGCAATTGTCCCTCTTGATGTAATCGCATGACCAATAAGCAATGTGCAAGAGCTAGACCGACCAAGCCTCGTGTGGACTATCATTGGCAGCCGGCCCGGCACACCCGTGTACATCGAATTAAGACTCATGATGCGTGGCCACGCCCTCACCAAAAAGAGGAAGGTTAACTACGTACTACTGTACTGGGGGTTGCATACCCGTAACCGTATGCCTGGCAAGCTAGCTGTGATGCGGCGGCCCTCACTATGTTATGCAATTGGCAACTTTTGTGGAGTATGGAGGATTCCTAGACAAGTCGGCTGGAGGACTCTTTGCTTACATCTGTACACGAATCTGGCCCTCAGCTGATTGGAAGGGGCCGACTGACCTGACGCAATCACCACCTGAATTCCTCCATGCATGTCATCCAACACTCCTCTCAGTTTTTGAGTGCAGCCCAAGAGCGCAGGACTTGACAATATTTGAGCATGATATCAAGATGGGCAACCAGCATCAGACCTTTAACCGCTCAGATGATTCAATTTCTGTCAGCCGCACTCCATTTTCAGTCTACTAACTTGTTTGCCTTGGATAAGGTTTGCATAACCAGGTACCGTAAAGCGAGAGCACTTTTTGAACAAGGCCCTACACGGTGCATTCCCGAGGGTTCCAGTCTCGCAGGTAGAAAAGCTTGGCTCTTCGTACTGGTCGCCTCTCAATGATCTTGATCTCTTGAATGTTAGGAGAGTACCTGCGGGGAAATGAGCATATCTATGCATGTCGTCTCTCAAAGGAACAACCAGAGCTCCTGATGCAACATGAGTGCAACAAAAAGCAACAGAGTAATCGCTAGGATTGCGAAAAAGTCCCGTTTTCACACATTTGCCTAGAGACAGCCGACAGCAGCACCACGGATAGCGACACACGTCAGTAAGCTTTTGCCCGTAACCAGTCAACTTTACGGTTCAGAAGGAATTGCAATCAACTTTACAAAAGGAAAACTCGGAAACCGCCGGGACAACCTGTCATTGGTTCACGGTAGTTACAATTGCAAATTATACAGAACTTAGAATCTCGCTCGAAGGCCTTCCTGCAGTGTTCAACTCACCCTTCATTGGGCCATTTTCTAAGAATCGGAAATCTGAAACGGAGGCGAATTTGCAGTAAGAGTCGTCGGGTTGAGAGAGGACGTGACGGGGGTGCAAAAGGTTGAGGAAATGGACGGACTCACAAGGGGTACGTGTACTCCATGCCCTCCCCTGCGACTACCCTTCGAATGACGAACGTAGAGCCCACCCCGCGGTTCCGCCGAGCTAGGCACACCCCTCGAACGACCGCTGTTCGCCGCCTGTTTTCCGGTACAATCTGCAGGCGAGAGACGACAAAGGAAACGGTTTAGGAACCTTCATTTCTTGGAGAGTGCTGCTTGGTATAAGGGACTGAGCCTCTACGAGAAAAGAACTAAAGACCTCGTCATGGAGTGTGGGTGAACGGTGCGTATCAAGAAGCAGCATTCTCCTGATCAAAGACGAGAATGAGCGGCGTCAGAGTTGGGAACATGCACGCGTAGGAAAAGAGTGATTGACGACCCCAATAGGAAGCGCTGAATGTTGTTAGCCGACACACGAAAGGGACTGAACAGCAAACTTCGGTGATAATTACAAACTCGCATAGACCTGAAACGCTGTATCCGTCAAAATAGAAAACAAGGCAAGCAGGATAATTTGAAGTCAGAAAAAGTTGGGGACTCAGCACACCAAACACGTATAGCTTGCTTATTCCTTGTCCTCCTTGGACGATTGAACCAGCAGAAAAGCAACGGCTGGAGCCTTCATGTGTAAGGGCAGGCTAAAGATCATGCGTAAGCGGGTCTGTGCACGATGTAATCCAGCCTAGAAGAGCAAGAGTACAAGGCAAATTCACGGAGACCCCGTTGGCTGTCACCCCCCCCAGCATCGACAGCTGACGTGGCGGACCGTCGAACGGGGGCGTAACAAACAGAAATGAGCCCAAAATCTTCGCTCTTGTTCACAAGGTCTGAAAAGGGTCCGATCCTGCACTTATGGTCGATAGGTGTGCGGTCAAGAAACAAAACGAAGCCTTAGGTCAAACGGTCTGCAGTGCACGAAAGCGGAAGTGTTGCAACAGTCAGAAAGATGAATGGGACCCTGCTTGGCAACATGCTATCATACTCTAACATCTTCTTGGCGTCCTGGTTCGAGATGGTCCGAGATGGTTGGATTCAAGTGACCAAGTACCGGTTCCGTAGCTGACCCAATGGAAAATGCAACGGGATCGCAATGCGGACTGACTCCCAAGAGAGCAAGTTCAAAAGAGCAAGCCTAGTAGAGCAGTGCATGGAAGGGCAAAGTAGATCGAAGCAGAGTTCGCACCAGACAAATATAGCTATTGATCTAAAATTTGCTACGCTCATTTTCTGTGTTAGAAACCAGACTTCTCATAAGCAACAAACGGTAGCTTAGTTTGGGACGTCTGACACCTGTCCCGAAATTATCGCCACTTCTGCAAGCCCTTCTCCTTCTCCAAGCGTTTCAATCCGCTAGACAGCACCGCGCCCGGAGAACAGGGTTATACATGCGCAGACAAATCAACATCGCGAAAGTTGTGTTTGTTAGCAGAGTTAAGAACTTGCACGGCGCACGTATAAAACGGGCTTACCATGTCTAATTCTAGGACATCCCCTGGACGAAAGTCTGGGTAGTTCTTCTTTTGCTTCAGCTCTGCCACAGCCTCCTGGTCCAGAATCTGCAAAGTGCATCAGCAAGCAGTTTAGTGTACCGCACAGGATTCACGAGCATGGAAGTCTCTGATTGGCAGGGACATCAGCAGATGGAACTTAACGGCTCTCCCCACTCCTGTAAAGGAGTGGGGAGTTTCCTGTAAGCAAACCTTGTGACGAATTGGTCGTTATAAGGACTAGCCGGCAACGTAGTGTGGATACCTTGCAAATGTTATCACGTTCGCAAAGCCCCGCTTACGTTCATGATATGTTGCGCCGTTTTTCGGAGGGCCTTCGTCTTCTTCCGGGGGGGCAGAGGCGGCAGCGCCCTTGCTGGCTTTCCCACCCCCTGGTCCATCGAACCGCCGCTCACTGGAGCATCCCGCAACCCCGATTGCGCAGCGGCAGCGGTAGCCAGCTGACGGGCCCCAGGCGGTACGTCAGCACTTCCCTGAACGGCCTTCGCATTTGTTTTCCGTTTGAACGCCGGCCGCAGCTTCGAAACCTCCTTCTGCTGATCAGACGAACCGGTCCCAAAATTGCTGACCGTTTGGTTGGCGTTCGAGGGGTCTGGTGCACCGGAAGCAAGAGAAGGCCCAGCTAGAAACGCAGTGGTTGCAAAAGAGGCCCCTGGCTGGCGAAAGGATGCGGCAGAGACAGCGAACTGGGAGGAGGATTTGTGACAGTGGGGTCTGAAAGGTCGAAAGAAGATGCGGCTAGAGAAGGAGGGTGGATCGAAGCGCGCTCGCTGAGTTGAGCACGGGCTGGAGGGCTCGGCGCCTAGAATTCTAGAGGACGGTTCGAGGGAGGGGCTGGAAGTGGATGCGCTGTAAGTTGATTTGGAGCGCTCTGTGCACGAATCTGTGAATTCAGCAGCATCCTGGAGGGTCGCAGCTGACTTCAGCATATTATGCTTCGGGCGTGCTGTGGTCCTAAGGGCCTGCAGGAGGAGAGATGCAATGGAATGCTTGAGCTGTCCGCCTGGCTCAAAAAGGTAATCTTATTAGATCACTAATGCGATGGTGCCAGGATCCTTTTCAAGAGTGAGGTCTCTCTCAGTGCACACCAACTGCTGAGGCATTAATCAGTTACACGTGCTTCCAAGAGGTCTGACATAGCTGCTAAAGGAACTCAATCTGTCATCCGCCAAGCACGCTGGATGCACGTTCTCTTGCTGTAACACAGTTCCAACAGAATGTTCTAAATTGCAATATTTCACCAGCTATGTTAACCCGAAAAGCTTCCAGCTCGGGATGCTGTTCTAAAGAAAATGCTCCAAGAAGGAATAAAATTGAACAAGCGCACGATGCAAAGAGTGGTGCTTTTATGAGAAAACGAGGATATAAATGGATTTGGCATTACGAGTGAAGGCATACTGCATCTACAATCTGAACTCGGAATAAGGTGCCACATTCTAACGAGTGCGCATGTACAGCGGAAGGTGGGCCAAAACCAAGACAAACAGGCACCATTACCAAACAGGTTGAGCGCTTCCGGGTAACTGTTGGCAGGTTCGGCCGTGCAAACAGCAAGCGCATCTTGAAAAGGGCAGCAATCACTGAATGTGCCTGTAACCCCACCGCTGGCGAATACTCACCTGCCGGATTGCACTGCCGACGCATAATTGCTTCAGCCCCATCCTTTGCTGGCAAAGGGACCCACCCTCCTCTTTGTCTTCAAAAGCGGTACTATGCACTACCACGGGTGGATACAGGAGCTTTCCAACTTTCCAATAGGTCCCAGCTCAAGGGGGGGGGGGGGGGGTGGAGAAGACTTCCACAGCTCTTGATCAACATGAGGGGTGCCACCGTATGAAAATGATATGAAAGCAGAGTTCGATTTGCTGGTGCCGCAGTGGGCGCTAAGGCCAGATGTTTAGGGGTCAGATATAATGTCTGGCCTACTGAACTGAAGCCGTCAATGACGAGAAAAAACCAATTCGAAGCCGTCCGATGAGTACCACGTCATCCGAACAACAGGTTGTCTATTCAGAGCAGCATGGATGCGGACGTGTTCAAGCTTATTCTCTGACTCCTCTCGGACTCGCCCGAGAAGCGTACCCGGCCGACTGTTCGCAACGTGTCCGCAGCGTCCGACGGATTCATATTTGCGCGCGGCGGAATGTGGGGCCCTGTTCGATCATGTTGAGATAGCAGGTCGCTTGAACCTCATCTTGTAAGTGAGACAAGATCCTCAGCGCAAGGCCTCAGCCCAAGGTTGACCGAGTCACACGTGAACCCTAGGTTTTATGTCAGATCTAGAGCGCTTCGATGGAGTTGAAGATTGATTCCCTTCCAATGACTTTTGAAGTTGAAGTTGACTCACATTCCATTCACGATGGATCTTCAGACATGGCCAGGGCCACAGGCGGGCACTGCGGTGCAATGAGGGCAATCATCAGAAATGCAAGGAGAATGAAATGCCAGGGTCTGCGCTGGAAAGTCTGTACATTTCAAGGCAATAGGTCCTCCAGACTCCATGTGTTGCACCGATACATATGAGTCTGGGCCAAGATAAATGCGTTTTGGCCACAGCATTGGCAAAATAGTCGACATCATTTGTAATCAGTGGGGCGAACAAGTAAGCCCTCCTCCCTCGGTTGAAAGGTGTGGAAGCAACAGTCCCCAGCATTGCCAGCCGGGTGCCGAACCGTCAGTCCACGCCTCTGTGACAGGAGTAGTCTGACAACCAGGCAGCCCCAGACATTCCTCTGACAATACGCCATGGGTATCTTCAGGTAAGGATTCTCTTTTCATTCCACTGCGTTAGTCTTTGGTTCCAAGGGCGACCTCTGCCGCCAATTCCAGGGGCCCAAGGGGCGTTGAAGAGGAATACTGCCTGGGGGCAGGCCATGATATGTGCAATGCTGAGGGGCTAGATGCGTGCCGAGTGTAATAGGGTCCGACAAGTATCACAGGCGTTGCGCTGCTGCAGACCGTGTTGCCTCGAGAATATGAGGAGAAAGACACAATCTGTATCTGAGGGAACTGATAGGGGCGCCCCAGAGAAAGACAAACCAGATTTTGTGGTAAAAACCGTGGAATGTGGTCAGGGCAATACTTCTGGTCTGGATACTTCCCTTGGCGGTACTTAAGGGTTATCTTCCCCTGAATCAGGGGAAGTGTCATTCAAAGTGTCCAATCTGTGGCAATCATGAAGCAGGGTCTGCTCATTCCGGAAGCCTCTTGAACATGCTAACAATAGGGCGGGGGCCGGTATATCGAAATTGAAACATCACCAAAAAGACAAGGAAATCTGGAATTGAAGTAGACATTCACTGAAAGACACTGCCTCACATCACCACCAGTAGTACAATAACAAAGCCTCTCTTCTTGCTTTTGTTGTCTTCAAGCGGCCTGCGATACCGTAATGCCGCTCACATCCATCAAAAGGACACGAAGTCTTTCTTCTTTCCAGTGGGCTTTCTTCTTCCAAACTCGCGGTCTTCAGCGCTTGGCCCCATTCTGCAAGGTCTAGCGATGCAGCAGTCAGCAAAGTGCGCCTGCATTATCGTTCCCATACAGAAAGTTTCAAGTCCAGACCATCTTCCCTTCCTTACTCAATCTGAGACTTGGTTGAAATCACGCCCCTCAAATCAAACCAATCCTGAACTGGAGATCGCAGACCTCTGGATTCCCCGTAAGGCAGAATAGAGATCCCAGAGGGCTCCAACAGATTTCCAAAAGATGCTGATGGTGTTTCCTTCTCCTTTCCAGCAAGAAGCCGAAGCCCCGATCAGAGGCTGCCAAGGCGGAAGCGGCAGCCTTGGGTCCAGTGGTGTTGGAGCTTGAGGGCAACAGGCTCACGTTTGAGGACGGAGCCTGGCGGTCAGGTAAGGAACAGCGCCTCGACATCGAAGATACAGAAGGCACTCTATTTGTGCTGGCAAAGTTTTGGGGCCTGTTGCAACTGGGGTTCAGTCTTTCCTGAGAACAGTGCTGTTCTGAGGAAATGGTGGAACCAATCATTATGATATATTGTCATGAGATTGAAACGCTGCACAATGTTCAGTCCCTTCAACCATGCTTCTCTGCAAGATGCTTGCAATCGGTGTAACACTTTCGCACCTGCCAGAGTCGCTGCTCCTGACTTCAAAGCTTGCACTTTTTCCACAGCCACACGCTGACGTCAGCCCGTCCCACCTTGCAGATTACTACGGCCCCATCCCCAAATCGGCAGAAGGCATCGAGCGCGAGCTTCTGGAGCTGAGGGTTCAAGTGAAGAAGCAAGCCGCCGAGCTGGAGACATATGCCGCGCAGGCAGAGCGGCTGCGGGAGGCGAGAGAGCGGTGGAACTTGCTGGACTTCAAGTACCAGCTGCTGATGGACATGGTGAGGGATGGGGTCGACTTCTAAAACCCCTGAAGCTTCTTAAGATACTAAGCAGATTGTATTTCGGATGCTAATCGACTTCGGTTCAGTCAACCCCAAATCGAACCAACTGAAAGAGTTTGAACAAGAGTGGACCAAGGAGACTTTCTCAGGACGTGAGTGTCAATAGTTTATCAGCGCGAAGGTGGAGTAGACGGCTGTGGCTCTGCGGGCAGCTGCTTGCGTGAACAAGTTTGGCACGCTTCGACCTGGGTTTACGGAAGTGAAGAGTCAAGCTCGGCAAAGAAATCCTAAGACAAGGTTGCTGCTGAAAGATTCCCAACCGATCCGCGGACATACTTTAGTACGGAAATAACTTGCTCAAGCAGAATCCAATGCTCACGAAAAGACGTGGGCTCCGTGTAACGTGGATGTATTGCTCAAGAAAGAACGTGGGTTTTTTGTGGTGTATCAGAGCCGCTCGCCGGTTTGCGATATGGAAGACGCACTCCAGGGCCTGTACGTTTTTGAAGATCCGGATTCCCAAAGCAAGCAGAAGTACTCTTCTATCTTGCATACGTGTTGTGGTTGAGACGTCATCTGAGTGCTGGCACTCAGTCAAGACCCGAAACTGCACACAATCTGACTCTTACTGTCCGTTTCTTTTCCAGTGGACTATGCGAGTCTTGGACAACGACCGTGACCTTCACGAGTCTCGAAGCAGCAAGGGGAGCCCTCGGAGTCACATTCATTAGTATACAGATGTATGTAAAGACAGAAGATCGATTCAACTAGTGCTTGGCGATACTGCCTTGCTCCCAAAACAACACTGGCACTACACGTAGGTTGGTCGAAAGTACCAATAATCAATTTGGGACTGCAGTTTCGATTCACAGGGCTAACGCAGAGCTCTGCTCTAGCCGTTCGGAACCGACAGAGATCACTTTTAGTGTTTAGGGACGGCCCCGAAGATCACTCTGCAGAAGAGGTTGCTCAGCATCATGCAATTTAGAAAGGCCTAGCGTACAGTGATTCTACTTTCGACAGCGAAATTAAGCAAGCAGATAGGACTGCAGGACCGCTGGCAAATCCTGACGATAGGAACTGGGTAGAGGTAGTGATACTACGGCAAAGACACGGTGGCTTTTACAGTACGGAGACAGACGGTGGATACGTGATCGGTTGAGTGGACGGGACTTGATCAAAGTAGGTGCAGGCAGATACGATGTTCTTTTTCAAAGCTCGATAGAACGTTTGCCGGAAGCAGAACTGTTACAGTGACCGTGTGGGGTTGAATAGAGCTGGCTAGCTGGGATTTGAGGTAATTGCCGTCTGCTTTCGAACAGTCCGAACGGGGGCCCTCCGCGAGGCCTGCGTTGTATGTTCGACCCAGTACGTTCTCGTCATGCATATTTCTGAGCCAGCTCTAAAGACTTGCTGATGACAGCGCGGCAATATTCCAATTCAAGATCGTATAGCTCGAGCTTAGGTGCATCACTTGCACTTTATCCACTTTTGCACTGGGCCCATGAAACATGCTTCAAGCTCAATCTTCTGACATGTAGAAGCAGGTTGAGAGGGGCCCTGAAACGAATTGAATGGCATCCATGTTATAAGTTTGACTAGGAAGTGTCGAATGAGTGGAAAGATCGACATGTCCATGAGGTGCTTAGAACCCTTCAGACGTAAACGGCCATAGCGGCCGCATATTGCATAAGCTAGCCCCTCTGGGACCTGGACCAGCTAGTATCGTGGTTCCTGGCAGCATAACGACACGTCCAAAACTCGTCTACTTTGAACAATTTGGAAGCACTTCGAAACCGCATTTGCGAGGCTATTGTGCAATATTCGCGATCTTGGAGCACGATGACGTAGTACTGTAATGTGTGATTGCAGAAATAGGAGATAAATATCCGAGTCATCTAGCCAATACGAGCTGCATTGTGCTGCGCATTTATCCAGATCAGTCGCATGTACTAGAGCTGTGTATGTTGTAACCACGAGGAGCCTGAAGATCCCATGAGAATAGATTGAGGGCCAATCTGTGGTTCTATTTTAAAAATGATCATAGCCTCATGCTCTTCAGGCGAACGGCTATAATCTGTAAATTCGCACATGCCCTGGCGGCATCATGGGCTTGGTTGACTGTATCAGGCCCGGGCGTTGATTCTGGCTCATGGCAAGTTTATATACAGCTTCAGTCCCCATAGATTTCTGACAGCACCTAACGGCCGCACAGGACAGGCCGCTCGGAAGGCGCTGCTGTAAATTTACCCCATGAGCCCCCGTGTTCCTCAATATGATCAATACAGCTCCCGGCACATCATTTAAAAATACCGTTTAAGATTTTCTGACGGGACGTTCTGACGCTTCAACAGACTTCCATAGGACTCGTGCAATCGAGCAATCAATCTCGTCCGCACAATCATGGCCCAGACATAGCCTATCCTGAACCCGGAGGTCGCAGAGTCGCGGTGAAGGTCGCGGACGAAAGTCGCGGAAAGTCGCGAAAAGTCGCGGAACGTCGCGGAGCATTGCAAGTATATAAACATAAAAGTTGCTTCAAAACATGCTTTTCAAAGATTGATAAAATCGCGGTGAAGGTCGCAAAGTTCGCGGAACAAAGTCGCGGAGCAGTTGCGGAAAGTCGCGCAGAATCGCGGAAAGTCGCGCAACGTCGCAGGCAACTCTGGCAACCTCCGGGCCCAGGATAGGCCTAGACATGGGCCAGACATTCCGACGTGAGGATGTCTAAGCTGGTGTCGCGTCTTCCCCGCGTCTTACATGCTAGCTAAGACGGGTGAACGACTCGCATTCGCCGCTGCTAGTAGCCTGTAGTAGCCACACGCCGCGTAGGCAGGGCGTACGCACCTGTACTACCTGTGGCACCCGCGTGGCACTTCAGGACATGGAATCTCAGAATCTACACAGCATCATTGGAACAAGCTACACAGCGAGAGAATAGGAGAATTGTATCAACGTGAGTCTTGTGAGAGGACTAGAGGAGGTGGAAGGAGGTGGTGTAGGAAAATTTCCTGAATTCCATGAGTTAGATTGGAAGTGAATCACGCGGTTGCGTGCAAGCTTTCGTGCATTGTCATGTATTGTTCTGCACCGTTAGTTAGGCGTTAGTTTGCAATTTCTCAATTTCATTGCCGCTCGATCGTCCGTTGCAGACTCCGCTTATCGGACGGTGGTGAGAACTGAAACTTTGAACCGTACTTATATGATCAAAGGACCGTCAGGATGTTCCCTTCAGACCGGATTGAAACTTCAAACTTCAAAGCTCCCGTCGACATCTCTTCGCGCCAAAAGCAAAATTTTAGAAGGCCTTCAAATTTCCCAGGATTTGGAGATCCCTCAGTTGCATCAGCATGAGCAGATTCAGTCGCTTGAGGTGCTCTAGCCTGCAAGTGAAGGCTGCAGCAGTTGTTGCATTTCATAGGTTGAGCATCCAGGTAGGAAGCTGCAAAGCTGGGGCAGCCGAGGGGCCGCTTTGAATGACCTGGCAAACTATTGGTGGCCAATGAAATGCTGCGAAGTGTTCGACCCGCGTGAAAAGGCTCACTGGATTCTGGCAGTGGATACTTTTTGTTTCTTCTCTCAGCATGCCAGATGAGCAGCATGCCTGACCGCAACGTGCAGCATTGCATAGGCCGCCGCTGCTGAGAGGGCTGGAGGCACCTGATTAGGGAGAGTACTCACTTTTTCAGGGGTTTCGTTTCAGAAATTGTTGTTGAGGTGAGGTTTGATTATACTGTGCATGTACTGGCCAAGATGTTCAAACACAGGCATGATCCTAGTGAAGGTTGTCCAATCCTTTGATGGCTGAGATGTGCTGTGCTCTGAAATCAGAGAAGACTTTCTGGATGTCCAATCTGCAATCAGAAACGATGAAAAAGGCTGGTTTTAGCCAGGGCCTGCCCAAACCCTAATTCGAAAAGGACTGCCAACATCCTGTCAGCAGGTGGCTTGCGCAGAGCCCCAAATGTCTTGCACGTTCAGATTGCAAGAGAAAGCTGAAGAGGCTACATCTCATCTTTGCCTGACGGCCTCTTTTTTCTATTCTCAGGACAATCCCACCACCAAAGATTTATTGAGTATCACATATGTGTATCTGCTCTTTGCAGTTGAAGCAGCGGGCACAGAGCATGCATGGGTGGTGAAGACCCATTTAAGTTCCCAGTTGATCTGGAAGAGGATGGCACTGGCAGGGGCTCCTCAAAGGGGCACAATGGACTCTCACTCCCCCAGCTAAGAGCAGGTGCGTATTGGCCAGTTGAGGCAGGTCTGCTTGGAGCCAAATGTTTGGATCATTATGACCAGGAAAGTTCAGCGCTTGCGACCGTTGGCTGTGGCTTGAGCTGATTGTCCACTTTATATGGGGCATCTTATCTTGCCTGAGAGATGTGAGAGAAAGTCTCTTTTTGGTGGTTCGTTTGAGGAGATGCATCGAGTGTAGCCATGCGTGTACGGGACAAAGGCCCGCAGAAACACATGAGGGCACTAGACATGACAATGATAAGGGCCACCCAATGCAGCGCTCCAAAAAAATTCGTTCTTTCTACAGCTCCTACAGGGTTGGGATCTGGGGCGATGAAGAAAGGAGGCACAATCGGGAGCCGCAATGTTGATGCTCTCAAGGGAAAGCTGGCGAAGGGTAGCTCAAAGCAAGCGGGCTCTAAGCCAAGCTTATTCCAGAGTGTTTTTGGGGGGAATCATGTGCGGCAAGGCACGGAGGGTCGAACGCCACCAAGCAGAAGCTCAGAACGGGTGGCAGCAAATAACAAGGTTGGGTCGGGGGAATTTTTTAATATTTTCAACGGTACTAAACATGATGGACCAAGACAAGTTTCTGTGAATACGCGCACGGTGGGCACGGCGGTGCAGGGTAAGCGGGCGAGCAAACTTCGTGAACAGTCAGACGATGAAGTTGCAGAAGTCTTGAGTCCAGGTAGGAGCCGCAGAGATGCTCGTAAGGTGCAAGGGGCTGCAGCCGTAAGCCGGTTGAACGGAACCAACGGCCGGGCTAGCAGGCGGACTGATGAGGGGCGCGATGACGAGGTTGAACCCGACTCAGAAGAGGAGAGTGAGCCTGCTAAGACTGGGGCTCAGTATTCAAGAAGGGAGAATCGGCAGAAGGATAAGAAGAGGGGGGGGAGTGCAGAGAAGGATATGTGGGAGGCTAGCGGGGCTGGCTCGCGGAGGGGGGATTGGAGAAATGCCAAACGGAGGGCCTCAGAGGGGGATGATGGAGAGGAATTCCAGTTGCCGCCTGCAAAAAGGGACAGACCGTCGCAGCAGACAACAAAGCTTGATAAGGATCCAGAGTATAAGGTAATACTGCATTCTCAGTGCTCTTATTTGGGTGCTCGACTTAGCCTTGAATAGCACTCGAAGTGAATCTTGAGTAGGTTTCTTTTACAGGTTGTCAAGCTTCTTACAAGGTCGAATGCAGATGATGGCAGAGCCTCCCAGACAGCTCTTCGGTGTCAGAGCTGAATGCCTTTGTGAAACCGGCTTCTCTGTCCTTGAGTTTAAATCTGCACCTAAAAGTACAAGTTCTGGAGTTGCTGTCATCAACCTGAAATGAATTGTTTAGTGCATCAGTTGATCCTATCATCGAATTTAGATTCGTGCAACGATGAAGTTATACAACACTTACGCACTTTGTGAACCTGCCCGTCTCCTGGCCAGAGCGCCAAGCTGAGAGCTTGCTTTGAAAAAGGCTGCCAAAAGTATGCATGTTTCTTATTCGACACTTGCTGTCATTGTTAGCATCAGTGTAATAAGGTACGCAATTGCTTCCAGATTTTTACTTTCTGAGACCTAAGTCTTCTATCTAGTCTCCTGACAAACCCTTGCTTTTGTTCTACAGCCGGGGACGTCACGTTGTGCCGTCAAACGTGCTGCTCAGAACACCCGCAAGGCCAAACCCGAAGTACAGGTCATCAACCTCGACTCGGAGGAAACCCCTCAAAAGGACAAGCCTAGTGAGTGATCTAACACGTTCTTTCTTAGTCATTTTTCCAAATCAGGTCCAGGTGCACTCGTGCATTTGTGAGCGGCGTTGCTTGATTTTGGCGAACCTTGTTAGAGCTACGGCATCTCTATTCTCGATATGTTGGGGCGATACTGGCAATGTCATAACAGTGGGCCTCGAGATTGAGTGGTCCAGTCAGTAGGGTCGAGCCTGAGGAGAGTCGTGAGACAGTCTGCCACAAGGAAGGTGTTTTAATCAGTTGTGAGCAGTGGCAAGGTGGTTCAGCCTGACTGAAGTCACTCTGCCCCAATCTGGAGTGGAGAGTTTCTTCGTCGGCATCGAATACCAGTGCCTGTAACTTGCGACGCTAACGGGGCTTTGTTACTACAACGGTCTAGGTGTCAAGAATGGGACCCACTTTCAAGCCTCCCGCTCTATTGAGACAATCTCCCTTGCGTATTAGTTGTATATAATCGGGGGCATCAAGGAATTTGAGTTAGAAGTCGCTCGAGATTGCAACCTGCTCATGTGATCTGAAGACCAACTGATGGTCGCAGACCTATTCAGGGTCGCAGAGTATGGTGAACAAGAATGTCCGGAGTCTTTCGGGCCAACTTCTGACAAGTCTCGTAATATTGCTGCAGCTGAATCAGAGCCTCAAGAAGGGGTGCCTCGCCGCTTAATCCTGGAGAAACAAGGGGCCGGTCCATCCTCTACTCTCGTGAGTGGTTGCATTTGCAGCCTTGATGGATGATGGTCCGTGTGAGTGTCACCAGATTGAGAAGGACCACTTCTTGGAGTACTTTCAAAGTATTCTATTCGTTAGTACGTCCTTCATCTCGTTTGAGGATGTGCAGAGCTTTTGCCCACTTTTGGTCCAATGAAGTTGCATAGTAGCAGGTTTGGCAAGAGAATCGTTTTATTGGCACGCCTCGTCAAGCTCTTTTTCGCCGCGATACACGACCTCCAGGGTCCGTCCAAAGAGCAGACTCGTAAGAATTCAAAAAACGTTTACACCCAAGGAAGGTCATTGTCTTGGCACTGTTCGTTCTGCAGCTGAATGAGGACAACATGTACCAGACCGGAAGCTGCTGGCTGGGCAAGTTTGCTGCACAGAATTGCACAGTCTACTTCGATGCGCACCGCCTGCGCATCACGGTGCCTTCAAAATATGTACAAGGCGGGGCGGAGGCTATGACATTTCATTGGGGCCTAGACGAGTTGGCCGACGGCAACAGTTTCCTCGTGGAGGTACGTATGCTCTCTGCTCTTTGATCGTTGATCACTGAAGGCAACCTGTCGGAGTGAGGAAAGATAGGGGGTGGATGACGAAGCGGGATTTTTTGAGCGGCTTTTGCCCAGGGAATGGATTGAATTCGTTGCTGGGTGCCCGTGAAGACAGTAAGGAACGTCGACCTACAACAAGGCGACTCGTTTCTTCAAAGAGATGGTTCTTTCGGGTTGATCGTTGATTCTTTCCATCTCTTCCTCTCCATTTTTGCGCACTGTGAGAATCATTTGTGCGGTATTTCATATCTGCAATGGCATCTGTTGAGTTACACCTCTTCCAACAGAAACCTGACTGACGGTGAGCAGCTCGCTCGATACAGTCTGACGACGACGTTGCTAAGGATCGGCTGCTTGCGTTCCACTTCAAGGGCGAAGTGCATCCAGCGTTGAGTGCGTACTTGGACCCGAAAAGTAGAGGTACGAAAGCTTGCCTTCTGTTTGAACCGTGAAACTGGGTCTCGATAGTCGGTTTCCGTTTTTCCAGCTCAGCGAAGCAACTCGGTCTGTTCTAAAAGGGCTCGTCATAAGCGTTGGATGTGTTGCCTTTTCGCAGCCACATTCGGGATCGGCTTTGAAGCTCGTTTCAGTCCCTGCTTTGCTTCCAATATGGTCCATTTTCGTTTAATAAGAGATCAAGTCCAGAAACCCCAGTTTTGTTCTTTTAAGTTGGAGGGTTGACTTGCTCTGTAGATCCAGCTTAAGCTGTCTCGCCGGTGGCATCCCTGGCGAAGCAGAACGGTCTCAACCTGCTCAGTAACTTGCAATCGTATTGCCCGTTTTTAATCCTCTTTCGCGGTGTGATGATCACCATCTGCGGAGTCGAGTTGCTACATTGATGGGAACACATTCGTGTGCCAGCTTCTTTTACTTGAAAAGGTTCCGTTGGATCCACTTCTTTGATACTAAAACTCCTGTTGTATGCAGACCTCCATGCTCGTATGGTCGCCTTTGAACTGGACGCCGACGAGTGGAAGGCCCGCCGGAAAGTGAGCACGTGGCCTGACGCCCTGAAGGGTCATTTCGTCACGATGACGTGAGCACTTCCGTTCTGACTCTGGCTGAAACATTTTGACACATATGCTGTACCCTGGTACTTTTGAAAAACTAATGGGACTTTCTCCTCCAGTTGCTAGCTTGGGCAGTCGGTCAGTGTACTGAAGGGATACTGACTGCTGGGGAGTCCTTCAGTCGAGCATTAGAGATCGTTTCAGGACTCGGAACCACGTTCGAACTTTGTCTCATGAGCCTCCAATGACTTCTACGGGACGCTAAAACAGAGTCATTTATTGATTGAGCAGCGTACATTCTGTGCTGGCCTCGCTTTTCAAGTGCCAGTACGAGTGACTGCCTCCCATAAGCTTGGAGTCTGACTCCTACAGAACGAAACGTTCCACCTTACAAGCTCCAGGCTTCTGAGTTCTTTGAGAATTCTACCAGACGCTTTCTGTCCACTGCTTGCAACCCTGGCAACAGGCAGGCCAGAGTCAAACCCCTGGTTAACGCTGTGCTTCTTTTCTTCGCGCACGAGCACGCCAGTCGCTTTCGGTACGTGTTGCTTACGTCATTTTCATTGCCGACAGGCCGGAGTACATCAAACAGTGTACCAACGGACGGCCAGCGGAGAGCGCGGCGCTTCTGAACCCGAAGGCCGACCAGCGCCAGCGGGCTGCCGCCCTCGCGAGCGAGTGAGAAGCTGCATCTGGTTGATGGTTTGAGAGTGCAGGCGTTTCAGGGTTTTAGGGTTTTTCTGCACGTGGATGCGCCCCGTCTGGCTGCGCAGCGTTCTTGCGGGCAGGTCTTGGAGATGTAGTGAAAGCAATTGGACAGCTGGTGGCTTGCTTTAGAAGTTTGAGCTTTTCATAGTCTGTCAGGCTCTCTTGGTGAAGAATGCTTTGAATGTTAGCGCGTTTTCCACGAACCGCTTCTTTCTCGTAAATTGCGCAAGTCGTCAGGGCCGCTTAGCTTGCCTTGCGAGGAGCTCGAGTCTGCTGTGTTCCATTATACCCCCAGAGAAATGTCAACCTTCGATTGGACTTGCTATCAATCAGTGTCTTAGCCAGCTGACGGCCTCCAACAAGATCCTTGCTCGACGATTGCAATAGCGGGCGGCGACTGACGAAAGCTCCTGGAGGTGAATCAGGGTCGGCACTTGCTTTAACAACCATTCGCATTGCTGACGGATTTCTGCTGCACCCCTAGGCACTACACCCGGCCCAGCCGCCACCAGAAGCCGTCCATCCAGACGTTCCACTTCCCCCCAAACGACCCTGACGCCGTTACCATCTCCACCACCGACCTGGCCCGCCTGGAGCCCCACGAGTTCCTCAACGATACCCTCATCGACTTCTACATCAAGTGAGCGGGTCTCAGCTGATTGGTGTGATTTGACTTACGAGTCTGTGTAAGATCCACATCAAAACGGTTCTATGTTGGTTGTTTTTCTTGGAAACATGGTCTACCTGAAGCAAAGATCCGGTGGACGAGCTAAGCTTGTTCTTGGAGTCGCTCCCGCCTGTAAGGAAGGTGTCAATGTACTCCTTGGGCTCAGTTCCATAGCGTGGAAATGAGAATCCCAATAGGCTTGTTATGGAGGTGAGAGGCTCTGCACGAGGCTCCGCTGCCTTAAGGGACTTCGTCTCTAAAAAGTGTGCGATCTGTTATCTTAGCTGAGCTGGGACTGATTATGCGGACATTCTGGTAGGTCGACATGTGCAACTGTGTCGTAGTTTGTTCAAACCTTCTCCCAACCTTCTTCTTTTGCTACCTTGTTTGTGTACCCTCAACTTTTCTTTGCTTCGGCTCTCAAAGAACAAAATAGTAGTTGGGCCCAAAAATACATACAGCACGATATTATTTGCCTATCTTGCCAGGTTGATAACCCTACGACGACAGCGTATTTGAAACGCCGGAAGTTTTGCGAACAACGTAAATGAAGACACTGATGAATTGAAACTTCCAAAGCTGCGATCTTGAATCTGCCAGCCCCTTCTTTCGTCAATTTCTCCAGATTGCCACTTGCCACTAGAGCGATGCTAAAGCGCCGGGACTTCTGTAGATTATGTGAACTTATTTCGCGGAGTATCTTCATCAACAGTGCTGAAATTCCAGTTATTCTCGTGTAGGTTCCTCCAAGTGGCGAACCTGTCGGACGAGCACGCGGGCCGCATCCACATCGTGAACAGCTTCTTCTTCAAGAAGCTGACCGAGACTGCGCAGGAGGCGCGCAAGCGGGGCGCGTCGGGCGAGGAGGCCTTCCGGCGCATGAACAAGTGGACACGCAAGGTCGACATCTTCCTCAAGGACTTCGTCATCGTGCCCGTCAACCAGAGGTGAGGCGACAGGACGTCACCTTATTTTCACAAGGTCTTGAGGCTTTTCCGGGTAGCGAACCTGGACATTGAGGGCTCAAGCATTTGGCGCCCAGTAAGTCCGGGACTACTCTGTTTGGTTCGGAGGTGATTTGGCGGGTGCCCATACGCAATGGAGGTGATGTCATGCCCCTTGCGCCTTCCTGCTCTCATCATGCATTCTTTCCTAGGGGAGTGCACTTGAGAAGAATCTCTCGCCTTTTCCGTTCTGATTTTCCTCATTGACCACCTCCCTGGTATTCTTCCTCTTATTCGTTGGTAGTAGAAGTGAAACGCGAATCACCGTGTCTGTTGCGTTGGCTATTGTTGAGTGCCGTTTGCAACTGCGGATGTTCTGCTTTTCTAAGAATCTTGTTTCGTAGCTGTGTCCCTTTTCGTTTTAGCTGAAAGTTTCGTCTCCGGCGCTCAAAATCCGGAGGTTTGAATCCGCATCAAGCCAGCCGGCCATTATCGGCCCCCTAAGTTGAAAGGAGTCTCCATTTGTCCAGGTCTGCTCTTTGACCAAACCTCCTGTCCTGCACCTCCCGCACCATTGCTCCGTAATATTAGGAAGCCCATTCAGACCATTTTCAAAATTCAAACCATCCAGAGACAGATACTCCCTACTCAGACACTATCTTGATGAGTCGGAGCTTGTGGCCCCAGTATTTTCTATTGCAAAGCATCAACGTTCTCTTCAGCTTGTGCTGGATCCTGGCCTATGGCTGGCGAATACAGACTTGCTGCAATTTGCATCCCTCAGGGAACAACACTCTTCGGAAATTTCTCAACGAACTCTATCTTGCATGAGATCAGTGGTGTTTACTGCAGCTTGCACGGGAGCCCGGTTGCTTTTTTGCATCTGAGAGAAGGATCATTGAAGTTTCAACTGAGCAGTTTTGTCGTATCCCAGTGGTTCCTTTGCGAACCTTGATCAAACTTACGGTCGTGGCTTCTCTGTACAGCTTGCGCCGGAGCCTTGCCATTGTCGCATATCCCAAACGTGAGTCCCCGATTCTTTCATCAGTTCGCAGTGGAATCAACCTTGTCAGATCCAAAGGAAGTGCAGCCCAAACTTTTCTCAGAGACATCACCGATCTTTTGTGCAGTTTGCACTGGAGCCTGGCCATCATCGTATACCCTGGCGGCGGGGACAGCATCAACGGCAAGCTGGCCGGCCCGTGGTTAGGTCAGCGGACTCCGTGCATCCTGCAGCTCGACTCGATGGCGGGGGGGCATACCAACGTGGAGGATCTGCTGCGACAGTGAGTCTTTTCACGCTTTCACCTTCACGTTATTTTCTGGGCGCCGGAACAAGCTCAGTCTCCGGAAAAATCCAGGAGCGCTTCGTCTCATGAAAGATACGGAAACTACAGTAAGAAACTCGGCGGGAAGTACCAGCTTCTTGAAGAATGCCGGACTGAAAACTGCAATGGGACAGTCGGAGATCCACCGGTTTCGCGTTTGGTGCAGACTGCTGTTGTTGTTTTTCGCTGGCCGCAACCACAGCCATCTAGCAGGGTCGACCAAGCTAACCAGAAAGGTTAGTCAACCTACCTAGGAAGGTCAACGCGGCTAATGGATGGCTTTTCTTGCACACGTGTCCAGGTACCTGACCGAACTTTGGCTGGCGACCCACCCCGATGAAGAGCGGCCCAAGGGGAACGAGCCCTTGCAACAGTTTTCGAGGACGGCGATGCCCTTCATCCAAGTCAAGGTGTGTTCTCAATCCTTTGCTTTTATCAGTGTTTTTAGTGTTCTCAATCCTTTGGTGCTGCACAGCTTCCAATTTTCGGCCCCACATCCTCCGAGCAATTCCGTAGACAGCGAACTGCAAGCAGTCAGACCGCCGTTTGCGTACCTCTGACTTGCTGCGTCCAGCATGGCTCAGAACGTTCTTAGAAGCTGCCTGTTTCTCGAGCAATGCCTTCGCATCTGCCTTGGATCCGCTTTGTTCCTTCCTCGTGTTTTTGATCGGGGCTACCGGTTCTAAGGCTCAAATTCGTGCTGGCATCTGTTTGAGGCTGCTGAAAACTTGGTCAAGTTGGAATTGTCCATGTGCAAAAAAGCTACATCAAAGTGCTCGACGGACTAAGAGCATCATACGCGCTTAAGGGTAGGAACTTGTAATACTGCCTTTCGAAGCGCAGAGTCTTCTCAAGGGTCGCCAACGCCTCCCAGTAGTACGCCCCAAAGCCCCGCAACTTGAACGCCGTACCATGCATTGGTGAGCCGCTGACGTGGCTGCTGACATCACCCTGTCCATGTCCAGGTCCCCCAGCAAGACAATCACTGCGACTGCGGGCTGTTCCTGCTCCACTATGTCGAGCAGTTCATCGCGGACCCTCCCCCGATCTTCGACAGGCGGTTAGGCAGCGCCAGGAAGGGCCATTACAAGGTGGGTGATGATTGTTTGGGGTTCAGCACACCGATGTGACAGCTTATTTCTCTCCAGACTGCTCGCAATTCTGACCCTAAAAAGAGTTTTGACGTCTGGTTTAATAGCGAGATCTGAAGGCGCTTGCTGATTACAGTCGTACAAGATTGGGACGTCCGTGGGTGTTGTCGTTTGTATCTTTTAATATGCGGGGGCGGCCTGATATCAAAAACGAAAAGAGGTGCAAAGCACGAACGTAAGTTCACGAAGATAAGTTCATTGGTTTCGCTTCCTTTGGAGGAGAACATGGCTTGCTTTCATTTCCCCGTTTGAGCTAATGTAAGTGCCGCCTCTTTCTTCAGATGACGCCGAACTGGTTCACCCCGGGGGAGGCCTCGGTGAAGCGCGCGTACCTGCGCGAGCTCGTCATCCGCCTGGCGGGCGAACTAGCGCAGGGCAACACGGCGATCCTTGACCGGGGCAGCCTCAATGCGCTCTGGACTGACGTCACCCATGGCGGCAGCGACGCCGGGGTGGGTACGCAGAAGCGGCGCGCCGACCGGGGGATCCCCCCGGCAGAGGACGAAATCGCCGAGGCGCGGCGGAAGGACGCGCCGAAACCGAGTGCGAAGAGGCCCCGTAAAGAAGAGGGGAAAGGGGGGCCCGTGCTGACGTCAGCGTACGATGAGGAGTTAGAGAGGACAAGTGGGGACGAGGACGGTGCGCGTGCTGCCGCAGACGGGCGGGAGAGCGCGCGCGCTGCGCCGTTGACGGAGGAGGACTTGCGGGCTGCGTTGAAGGAAGATCCTGGGGCGGCTGTCGACCCGGACAATCCGCTCAGCGTTGACCTGGATCCGTCCCCGCAGAAGCGGAAACGGAGCCCGGGAGCGGCCAACGAGGGGGGCGATGCGGGAGCGGCTGATGCAAGCGGGGCGGCGGGTCCACAGAAGGAGAGGGGTTCGTCAGAAGAGTCGGGACCATTGGCCTTCTACAGACGACGCCTCGACCAGATTGCTTTGGAGGAGAAGGCGGAAGCTGTTCGGCCGTCTACGCTGAACCAAGCGGTGAAGCCGGCCGGTGCGGCGCGGCAGAAGGGTGCTGACGTCAGGCGGAGAGACGCTGACGAACGCGTGCCGGACTCGGAAGACGAGGAGGAGGAGGCCCGGCGTGGGGACAAGAGGGAGCGGTCCGATACGGCAGGAAGCTGCGGTGGTTTCGATGCGCGGGTTGACCGGATTGATGCGGAAGCGCCACGAAAGAGAGCACGGTCAGAGGGGTTGGAAACGGCCTCTGCACAGGGTGGACGTTCGGAATTTGAGCAGTCGCCTGCCGCCCCCAGCGAGAACGGCGGTGAGGGGAGCGGAAGCGAGGGTGAGGCTGTGGCGAGGCGGGAAGTGTCCGGGAGTGCGCCCGGTAGGGGGATTGGCGCCGGGCGCGGTTTGGGGGTTGATTCCGCCAGTCCGAGCAGTTCCGACGGAGTGCAAAGATCTGAGGGTATCTCAGAAGAGAAGGGTTGGCAGCGCGGCATGGATGAGAAGCGGTCAGAGGTACGTGAGCTGACGGTTGTTCTGGACGGGGGCGGCGAAGCCGAGGAAAGTGGGGGGGAGAAGGAGCCGGGGGAACGGAGCGGAATGCAACTGGTAATTCATCCCGTTCTGGGGGAGTTGCACGAGATCGACGAGCTGGGGGGTTCGCCGCTGTCGGATAACGACGGAGAGGACGGTGCGGGGGAGTCGGGAGCACCGCACGAACGGGGCTGGTCGGAAAGAGGGGCAGCGGAAGGTGCGGGGGAAGAAGACGGGGCCGAGGAGGAAGCCGTACGGGGAGAGAGAGGGGATGACCAGTGGTCTCGGGAAGAGGAGGGGAATCGAAGCGGGGCGGCGGGAGGGCGGTTTGAAGATGGAAATGGAGGAGAGGGCGGTTGGTTTGCTGCTCGGGACAGAGGTGAGAGCCCTGATGCCGATGCGGACTCGTCCCGCGAGAGCTCAGAAGAGCCCAGCTCGTTTGCGCAGGGAACGGAAAAGGCCCATCGGAGGAGCGGCAGCACGGGGGCGCGTAGTGCGCCAGACAATGCGAGGTTGAAGAAGGATATTGCGATCGGGGTGATGCGCGCTGTGAGCAGGACGCAAGGGGGCGAGGTGGAGAGCAGCGGCCGCGAGGGGGCGGAGCGCGAGTCCTTGGGAGAACTAGGCGCGGCAGGAACGCCGGGAGCGTTTCGTGCGAGGTGGGCGCCGGTGGGAAGCTGGAGCCCCGGCGAGAAGGGTTCGGGCGGTCGGGAAGAAGAAAACGTGAGGGACAGGCCAGCGGGGTTGGCGGGGTTCTTTGGGGATGAGTCGATGGAGGGGAGAGAAGGTCCTAGCAGAAGCGCGCACGAGGGCGGGGGCGCGGAAGCTTGCGTCACAGACGGCGAGGAGAACGAGAATGAGGTGGACTTTTTGGGAGAGGCCGTCAAGGCGCCCCGGGGGGATGCGGCCAGCGGGCAAACGGGGGAGGGGGCAGAGAAAGGCGCACTCCGGGGGGCTGAGACGGGCGTTGAAGCGGGTAGTGGGAGCAAGCGAACGCCGGTTGAAACGATTCTGCAGAAATTGAGGGCGCCAAAGAAACTGGACGGAGAATCAAAGTTGGGGGGTACGAAGAGGCGGGTTGAGGCTGTGGAGCGGCAAGGGGAGGCGTTGTCTAGGGGTGATGGAGAACTGGAGGGCGCTAGCCGATCGGAAACAATGAGCGGTCCTACCGAGGAAATGTTGAAAAGAGCAGAGAACGCTTTGGACAGGCTTAACGCCAGAGTCCGAACCGAGCAGTCTCTGGCGGAATTGCGACAGGGAAACGAGTTGGAAACGGTTGCGCAGCCGCAACCGGAAATGAAAAAGATAGACCGAATGAGAGCCAGAGCAACCCAGAATCTTTTGAGTGGCTCTCCACAGAGGCCAAGCAGGGATCCGGGTTACGGGGAGGGTTCGGCGACGGAACTCCGGGTTATGCTGGACGAACCGACCGGGTTAGCGCCCGACGAGGCAAATAACCCGGGACCCGCGGAAGTGCCCGATAGTCCAGTTTTCGAGCCCGGGGCGCATGAGCGAGGGCCGGTTTCTCAGAACTTTAGTCAGGAAGACGATCAGAGAAGCGAATCAACAAGCGCTGAGGCGGAGAGTTGGGACCGGGAGGGGTTGGCCGACCACAGGAAAGGAGGGCCTTCCGGAGAACATGGCGGGACGAGTGACCGGTTTTTGCGACCGGGAAAAACGGACCGGGCCTCGCTGACGGAGGACGGTGACGCGCGATCGACGGATCGGGAGACAAAGAGATTCCGGTCGTCGCTCGACATTGACGCTGACTTCAAACACTACCTCGCCGAAGGACGGAGAGACGATGAGGCAGAGGGAACAGATGCAGAAGAGGCGGCGGGACCGACTGATTGGTCGGATGAGCTGGTTCAGGGGGTGACGATACCGGGCGCCTTTCCCCCCGAGCCGGCCAGCAGCGGCTTTCAGTTCCTGCCCCTCGGTGAGAAGGGCCCGACCCCCTCGGGGTTTGAAAGCGGCAAACCTGTCGTGACTAAACTCGGTGAACCTCGCAGGGGTCTGAGGACCCAAGAGCTTGTTCCGGCGCCGGACAGCGGAACGACTGCACCAGCGGAAGATGACGACTGCACGATCGTCAGCGCGCCGTCCCGGTCGCCCCTTTTTGGACCTCCCGGGCACCAGGGCACGCGCGCGGGGGCGACCAGGCCAGGGCCCAGCGGCACTGGGCGGTCGCCAAGAAACGGGGAAGTGCATTCCGGAGGCGGGCGGTCCAGTCAAAACGGGGGGAAAGCTGGCGATAGCGCAAGGAGCTTCGCAAACGGGTTGGTTGGGGCCAAGGGAAAAGCGAACTTGTTGCAGACCGGGGCTGTGATCCGCCGGGGGAGTGGCCAGGCAAACGGGAGCGGGTTTGCGGAGGGCGTGGCTAACGGGAAGAGCGACGGACTCAAATTGACGGGATTTGAGGATTTGGATCCGGACGAGGATTCGGAGGGGTTTGAACCGGAGCGCCGGCAGAGGCGGGCGGGTGTTGAGGGGGGAACCGAGGGAATGGGAAGCGAAGATGAGTGGAAGGCAGGGGGCGAGAACGGCCTACCGCTGAGCGAGGGGGGGAAGGGAGGTGCGGAGGATTGGGCGGATAGCGAGCGGCTGGGTGGGGGTGAGAGAAAAGGGCCCCGGCTGAGCTTTGGGTTCTGGCAAGAGCGTGGCGTGCCGGAGAGCGAGGGCGAGCGGAGGAAATGGAAGTCTCTGGAAAAGTTGATGCGCGAGACCCCATCCCAGGAGCAAGGAACGGGCGGCGAGGGTTGGGGGGATGAACGGGAGGAGAGGACGCCGCCACCACGTGACGTGGCAGTGGAGGAACCATCACGTCACCGTGCGCCAAGTGACGTGGGGAATGGTGTTAGAGCTGCGGGGAAAGCGGCCGAAACAAAGCGGGAGGTGTTGACCGTTGACTCAGATGAGGACGAGGAAACGGGAGTGGACGAAAGTGCCGGGAACCGTCCCAAGCGATCAAAGCGCACCACACTGGAAAAAGTGAAGTCCCCGGAAAGAAACAGTCAACTTGAGGGGGTTCTGGCCCGGCGAGCAGCAGCCGCTGCAGTAAGATCGAGGATCCTCGTGTAGTTGAATGTTCTTGCCATCTGCTATTTGGTACGAACGGTCAAAGTTGATGAACCTTCACAATCAAAGAGGAGGCACAACGACAATCTGATCATAGCGTCTGCACGACAACTGCAGTTCTCAACTTTTTTTTCAATGACTGCCGCTTCAGCACCCAGCAAGATCTGAGAATTTTTGGGCAGACTTCAACGGGGGTGTTTGAAAGGCGTGCACGTTGTCAGTTGGGCGTATAGCTGCTAGCTCTGCGCTTTTCTGCGAGGCCTACTTTTCGACCATGCCGGCTGCCAACCATCACTGGCTCTGCGAGTGGCTGCCATCCATCACTGAGAAAGCTTTCATCTGAGATGTGTTAGCTCGAGCTGCACACGTGAACGAAAGTGATGATTTGAGTTCGATTAGTTTGCCGAACGGTTGGAACATGATGCATGGGATCTGACAGCTCATGGTGCCCATGATCGTTCAATGCGACGCTAGTGCACGGCAGCGCATGTTCGAATGATCAGTCTGCCAGACGCCTTCGATCGATCATGCAAGAGAGCAATTACGTAGGAGCATCAACCAGCTACTTTCATAGATCCGACCTGGCACTGTCGCACATGTGTGAACCCGAGCAATCTCTATAGGAATTGTGGCGCCTTCGTATGTGGTTCGATCGAGCCGAGCTCTGCGTTCGAATGTTAAATTGGGCAAGACATCAATCATGGATCAAAGGTGACATGTTGGATCGCAAGCACAGTTGACAGTCCCACTGCAGTAAAACAACTCTAAGGTTCCGGCGTTTTCAATTGCGGCTGCGCAGCTTTCTCAGTGCGCAGTACGTGTTCATACTAATATGTCTTGGTGACGGTGCCCGAGGAAGTTCACTTGGTTGATATTGATTTTGACCCACATGCTATTTAAGGTCAACTCAGCCGTTGGCAGAGTGTCATTCCATCACCGACCGGCAACATGACCGTGGACACTCTTGCATCTTTGGCAACAAAGGCGTTGAATTGACGGAGCGCCTCTGTCTTTTTGTCCTTGACTCCCGAATCCGCGACCTTTCCATGCCACAGCACGTTGTCCACCACGATCAGCCCCCCAGGCCGAATCTGCAGCCAAACAATTGTCTGTGAAGTGAGCTTTCGACGTGTTTCGTGCGTGCACATCTCGTCAAGATGGAAATAATTCATGCGTTAAAGATCCTGTAGGGCTCGAGTGACCTAGTTACGGCATCCAGCCTTGAGAACGTACAGACGAATCGTGGGGAAGCCCGGGACACCGGTCTTCCCCACGTCAAGCAGGTGCCCCACAACTTAATCCACACATACAAAAGCAGTGCACGTTTTGAACAGAACCGGATCCGCATTCTGTGTGTCGTATCGAACGTTGCTACTATAAGAGCACTTCTGTAGCTTGCCCTGTTTCGGGAAGTTCTCTCCAACTGGAAGTCATGAAAGCGAGCGGGCATGCGCAGAGCTGTTGATGCAGGCGTGGTCCCAAAACTGCTTAATTAGTACCGAACGGCAACTCATTTCGCCCTCGCTCTTTTCTGCGGAACGGGCCAACATGGCAACGTAACCAAAAAACGGTCAGAATGATGCCAAGCAAGGACGCATTTCCGAACAAGCCGTACTTACCAACTTGAGTAGACATTCGAAGTAGGCCAGGTACGACCGTTTGTCTGCGTCCAGGAAGGCCATATCGTACCTGCAAGGAGCATGTCGCTGCGTAAGGTTTCAAAGTGGATGTGCATCCTGGAAGGGGAAAACTTGGGTGCACAAGAACATATTTCGTGCAGCTTCTTGAAAAAGAGAAAACGGAGAATGCGAGCCAGGTGCGGTCTTGAAACGGAATCGAAACAGCGACTAAACGAAGTCTGAACACCGAGAATCATGTCGCGAAAGTTGCATGGGCATTAAAAGAGAGCTCCCGCGTTTGCATATGAGCCCGGTGGGAGCGGCAGATGGCTGTCCGATCTCTCCCACCGACCAAGAGAAGACGTTCTTTGAAAGCGTCTGACCGTCAGCTTTCCAACAAAGCTCCAAAGTGATTGCGGCTCAAGATAATTGAAGCAAAGTGGGAGCCTCAGAGAGCAATCTGACGATTGTGAAGACCAGGATAGAGTGCCGTCGAGCTTATTACCCGGGCAAGCGTTTTCGAGCAACGCCTAAGCACACCGCTTTTTCGCTCTCCTTCTCAGTGCGCCCTGCTGATGAGAACTATCAACATCGACAAACCATCATTCCTGCTTCCGATTGCGCGCCGACCAATCAAACACCATGCCCAAGCTCCTTTACACTCACGTGTCGGTCTCCCCCGCAGCGATCATTCCCTCCAGAGTTTCCAGCGCCGGTCCCAGTCTTGCGTCAACCTTGTCTCGAACCCCCCCTTCTTCCCAGTAGCGGGACGCGATCTTGACCCACCGAGGGTCCCATTCACACGCCACTAACCGGCCATTGGCAGGCAGAGCCCGGGCCATGGAGAGGCTCGAATAGCCGGTGTAAACGCCCACTTCTATGACGAGTTTCGCTTGGCAGATGCGGACGAGGAAAGCCAGGAGCTTGCCTTGCTCAGGGGATACCTGCGCGATTAGCAATCTGGGGTTTATTCTTGGTCTCCAAGGGTGCTTTCAACGAGCGGAGCTGGGCTGCAGGCTTTCCCCGGATATTTTGCAAGGCCTTGGTGTGGTGCTTTATGTTAATGTGTTGATGCTTACTGGTTTGTTGCAATAGTTAGAGATGATTCTAAAATGATGCCCCTTGGCCTTCTCTAGGGAGGTCGCTGTTGGAACGCCGGTCAGAAACTCAATCAATATATGGCAGTTCCTGATGCGGTACACAGCGACTAGATCAAACCAACAGCGCCAATACAGAGAACACAAAACAAGCGAAGTACCTCACGTGTGTCCCAGCATCCATGTCACCAGAACCACTGATATCCAGAATTTGTCACTAATCATAGGCGATACCTGGTAAAAACAAGGAGCAACTGTACAAGGTTCACCGCCATCTGCCAGCCGAGATGTAAAAGTCTTGTCCACTCTCAAACTGTCCATTCTGAGACAATCTCTACGAGCTTCATAGTAAGGGGTTATGCGTCGCACCTGCTTTCTGTGCAACCCCTCAGACATTAGATTAAAAACAATTGGAGTTCAGAGTGGGCCACGTACCGCACCTGCATCGAGGCCCCTGCCCCCGGCAGCTTCCCCGTCTCCTCTCGCAGCCTCGCAAAGATCTCCTCCTCGTTATTGTGCCCTAGAAGATAGCTCATCAGCTGATCGTCCATCTCCAAGTACGGCTTTTTAAGTGGTGCCAGAGGTTTTTCAACATTCTCTAGCTGTGGCGCTGGCTCTTCTCTATAATCTCGGCAGTCCGTTTGAGTTGATGCTAGTTGGCTGCGGACTGTGCTATGCAGGCTTCTGCAGAGGGGGCCCTGAAGTTTAAAAGATCTTTGGCTGAAAGTCTGAAGGCGCTCTAGTGAAGGAATCTGATTGAATGCTTCAGAAACAGTGGTGGTGGTCATGAGGTGAAGTGCTGAACAGTCTGCGGTGCTCGTTCCATCTCTTTTTCTAGGTGGACTTAGCTGTCTATCTCCACACCGTTGCAACCAGACTGTCAAATGGGCCGGCAACATCCTGCTGATTGCCTGATCAGACGACGCCAACATCCTACGTTTAAATGAAATGTGCCGCTTATCCGTTGTGAATGACCCAACTCCTTCACTTCTCTTTGCTGCAGAGTTTCTCAAGCTCCGCCGACAAAGAGCGGGGCCAGAGCGGCCGCCGCATGCCCTGGCCACACGATCAAAGACTAGAACCTCCATTGGCCGGTTGATCCTGCACCAAATGTGCGTCATGCATGACCCCGCTGCCATTAGAAAAACAAGTTTAGCAAACTCAAGGCGTCTCCTTACTGACATTCGCTAACAGGATGGTCTGCAGCAAGGAACTGCTGCCCCACTTGGCCCCAGGGCCATGGCGTCATTGTGGGTCCAACTGGCAACAACCTTCCGATGATATGTGCGTCTAAAATGGCCCTGGCACGCTAACCAATTCACAGGATTTAACATGAGATGCAGGCGCATGATCTGTAATACGTGAGCTGTCTATTCTTATACGTCGACTTAGGTTCTGAGAGTATCCTAGTGCATTTGGACGTAAAACAACTCAAGGCATGAATTTTGCTTGGAAGCATCAAAATACTTCAAAAGCGTATTGGATATTACATACGCACTTAAACAGCGTTTATAGTAGGGTACCCAAGGCCCAATGCCACATGAGGCCTTATGAGTACGTATACGAGAAGAGCCACGGGACATTTCAACTTGGAGGCTCTGCGGAAAAGCTTTGAAAGGTTCCAACTTCCAACTCGTCAAGACTCAGCTCGGTGTGGCTTCTTGTGCAAGCATAAATTTGAAGCTTTTGGGAGGCGACGTTGCAAGGGTCACGCAGGGAGGTTTGGAGACGGGCCTGCACGTTGGATGCAGAGGGTCCAGCACGTAGCAGCTTTTTTGTGATTACACGGGAGTCAATCAGGCATTTCTGAAAACTGTCGCTCTGGTTGAGGCCTACGTGTGTTTCAGCATGGCGTCCGCAAGCATGGCGCTGTCCTCTGCATTCGCCAAAACCCTAAACCTTTCGACGAGCTCGTTCACGGGCTCAAAGCTGTCTGGGGCGCCCCTCAGCGTCCCCTGTGTGGCCAGGCCCCAGCAGACCCCCCAGATTGTTGCTAAGCAGCTGCAGGGGAAGGTGGTCCAGAATGTTTGCGACAAGACGGCGTCCATTGCTGTGACTAGAATCTTTGAGCACCCTAGGTATAAGAAGCGGCTACGGATGGTCAAGAAGTACCCCGCGCATGACCCGGAGAACTTGGTGAGTTGCGTGTCAGCATTGGTAATGGTTTTCTTGGTCGTAGTCTGGAAGGAGGGCGCTTTCTCTATCCTTTGGGGGTGAAGGCATTGGCAGGCCCACGGTTGCATTGTTGTGGGAACCGAGTATGCTTAAGCATATCTCGCTGCATTTTGAGCCAAACATGTTTTTTTGACAGTAAGTATCTCGTGAAATGAGGCGCCTCTGTGAGAAGGTGATGCAAAAGTAGGAACGTGCAAAACTCGGCCTTCCACTTTGTCCTCTGGAGCTGTCATCTATTTGCATAGAGTCGTTGAAAACCGGTGTTGTACCCGATAAGATGAGGAAGTGGTGTCATCATTGCTAAGTGGCTCATCAAACCTGAGCAGTACCAAAGTCCTTTAGGTGTCTGCTTTCTTGTCTCCAAGTCTATTCTTAGCGCAGCCGCCCTTGATTGCATTGCCCTCACATGGTTCCACGTGCTTGATGGCATGACGACCACCGGGGCTATGATGCAGCTTGCATTTTGTCAGAAGCGACGTTATGTGCTTTTTACCTTGACATGCTTCGATGATTGGAGAGCTTGCATTTGGTGCTCATACTGCCGCTGATTCCAATGTGGTGCCTGGTGCATCAACTGTACAGTCAGCTGCAATCAGTGTTAATCGGTCGCGCTATTCAGTTGCCGAACCCCTTATGACCTTCCCCGACTATTGCTTCTGCCACTTGTGCTAACCCGTGGCCAAGCGGGAAGCAATCGCCATGATGGCATGGTGAGGTCAACCAGCTATAGCTGATTGGAATAGCATATTGTCACTCCTGACAAACTTGGGAGCAGGCCCGTCGACCTAACGCTGATCGCTATCTTCCCTCCGCAGTGCCAAGTAGGGGACTGGGTTACCATCAAGCTGTGCCGGCCGGTCAGCAAGTCAAAGAAGTTTGCGGTTGTGCAAGTGAACGGAAAGAAGACGATGGCGGAGGAGATCCTGCAGCAAGAGCTGCTGGACAGGAGAGGTGAGGCTGCAGGAATCCGCCGCTCCTCCTACCTCCTAGGCAAACTTTTAAGGGGGTCGTATGTGAAGCATATTGGGGTTTCTCCCCTGCTCGAGGCAAAGGACTCTCCACCGATGTTCGCCCGTTTTTCTGTTTCGATGACTTGCTGGAAGAGGGGGAGGCAATGGGTAATTCTGTGACATCCTGCCCAGTTGTTTGCAAGGGCGCTGAGCATATAGCAGCTTGAATTTCCTTTTGGTTTCCGCTCTTGGGAACTGCAATCTGAAATCCCGCTGTTCGTCCCCTGCTCGAACTGAGACCTACCACAAGCAGGTTCCAGCTTATGTTCAGACTCGCCGAGTCCAGGGAAGGGCACTCTGTCTATTATTCAAATTTTGCCCTCTCGTTCCTTAAGCGCACCAAGCTCAAATATTTGCTTTGAACTGGTCAGGAACTGACAGCCGCTGTCTTTGCTAGCATATCTACAGACTTGCACATTTCAGACATCATACAGTTGAATCTTTTAGTTACATGCTCTTTACCTCTTCTTCAAGGAGCCGTTCTCATCAATTCTTTCACCTGGTCGCTGTCCAGGCAAGAAGGCTTTGCCTTCATTCAAGGAACATGTCGCGGAGTTTGGTTCACCTCTTGTGGCCGCTGCGCAATAAAAACGGGGTTTGAGGAACGAGTTGTGAGTTTAGATCTTGTACGAGTTCTTCAAAAGCAGCAGTCTGCTCAGGAGAATGCTTATACGGGACGATTGTTGGTTTACGTACGGAAGCTGCTGGTGGAACGAGGTTCTTGGAAGGTATATGGTTGGTACCATTTGGGTTGATGGTGCTAGCTAGTTTGTTGGAAAGCGACAGCCAAATTCATCGCAATAGATTCATTCAAGGGCACCGAAAAGTTTCACGGTTCTCCGACATGCAGCTACCTTTACAGAACTCAGTCCGCTGCAATGATTTTTCATGCCGTATAGCTCTGCTGCATGTGTTGAGTCGGCTTCGGGTTTCGAAGTTCATATTTCTGATGCAGTGATGATACCTATCTTGAAAGCCAGTCTTTTCCCATTAAATAGGGCGAAGTTGTATGTTGAGATCTGCTTTGGCAGGTCCTTGATTGTCTGCCGCCCTAGCCGCTGAATGCAGGCCATGTGCTTTCAATGATCCGACGGATGGTTTTGCCAACAACTCGACCCGTTGCTTGAAACGTTCTTAACAGGCTTGACAATAAAATCGGAGTTAGAATTGTAGACGTTCAGGCCTTGTGTCTGATGATCGGTTGCCATGTCCGTTGTATACCATGTGTGCACATGCCGGCGGCCACCATTGAGCATTTGGACATGGAAACCTAGCATGCATGCAGTACAACTCGGACCATACGTATGCGGGCCCGCGACGCGCGTACTGATTTGGAATTCAATCGACTGGTCAGCATGCATGTGCATGCCATGGACTTGTGGCGCGCCCGGGCTGCCAGAAGCCCGTACGTACATGGGGCGGCCCTGCAATCGGATCTGACAGTAAGATATACATATTGCGGCCCTGCTGCCATGGTGGGTTATATTATTCATACCTACAGGCTCATGAGTGCCAGAGTTTATGTAGATTATATATAAACTCTACATAAACATATAGAAATCATATAGAATTATATAGAATTATAGAATTATATAGAAATTAGTTCACGATCCCGCGCTGAGTTGGGGCAGAGAGACCCGCCGCGCGCATGACAGCATCATGCGGGCTCGACGATGGCAGCACCATCATCCGGAGTGGGGAACGTCTACATCAGTCCGGTGGATCCTCATGTCAGTGCATGACCAGAATGCATCATGCCCGCCCAATCATCGGAATCGCCCAATGATCCCAGTGTTAGGCACGCGTCATGTGCAATCTCTCTCCAAACTTATGACCAGTGCTAAACAGGATGACACTCAAGTCGTACAATTGGACGCCCGGCTCCGATACAATCCTGTATGCACGGAATAGGTAAGCTGACCCTAACTGTACCCCGCACGGGCACAAGCTTGCACTGCAGCAAATGTAAATCAAGCGTTGCGGTGTTTCCGCTTACAGAAATCCTTACCTTACAAAGTACTCGCGCCAGCGTTGCAAGTCAATGTCATGGTCCTTTGGCATTTGCCAAGACTAGTTCATTGTACATCTTATACTTGCCCCTGTCGTCCAAACTTCCTGTCAGTGACTGTCTCTCAAATCTTGCATACGGCGCAACTTTATAAATCGTGCCCATGCGCTCTAAAGCACTTGTATTAATGAGGTTCTATACCTTTACTGCAGCCACGAGCTTCTTCCGTAGATGTTCGACGTCCTTCACACCGTGGAGATTGGTCAGCCGGTGGAAAATCAGATCCAAGAGCTGCAGGATCAGAAGGCAGTACGTCACGCAGTTGTGCAAGACAGGACCGTTTGCGTGGCGCCAAACATAGTCTCACGTTGCGCTGCTGCTTCGGAAGCACAGTCTACGTGGAGTGCTTTTGTGAAAGGATCTAAGATGGCTTCATGACGAGCGCAAAGCGGCCCGAAAAAGCATTATTCCTCAAACAGATGTGCTCTTCTCAGGGAAATTGCCAGTCCTGGTCCGAAGATACTCCGCGATCAGCAGTAAAGACGCCTTGCTTGCTGCAACAACCGTTATCGTCTTGTTGCAAGGCGGCAGTTCTCTCATCTCGCGGTATAGAGACTTACATCAAGAGACTCTAGCCGCGCTTCTGTATCAAACGTGATTAAGCCGACTTGCATAGAATTACCCAAGTCAAATTTCGAAGCGTTGGCATCCTCAGTGGTTAGAATTGAAGCCGTTGCACCAACCGACAACGGGAGTGGATAGGATTAATAGAAGCACCGTATCTGCACGTTGTCCCATATCGTCCCCATCAGTTTCGAGAGGGTGAAAACGGTGGGATTCTACTCTCTCAGAAAACGGACGGGTCTCAAATGAGTCAAGCCCGTGTGATTCCAGCCTGAACAGGTGGCACGAGACTCCCGGACGCCCAAACGGTCGACTTTGTGTCTGAGAAATGAAGCCAATGCTCGACCCCAGAAAACAGAGAATAGACAAAGGAAAAGACAGAAAGCGCAAACGACGAAAGAAAAACGAACCATGAAGCGCTTACCTGAGTCAGCCTCTCGTGCAGCGGCCGTCCTGCCACCTCCCCGGGGGGGCTTTCTTCGGCGGCGTCCGGACCCCCCTCGATAGTGCTTATCCTTGGCTTGGACAATCGGACGGAAGAAAGTCTTCCGGACGACCGAGAGGCCCTTTCGGACGAGTGAAAAGAGGGCGCATTCTCCGTTCCATCGGACGGCTGAGGCGGCTCCCCGTCGATGGAGGACTCTCTTCGATCGGACGGCTGTGGCTTCTCCCCTCGAGCGGACGGCTCAGGCCTTTCCCCCCCCTCGGACGGCTGAGGCTCGAAGGCTACGGACGTCCGCACCCGCCTGTGTTCGTCCGAATGGCGGGCGCTGGTCCGGGCGTGAGCGGCAAGAAGGTAGGCGTGCAGCTTGTGGGCGCCCACGAAGCCCCGCTGCTCTAGTTCGCGGTCGCCGGGAAAGCGCTTGAGCGCCGCCATGCGCGCGAGCATCTCCAGGAAGTCGATGAACGTGCACGACACCGCGCGGTCGTGGTCCTGCCGGAACCGGGGGGTTCGAGGAATTCAGATATCTCTCGATGTAGTGAACAGTAAGCCCAGTGAAGAGTAAGCATTTTGGGGTTACTAAAAACCCTAACCCAAGGGATCACCCGCGCTCCGCACCCGTACCCACCCTAAACCCCTAACTAATCCTACCCGTCTACGTTACTGTTCACTGGCTCTTGCTGTTCACTACATCGATCGGGATGAAATTCAGGACGAGGAACTCAGAATCACCTTGCGAAGGTAGCTGCAAAGGTTTTGCATACCTTGAGCTGTTCTTTACGCAATCTCGAAAAGATGTTCTCTACGCAATTTCGAAGAGATCCGAACCCATTAGAGCTTCACACCGGTCTATGTCGACGAACCAAGTGCTTCCATTTCACTTCCTCTTCAATGCGACCGCGCGAAAAGTAACCAGTGACTTCTTCAAATTGAATCCAGAGGGCGCAATGACGTGTTGATAATTTTTCAGAAAAGAGTCATTCATAAAATCGTCAATCGCTTTCACCTCGAGCAGATGCACCGTGAATGCACGAACCTCAGAGCAAATACAGCGACAGATCACAGGTCATGCCACGTGTACGCCGGCCATGTTTCCTACTGAAAAGGTTAATCGGTGTGAGTGAGGATCTGATCGCCGGTTGAGAAGCTGCGTACTTTCACAGCAAGGATGTCGCGCTGGCGTTCGTCCGCCTTCAGCCCCAGACTTTTTGGCCACGTCAGCAAAAGTGGTAGTCTGAAAAAAGCAAAAGCCATAGGATTTCCGGCCAGGATATAAACGACATGAGGCTCCTCACCAGCAGTTCATCGGCGACGAGCATTCTGCTGTAGACGAAGAGGCCCTTGGTCTCGGGCGCGCCGGGCGCGGGGTCCAGCAGCCGGACGTCCGAAACTAGGTCCAGCCAGTGCGGCAGCTCCATGTAGCGTCCGGGGTTGTTGGGCATCGTCCGAATGCCCTTGTAGTACCCGAAGATCGCGCGCAATAGCGGCTCGTGCGCGCTGGAAGGGAGCGTGTCGAGGTTTTAAGGTCCTCTGGTGTCAGAAAAAAATCGTTTGAAGAGACACTAAGCGTCTGGGGGCTGCCGGGCCTCATCCGATTGCGCGCGAAGTATCAGAATATTGCCCGGTCCTTTGAAGGCGCCTTTAGGCCTTCAACCGACACTGACCCAAAGAATCGCTTGAGTTAGCGGCCCGTTAGCGGAAGAAGGGGCGGAACGAATCGAATGGAAAGTGGGCATTGGAAAAGGAAGGGAGGAGTACCCTCTAGAATAAAGCTACTGGCTGATGAGAGACTGGACTCTGACTGCAGCAGGTGGACCGCTCAGAAATCAAAGAGGACCTGATATTCGAGCCCTTTATTCCACATGAGATTCAGAGATGGATCCAGAGTTAACAACCTCAAGAAAACCGACTTAAAGGACCTCGAAATCCAAGAACCTGAAGCCGAGCGTATATTATAAGGATTCGGAGTGTATAACGATGACGCTAGAAGCTTTAAACCAAGCAGCGCGACCCCTAGAACCTCAAAAGCTAAGCCCTAATATCAATGGTTCTAAGTTGGCGCCTCACCGGAAGACAGCATCGATTTCGGGGCGGTAAAGCTGGTTCTTCCGGAACGCATTCTGGTCGACGTCCAACGGAACCGGAGAGTTGGGGAACACGTGCTCGCGCAGCAACCGCTCCACCGCTTCCGGAGTGCTGCATACGCGAAGAGGAGGGAATATGGTATGAGAGACGAAGAAACGAGATGGAGATGGAGATAGTTTTTAGAGGAGAATGAAGGAGCAAGACGTCCTTGCGCCGCAAGCGTTTTTCAACATCTTTGGGGAGTGCTGGGTTACGAGATGGGATACGAGATGAACGATAAGAGACAGAAGATATTAGCGAGTGGTTAGAGGCAAGAGACAGAACCGAAGATTCAAGAAGAACGCGGAAAAGGCATCGACTCGCTCCACTGAAAGCAGACGGCTGACCGCAACAGGAGGGAGATTGGGAATAGGAGAAGACAATAGTTTGAGACTCGCGGAGTGAGTTGGGGAAGGAAGATTGCAAAAGAAGCCCGGATTACCATTCGTCCTGAAGGACAATTACAAAGAGAAGGTAGAAGGTGGAGGGTGCGAGCGAGCAGTTAAGGCCGAGAGAAAGGAAAAGGGCGTGAAATTGGACAGCAGTGAAAAGCAGCAATCAAATGCTAGGGAACCAAAAAAGATCAAACCAAGTCTTTCAACTTACTTTAATTTCCGCGAAACGTCCCCGTACTTGGCCACCGCCAGTCGAATGAGCGCCTCTATGAACTCAAAGCGGGTTAGCGAGTTGTCATCGTTGATCTCGGACTCCAGCGTGTTCTTATCGTACTCGTAGTTGGACGATATGAACACGCGCTCGCAGTCGGTCATTTTGCACGCAGCCGAAGTCTCGTCCGGGATCTTGCTGCTCTTCAGCCAGAGGTCGTATGCCTTGAGCTGGATAGCGTATGGCTCGCTGATTTCCATCGTGCCAAAGTAGTCAAAGATCTGCAGGAGTGTGGCGTAAGAATGAAACACTTCAAAGTCTCAAGCGGAATAAACATGCAAGCGTTGCCGTTGCAGCTCAAAACATTGTCGATACTGAGTGAGAGAAGCGATTTGTAGACTGTCAAAGCTCTCGGACGAACAGAGAAAGAATTGCGTGCGCTCTGCCGCGCAACCTAACAAATGGAAGCTGGAGCTACCATGTTCAACTGTTTGACAACCAAGAGCTGCTTAAGAAGCAGCAAACTTTCCTGAACGATCGGCTTCGCTTGCATGCTGTTTGTGCGGCTGTCGGGCGCCAAGACTAGAACACCGACGTTTACATTTCAGAGTAGCCCGACCTCGTCATTTCCTTCTTGAACTGTCTTTTTCTCTCTCCTTTTGATGGCTGCAAAGCTTTTGAAGCAATCCATTCTCAACTCACGTATACGATATTCATGAGATTTTTCGCCAAGAACAACCAACAGCAACGTCTCTCTCTGTCAAGGCGCACGCGCTCTTCTTCAGAAATTTGTCACTTGAAACACAGATGATCGTTACTTTTGTCTTTTGTGGCGGACGATACCATGCAAGATTTCTGGAAACAAGTGCTCGACTCACGTGCATGATGTTCATGAAGTTGTTCCGCAGCACGACGCGTAGCCGCGCGACGTCGTCTGCTGAGCCCAGCGTCTTCATGAAGCGCGTCTTCTTGGCGATGCGCGTCCAGTCGACCTCGAAGATCTTGTCCTCCAAGCGCGCGTGGTGGAAGTACGAGCGCGCGTCGCACTCCTTCTTGCGCGGCGCAAAGATGGAACGCGTCACTTTGAACTCGCTGGAGAGAGGATGTATCAACAAAGTCGGTCAGGTTCCAAGCAATTGAAATACAGTTCGGCAGATCCTTACATTTAAAAGGATGAACCAATTCAGCTGGGGAAGGAGTGGTGATCAGGAGTATCGCACAGAGGGGATGGAGGACATTAGATACAACCGCATCAGTATACAACTTCTCGGAGGAGAGGGAAGATAGAAGCGGGCGGCTTTGGAAACAAGAAAGGATTGCAGGGGCACAATGCGGCGTTCTGGAGCGGAGCGGTGCTCAAAAGTCTCGGTTGCGGGAAGAAGAACTTGGGAGCACGTAAAAGACGAAACGCATATCGAAACAAGTGCGTCAATGGCCGGAAGCGACTTGGGAGGTCCTGAAGCCCGGAACAAGAAGCTATATCACCGATTGACACCGTTTCCAATCCCCTGATTTGCAGCCACCCACTTTCAGCCCGGCGAGTGTCAAGGTACTCACGGATGATTGGATGTCCGATGCTCGCTTTCCCGCGCGGTCGGGGTCGTCGGTTCGTTGTCCTCCAGCACAAACAGCGGGTTCGAACTCTCCAGCTCGCCGTGCCTGCCGCGGGAACTTTCCACCGTTAACCCCGGATTTAACACAGGTTCAATCTCCTTTTGCCGCATAGCGTTTCGTGGGGGCAGCCAGGGGCATTTTCGGAGACCAGTAAGGATACCCACTGTTTGTTGACTGGGGCGATTTGGATGTGGGCGTCAAGAAGCATAACCAGCGTACGAGAGTCTGGTCGGTCTGGGTGCTGCAGATGGTCCTGCCCGTCAATGAATGATGCCAAAGAAACCTCTAGAGCGAGCATGACGCGAGAGAAGCAATCGTGATGGGCAAATCTCGATACATGACCCCAAATGTTCATTGTTCCAACTTGACCCGAAAGGTTAACACCGTGCGATCCAGATCCTGCAACCAGCGTCTACCCAGTAAGCGGAAACCAACCCAGAAAATGCTCGAAGGCGCTGTAAACCGTGAAGCTACAGGACAAATCCCTGAGAAACTCATGTATGAAGCCCCAAGCAAATTGCATCCAGACCTGAGAAAACACCTCGAAGCCCAACTTCGAAATCGTACCTTCACGTCAATGCAATTGCTTGTACCAGATTCTTCAAACGATACTCAGACGCGAAGCATGAGACCCAAACCCTACGACCCACACTTGAAGCACTGCGCTATTTCAAAGGCTCTCATACCCTTCGCTGCCTACCTGTTATTACCAAACATCAGACCCGAATCCCTTACATGACGCATTGCGCGGGGTCGTTCTTGTTGCAACCGTGCCCCAGACATTAACCCTCTGCTTTTTCAACTGCTACATGAAATCGATAACCTAACCTCAAACCCTAATTTTCTCACCTGACACATTGCGCGTGGTCGGTGATGGGGCAGACGGGCTCTTGAAATCGTGTTTCTCCGATATCTCGCTGCTCGCGAACTTGATAGCCAAACGTTAACCCTCCGCAGCTTAACCGCAAAAGAAACCCCATTAACAAACTTCAAAATGCAACCTCTCACCTGACACACTGCGCGGCGTCCTTGTTGGGACAATCGTGCTCAACCACGGGGAGAAGGTGGCGCGACGGTTTGGGCGCGAGGCACGGCGCGGGCGCGAACGGTTTGGGCAGGGCTTCCGGCGGAATCTCCGCGAGCTCGCGCAGAATGGGGGCCGGGCCCGGAAGGCCCGTCTGCCGAATAAGAGCATTGCGATCTTGTCTAGGCTGAAGGAAAGCCGCGCGATTGTGCTTGTCAAATCGAAGGCTAAGGGGTGAAAAGGTTTCCGGAATGGCAACGCCTTGCAAACCCGACGTCAGGGCCACGCCCATTACTACAGAAGTCTGATTCCGTTGCGGTGACTTATTTCAGAAAGTGGAGGGAAAACACGGTGACGGCCCTGCGGAAGATAGAGTGAACGTAGCAATTTTCAAGCCTCTGAACTGGACGCCCTCGAAACATCGAGTGCTCCTCTACCAGCTGTGTAGACGAGTCTATGAAGAACATAGCACTCGTCAAAGGAAAGAAGTTATTGAACGGATATGATCCAACCTACAAAGCCCGATCCGGGCTTGAAGCTTCAGAAAGTGGAAAATGTTGAGGAGTTTTTGTTTGCAAAGCGGACTCTGCAGCTTAGGCCGCCTCAGGTTATTCCTGAGGGCACAAGCGGGGCCCCGGGCACCTGATTTGCTGTTCTTCGCTTCACTCCTCTTCGTTGTCGAGATCTGCTACTCGGGCTTGAAGGGTTCAAAGAGACTGAAATGGTTAAGGTCTCTAGAGTCCGGGAACTTTTGGGTATTGGGTTTGAGGGTTTAGAGCTTGTGGGTTTGCCTAACCTGGAGGATGTCCTCGAAGGTGACAGGCGGATCGGACGGCGGCTCGAGCGGGATCTCGACTTCGTCCACCAGCCGCTTGCCGTGCTGGAAGAAGTGCGCCATCTCGCTGCGCGGAAGATTAGAACAGTACTAAGGTTACCTTCTTTTTCAGTCATCAGCAGATTGGGCCTTTCTGATGCTGGGCGTGTTGCGCTGTACTACGCAGGTCGGACAATTTGAGTCTAAAGCTGAATTAGCAAACAACTGTTTTCTGTTAAAAGCCAACACCAGGCCTTTGAGCTTTACCAAGACCTTGAGTGCCCGACAAAGAGTTTAAGCCGCTGAAGGCAACCGATGAGTGCCCAAACGAGGAGAACAAGCAGAGAGCTATTTAAGCGAGCAGTGACGGCACAGAGACGCCTTCGCTTCAAGTTGGTGCCTGCCCCCTCATGACTCCAGTGATATCTTCCCTGCTCCTCAGAGCGCTTCCTTCCCCTTTATCCAAAACTGAAATATCGTCACACGTTGCACGCACGAGGAAGATTGAAAGTCCGACCCATTCGGGGAAACAAAGAGAGCAGATATGTTTAGCGGTCTCACCCGTTAGGGAGCGTGTAGTGCGAGTAGAGCGTCTTGCAGAAGGTGCAGCCCTCGAGGTGTGTGAACATGTCCAGGTGCTCCACTAGCGGGTTGATCTGCACCGCACAGAGCCAATTCACACCGGAAACGCAGTCACTTAGCGGGAGATACCACTACCTCCGTTTAAAGAATGCGTTACAGGTCTTGGAAGTTTGTCGAATGCGCAAGAGCAAGTGATTTTTCGACAGCCTGCAGAGCAGACCGTCCGGGCACAGGCATGCGGACCGCGGACAGCGCAATACGGACGGGCGAACGGGCAGCGAACAACGGACAGCGGACACCGGACAGCGGATCTGGAAAGTGGACAGCGAACAACGGACAGCGGAAGACTAGATAATGCACGAGCATATTACGGGGACGTGGATGGAGATGGATCTGGTCCAGAACTCTTCACTCCCGAAGCTTTTGACATTGCATGTGAAGCATCCGTACAAGAACTTCAGGCTCAAGAGCTCAAGAGCTCAAAATCTCAAGTGTAATCTGCAAATCTCCATTACGATGACCGTCAATTGAATTGGATCTATCTGCAATTCCCACCTCTCTTGGCAGACTTCTGAACATGATAGGATCGCCAAAACACGGATCCCCGCGAAGCCGTTTCCGACATCACTGCCAATGCAAGCTGCTTAAAACGCAGATTCGTAAGGCTTTTGCGGCGACCAAAAGGGTGCTCACCTCAGTTCTCAGCTCGCCAAAACGGACCCGGTTTCGTGGCCGATCCGGGTCCACGATGACCGTCAATTTGCGCCCCGCCTTCGAGGGGTTTGGGGAAGGCGCTCGCGCGCCCCCGGCCGCTGCCGCACCCCGCTGCCCTGGAAGACCCGCATGGTCTCCTGAAGCGCCACGTGTCACTTCGTCGTCCTCCATCTTGTAACCGCTGCATGGAAATCAGGTGGTTTCTTGTCAGCGCAGCCTTTTCTCTTTCAGCAGAATAATTCCCCCGAATGCTCCGGAATTCAGCCAATTCGAAGTTTTGCTTTCAATTAGTCCGAGGCTGGGCAGTGTGAGCTGTAAATCAGAGACTGCAAGTTCCAAAGTTTCTCGGAAAGGGGACTGGTCGTGGCTCAAAACCGCGCCACAAGATGCAAAGCCTGCAAGCTCTTGATCTTCGAGAGCATCAGTGATGAGAAGAGGGCACATTTGCGGCTTGGACCAACCGATGAGACTCTTCTGAGTATCTTGTGAAGCTACGAAAAGTTGGTGCATGCTGCCGTCGATTCTTAATGCGTAACAAGGACTTTGCACCGAGAACACCAATCCACCATCCGCGTAAAAGCGGAAGCTCACCCGACTTCCGGTCGCCACCCTGTATGCCGACTGCCGGTTGGGCCCCCCAAGGGGGATCCCTCTCGTCCAGGGGATCCCTTCCCCGCGTCCCAAATTTCGGACACCGGGCGGGTCAGGCTCCTGTGCAGCCGGGACAGCTTCCCAACCGGTGACTGTCGACCGGTCGCCTTTTGCAGCCCCGGCGTAGGGCTCCTTGTGGGCGACCTCGAAACGACGGGAATACCCTCCTGAGGCGATTCAAGAATCGGCTCCGGAATTTGCGCCGCAAATCTCGCCGACTTCTGGAGGCTCAGCGTTTTGGAGGAGAAACCCGCAAACCCTGCCAGGTCGGTGGCGCGGCGCAACCTGAACGAAGCGGATACGCTTAACGCGCCGCTTTCTCCGCTGAGCGCAGAGTCTTCGTCGGCTGGGCCCGGTGAGACGGTCTGAATGCAACTGCTGCCGCGTCTCGCGAACCGTGTCGTCAGCCCCCCCGCCGAGGCGCCGCCCGCGATCTGCTGGGAAGCTTTAGAGGTTCCGCCCTCGCGGCTGAAGCAGGCCCGGTACTCCTCCAGCTCCGCGCTGTTGCGGTTGCGCCGGCGCTGACGTGGCGCCTTCTTGCCGTGCCACGTGCTGCGCATCCATTCGATGAAGCGCCGTTTGGACTCGAGCCCGAACGGGTCTTCTTCGTCCTCGCTCCAGCTTTCGTCCGACTCCGAATCGTGATCACGTTCGCGAAACCCTAGCGACGTGGCGCTGCGCTTGGGTTCGGCGATCGCGAACGCGCCCGCGAACGAAACCCCGCGCTTGGGCGCTAACCCCTGCTTCAAACCCTGCGCGGCCGCGGCCAGCTGTTCGCGGTTCTCCTTCATACTGCTGCTCCAATCCCGGAGAATCTGCAAGCGTTCGTCGGAACCGAGTCTTTCAAAGTCAAGACCGGTCCCCGAGCGAGAGAGCACTCCTTTGAGCTCGCGCTTCGACATCGAAGTGCTCGTGCGCCGCAGCTCCGTGCCTGGGAGTTTCGCCTTCGAAGTTGGGTCGCTGGAGGCGGCGGGCCGGGTTTCTGGGCTGGTGGAAGCGTAACGCGGCCGTGAGCCGTCCGATGCGTCAGCGTCGAGAAATTTGAGACGGAGCTCCGCTTTGTACATCCTGAAGGGGAAGGGAATCCAAAAAGGCTCAGTTCAATCGCTGGTCAGCGTAAAAAATGGTGGAAGAGAGAGCATCGAGTCGCAGCCCGTGTTGAATCTCTCGTTCGACCGTCAAACAGTTCTAGATGTTGTCCGTTGAGGCTACGGTCATGAGTTGTGCAAAATCTCAAGAAGCAAATGACACAATCCTTCTCAGCTAGTAGTGGACCAATAATAGAGCACCCAGCCACCCAAAGCAAGGAGGACCTGAGCACGTGCCTGGTCCTGTTAGTTGTATCAACATCTAGCAAACGTTGACCTGTTGATCAGTGGATTCTTAGGTACTGGTTTTGCAGGGACTATTCGTCAAAGGAGCAAATTAGCACGTGCCAGGTGCGGTTGACCGGATGTTTGCAGACTCTGACCACAAATGAGCCTACCAAGTATCCCTTCTTACCGATGACCACCCCAGTACGAGCAAACGGGCCCGTGCTTGGTGAATTTCAACCGGGTACTGGCAGAATTTGACCACCGCTTCAATCTAGCGAGTATTGTTTGTGCCTATGATCAGAGGAAACGTTTTCAATTGAACAGGATAGGCACGTGCCTGGTGCGGTTGGCCGGGTGCTGGCAGAGGTTGAGCAGGACGCCCGTGCTGAAGCGGCGCACGTCATCGGAGCTGTGCGGCGCGCGGTTGACGGAGAGGATGACGTACAGGCCCTGCTGGCAAATGGGCACCTGATACGCCGGCGTCGTGGACAGGTTCAGGAGAGCCGCCATGACCAGGCCCAGGATCGACTGGGACGACGTCTTCTGCGCGCGCGCACAGAAAGGAATCGTAAGAGGCGCGTCAAAATCCTCGCGCGCGAGTTTGACGTTGAGATGTAAGAGGGCCGCCGAGGAGGTGGCTTTCGGAGGAATTTTTAGATTCAAACAGGTAATCAAAGGGTGATGACATGAAAAAAGCGCCATCACCAGGTCCACAGATCGAACGTAATGAGAATTTTGCCCGCGCACAGGGAGCTCACCAAATGGTTGTCTTGATGGTCCGCAGCGAGGCCACATGGGCAATTTCATTATTAAGCACCGGAGCTAGCGACTCAAGGATGGTTTTGTGAGCGCAAATTTCTGGAGCGGGTCAGAGGGCGTTGGAGTTTTTGGAGACTCCAAGTGTTTTGTCCAAGTTGCACTTCCGCTTGAGACGCCCCCTTCTGTCCAGGAATCCGAGAAAAAGCAGAGGCGCACGCAAGTGCACGAATCGTATGCTTTTAAAACTACCATATGTGTCAAAGTCAGCCCTGATTTCACTTCTAGCCGCAGCCGCACCTTAGCGAGGTCCGTGAGCGCCTCGATTGCGCCCAGCCGCGCGAGCCGCTCCTTGTTCTCCGGGTACATTGCCACATGGGCGCACCCGCGCGCGCCACGTTCCTCCAGTGGCTCCCTTCCGCTCCGGAGCAGATTCACCAGAACCTCCTCCAGAACGGACTCGTTGCCAAGCCCAAACAGCTCCGCGTTGCGACCCAAGCCAGACAGATGCTGGAGAGGAAGGTTTTACGGTTGGATGATTTCAGGTTTTTTTTGGTTTGGGATCATCAAGTACTCAGGTTGTAAATGGAGGGTCAAAAAATCCTCAAGGGTTTATGTGTTCCAGCGATTACCGGGGTCATAGAGAAGATTGCAAGATCCGAGCGTTTCTCTGGGGCCAATGAAGCAACTGACGAGGCTTCTCTTGTTGTCTTTGACATTCGTGCTTTAGAAATTCTGCAACACGAACAGTCGCTCTGAGTTCGCAGACGTCTTTTCTTTAAGAAACGTCGTCCTAATCACTTTCTCAGCAAGTGCAGACATAGTATCTTACCGATCGTCTCTCTTTAGAAGTTTCTCCCTTTCAGTGTTGAGCTTAAGCTAGCAGTCGGCGAGAAACGGCAATCAATATTCACATATCGGGGCTCCTTTGTGCTCACCTGACAATAGCGTGCGGACACCTTTCTCAGCCCCTCGTCCGCCTCAGGGTTCTTCGCAATCGCCGCCAATGCGGCGCCGATCCCCAGATCGATCACTTTCCGTTCAAACTCCAGCACTTGCTGCGTCGCGAACTTGACCGCCTTCACCGCCAAATACTTGCTCGCGTCCCAGGCGCGATGCTCTAGGCTTCCCCCCACGGCGATTAAGCCCACCAGGAAGTCTAAACCTTTCACCTCCGCGCCGGGCCCGCTCGGGGGATCATCCTGGGGCAGTTTGGGTAAGCGGGGGAGCCTCGGTCCTGGGTCTTCGACCAACTGAGAGAAGACGTCTTCCACCGGAGCAACGTGCGACCGCTGCCGTCGGAGCGTGTGATCGTTTTTCTTGCCGCCCCGGGGATCAATTCTACCGCTAGCCGATGAGTGGAAAGAGGTCGACGCAGACCCGCCGAGTATCCCGGTAGAGGGGCTGTCCCCCGCTGACGACGGCCTCACTTTTCTGCCCGGAAGACCGAGCCGGGCAGTAGCAGGCGAGCACACATTGATTGCATTTCGTTGACTCAACTCTTCCTCAGCATCTCCCGCCCGCTCTAGTTCCATCTGTTCCTCCGTTTCTTCAGTTATGGAATTTTCTCCTTGGGATAACCTTTCGGGCGGTGTTTCGAGAAGCTTGCTCAGATCGGTTAGCAAAGATGACCGGGGCTCGCGCTCGTGGCCCCGGGGCGAAGAGGGGTTACTGTGGACGGTGAGCCTGACCCCCCCTTCTAACGACGACGATCGGTAGGTTCGTTCAGGCGGGGGCTTGTACTGGGCGGCCCGTTCTAGGAAATGGTGGTTAGCGTCATGGGTTAGGAGGAGCCACACCGCGGCCAGGATGAATTCGAGCGCCTTGGTGTCGGCGGGATCCGGGGGGTTTTGCGAGGGTTTGGATTGAACGCTCTCGTAAACGCGGCGGCCGGCGACTATGAGCGCCTGTGAAGACAGAAAGTCCGTGTTGCATTCTGGCCTAGCATTCTATCATTTAATCGGGCTTTGCCATAAGTGCTACAGTTTTATCTAACCAAAATGACTCTTAGTATTCAGAAGGCCTGGAAGGAAAGTTGTGCTTTTCGTTACAGGCGGTGCGCACCGTGCGCTCGTTCAAGCTCGTGTGATGGTTGCTGTTGCACTCTGCTTCTCGTTCGAATTGAAGGCTAGTTCAATTCTACAGGCGCTTCTCTTGTCTAACATATCAACATTCATCCCAACATAATCATTCTCTTCATTTTCAAAAGACTGCTTTCAAAGAGAGAGCCGTTACACTCGAGCGTCATTACACCGGGATTTGTCGAGGCATCCTTCGTCAAAAACCTTCGAGGTTCGTTCGTTGATATGCACACTGTGCATCAGAATCTGCGTCAGATACAGCTCATCCATTCAAGAGTTCGGAGAAGAACATTTGCTCTGCAGAGTTCAGTCGGAAGTTATAGAAAGGAAGGAAACAATGTAAAGGGACGGGAGAAAGGTTGTCCCAGTGCGTCTATTCCCGGCGCACCTGGATCCCGTTAACCCGTCCGATCTTGGCCCGGTTCTTCAGGTTCCGGGCGAAGCACCAGAGCGCGCAGCTCGCGTACAAGGACGTCCGAGCGTCCGTGCTTTCCACCAAACGGACAGTTTCATACAGTTCCTGTGTGCAGAGGATATGGTGAGCTTAAGAATGAAACGAAGGAGTCTGAAGGCTGTGAAAAAGGGAGCAGTGCGGCAAAGGGTAAAATAGAAACTCTGATTCTTAGTTTGGTGAGTTTGACGAAGAGCGCTGGATGAGGTGGCTAGATTCCGCGGGGGACGAGTGAAGAGTCCAGCAACCAAAGCTGGCCCAGACAGTAGCCTTGCGAAAAACAATGCTTACGCGTCGATCTTTTCTAGTGAACTGTGGCATCAGCAGTTTCGTATTACCTGTTCAGTGAGGCGTATCAGCCCCCTCACTAGAGGAAAGGTCACTTCTTGTAGCGGATCGGGTAAACGAGATTATGAGATATCCAGTGCAAGACGCAGTTTCGTTGCAACAAAGCAGAATCTCCGCGCACCGTTTCGGACGCATCCCGTCCCGCCAGGTACATGATCCACGACAGCCTTGCTGTAGAGCGCATATCTTATCAGCTTGAAAGTATACTCACTCCAATCTACGGGCGCTTATAATCTGCTCATCATTTCGGACGCATCCCGTCCGGGCCCCGCCAGGTACATGATCCCCGCGGCCGCCGCGCGACAAAACGCCTAGCCTAACAGCGGATTTGATACTTGACCCATAAGGCGGACGCTGAACGGATGATAGCTTACTGTTTCGGACGCATCCCGTCCGGGCCCCGCCAGGTACATGATCCCCGCGGCCACCGCGCGGCAGAGCGGCGTGTCCTGCGGGAAGCGCGCCGCCGCCGCCACCAGTGACGTCAGCGCACCGTTCTTGACGAGGTGCACCCGGTGCGGACCGTCCAGCTGTCCGCGGAACGTGGAACCGTCCTTGTGGTTGCGAAGCTGCGCGCGCACGGAGAGGAGGAGCGCTGAAATCGGGACCGATAAGTGATACAAACTCTGCCAGTAGAGAGGACCATCAGTGCTTGGTCACCCGCCGCATTTCGCAAATAAGCGTCTTAGAAAGGTATGTTCTGGATGGTGCACTGGTTGAATTTGCTTGGTCTAAGGTGGTCGGCAGAACTTTCTCTGAGGGGAAACGCTTCCACTTCTGCAATTCCCATCGAAAAAGAAACGCCTTTGGCTTTGACCTCTCTATCCTGGACACTGCCAGTCACTCCAAATCAGACATTCTCAGGGGACACAGAACATCTTTTCACCGCCAACGACGAAAACATACTCGAACGTCTTGGTGGGCATTCCGTCGCCGCAGTCATTCCCACGGTGTCTCTTATCCATACCTCTTGCTCGGCGACCAGGGCCAAGGCTGCCACGGCCGCCGCGGCCGCGGCCGCGTCGGAAGAACTTGCAAGCAATCCAAGCGGCACCTGTAAAAGCAACCGTATGCTCAAGTTGAAGAAGAGGAGCGTGCGGAGGCATGCATTGACTAGAAAGTGAGCAGCGCCAACACTGTTTGAGCTCAAGCCAGTGGAGATCTGTCGGCTCTTGGAAGGACTTATCTGCTGGTCTTGACTGGTCTTGACTGGTCTTGACTGATGATCAAAATGATTAGTCACTACTATCAGCGACTTAAAGCCCAGGACTTCTGAACGGGAGCGACACGCGAAGGAAGAGGAAGCAAGATGAGTAGAGAAAGTTTGCGAAGGAGTGAACTATATGCAGGGCGACCAAAGGGGGGTCCGTACCTGCGCGTTCACTGCCGCCAGCTTGGAGGCGGTCGCCGCGTCGGCCGCGAGCAGCGCTGCTGTAACTGCGATGAAGCGGTTGGCGGAGGAGCCTCTGAGGCCGCGCCGGCCGTCGGTGATAACGGCGAGAAGGGAGGAAAGGTCGCTCGACTCAATGGGTACCTTCTGCGGTCATGAAGAGAAGGGACACAACTGGCTTGGATCCAAAATTCCATCTCTTCTCAACCTATTTTTGACGAGCAATCCAGTGCATTGTAGTCAGTCTGTTGCTGAGTAGAATGTAACCAACTTTGTGGACACTGAAAATAGGATAATGGTCGGAAAAGACTGTATCTCAAAGGAAAGGAGGGAATAGAGATTCTGCTCAACTCGATGGGCACCTTCTGCGGTCATTTCGGGAAGAATTTCGAGGGTTGGATCTGGCATCAGGGAGCAGGCAAAAATTGTAACACCGCGAGGGCGAGGACATGTTGCTCGACTCAATGAGCACCTTTTGCGGGTAATTGAGCGGAGAGGAGAAACTGGGTTGAGATGGAGTCGACAGAATTACGGTTTCGGCGATCGATTGTAAAACTGCAGGGGTGACGATTTGGTCGCTTACGGGAAAGCATTCTGCTTTCAAAACGCTTCTAAAAGAGGAACTAGGTTACGGATCAGACGTCGGAAGGAGCATGAAAAAGGACGGTAGCAAAGAAAGATGGTATCAGAAAGAGTCCAAAAGGGATGAGTGCGAGAGGTACGAAGGATCGCCTGACCAAGGGCTCCGTCAAGGTTCGACACAAACTGAGGGAAGCGGGTTGGACGATAATTAAGGTTCTGAAGGAGTTAGAGACGTTGTCTTCAAAGAGCAACGCAGAACAAGAAGTGGCCGTCAAGAGGAGCTCAGGAAGGGAGACCAGAAATTTTTTGAGATATCTCTTTGGCGAGAGTAGCCGTTAAGCTGACGTCACGCTGACTTACCGTAGACAGCATGGTTTTGGCGGCGCCCCAAAGCGCGGCCGCGGCGCCATCCGCGATCGCGGCGAAGAGCTCCTTTTCCTCCTTGTGTCGCGGCCGCTTGCTGACGTTACGCAGGAGGTCGGCCAGCCGACGGAGCGTTTCAGGGAGCTCGCGCCCGCGCGTGGCCAAGAGGGCGCGGCCGCTGGATCGAACCAAGGTATGGATTGAGGTTCGACTCAATGTCGAGTCAATGTGTTCCCCAAAAAGTAACAAGGAGGAAGAAACAAAGCGACGAGCTGTAGTGAGCTCTGATTTCTTCCGTCGCTTTTGAAAGTCGGAGTGCGTGATCTTATCCTGACAAAAAGTGGTTGAGGAGTGCCGGATATAGGACCATCTTGAAGCATCTGACGCCAAAAGGCCGTCGAGTGCATGAAAGAGCTGGGGGTATGATGCAGCAGACAGATTCTTCTGAGTTTGAAGAAGCTGACGAATACAAGGATGCGACAACGTTACGCGGTCACTAAGAAGATCAAATCTCTAGAAATCACTTGATTTCAAGCCCCCGCATAGCCTCACCTGTCCGTCCCCATGTATTTACAGAGCGCGCCCACCGCGGCGCGCTGGACGGTCGGACTGTCCGACCGGAGCAGCCGGAGCAAGTGTCCGATTCCCCCCGTCCGCAGAAAGATGGTCGTTCCCAGGGGATCCCGCCAGAGGACCGTGCATAGTGCCTCAGCGGCTAGCTCCCGGGCAGAACGGGAGTGGCGGGCCAGAGAACCGGGCTCTGTTTCGGCCTGAAAAGACAGGAGGGAAGGAGGGGACATGAGGAACGAGGTCGGGGAGATAAGAAGGGAGCTTCGCGGGAAAAAAAACGGCCTGATAAAGATAGAAGAATGGAGGGAAGTTGAGTTACGAGAGACCGAAGACAAGAGGGGAGAGAACAGGACTCTGTTTTGGCCCGACAAGATCAAATGAAAGAAAGGGACATGAGAAACGAGAGAGGAGAGAACCCGGTGAGGTTTCGGCCAGGAGGAGACGGAAGGAAGGAGGGGACATGAAGGCTCTTTTGTGGTGCGTGAAAAAGTGGAGTTGGATCGTGGAACAAAACTATCCGGCTCCTTTTAGATGTATGCCTGGACAGGACGAGCGGATACTGTCATTGTGCTCCATCGTGTTCTATGAAAGGGAGACGGGAAAGCTCATTGTGGGTTGAGCAACATGCGACCTGACTGGCTGAACAATAGAACGATGTTCAGCAAAACACCAACCAGAGGTTCAAAGTTAGCCCGATCTGCTTGTGCGCGCTGTCTCAAGGTGGACCATCACTACTATTGAGAGCCGCAAGACCCTGTGAGGAATCAAATCAGGACACGAATCTGCTTACTCGAGTACAGAAACCTCCAAGCGGCAGACGTAAAGAAGAAAGACAGATTAGCTTAGGGATAACGAGAGGAGGAAATAAGGACGAGAAGAATCCACGCAACGTTTGCGATTCATCAAAATGCTATGATCACGTCGGCATCGACCTCACGACAATGCGGAAAAATGGTAAAAGCAAGATAACGGACATCAAGATCAGACCGGCGCATCTTGCCTGTGCATAATGCGTAAGCACGCTCCATCCCGTGGATCCAGTAATGGCGAGCCCCAGCTCCTCGGCGTCGGGCACGTACATGCGCGCGCGCGCCTGCGCGTCGCACAGAAAGACCGAGAGGCAGCCCATCACGCACTCGCGCAGCCTGCACGGACAAAATATGGCTGCTTGAAACACCGCAACACTCGGAGTATCAATATGAGGAAGTTTGGAGTGTGTGTAACGGCCAGGAAACGGGTATTATGATTTTGGGTTCACTGCGCAATTACCGGTCCAACTTTTTCAAAATAATCGACTAATCACGGGAACCGGATCCAAGCCTAAGTATGCAAGAACCAGCAGCTGACGTGGAGCTTGCGAATGCCAAGTAAAAAAAGAAAACTTTATTCTAAGACTTGGACATCCGTTCGGACGGTCACCTTCTCTGGTCGCTGTGCGAGAGCGCTGCCGCGGCGCACGGGACGTCCTTGAGCTGCACCAGGAGGACCAGCAGCCGCTCCACCGCCCCCAGCGTGATCAGCTGCCGCCTGCGCCACGTGGCACGTGCCGTCAGCAAGGTAACGTCAGCAGGTGACGTCAGCAGATGGTGCAGCAAATGATGTGAGGGGTGGGGGGTCTTCTGGGGTCAAGTACGGTGAGAACGTTGCGCGCGCCATCTCTTACGAAACAACGTCTTACACACCTGGCCTTTTCTCTTCCTGTTGCGGCCAGAATCTAGTTTGGATCGAAGAAGTCAATCAATCAAGAAAAAACAATGAAAATTCAACCTAAACGGCATTTGAAATACATTTCAGCAGTGGAAGATAGGTAGGTGGCCTCACCTCAGCCCTGCTGACACCGAGAGCGACCAGATCGTGACGAGACTCAGGAGGCAGGTCGCCTTCGAACCGGGCTCCGCATTCAGGACCAAGACTGAGAGGAGGGCGACCAACAGGTCCGGGGAGAAGCAGCCGTGGCGGTTCTTGTTTACGGCGAGCTCCCACGCGAAGTGAAGCGACTCTTGACGCGCTCGAACGTCGTCTAGAGGCAAGTGCTCTACGATGAATGCGGCCAGCCGAGAGAGCCTGGATGGGTTACGAAGGAGGGTTAAGAAGTGGCATCAACGATCTGACAGACTCGATGAAGAACTGCGAAAGTGCCTAGAGGTTAACGTGCTTCAGGGCAGACAGAGGGGTTAGGAAGATGGGGTTGAGGAGCCCCGGGGGCGAGAAAGAGAAGCGGGTTGAGGAAAGCTGAGGAAGAGTAAGCAAGAACCGGGTTCCAACCGATTCTGAGCGACAGTTGTGTACAGCTCCCTCCAAAGGTTCGAACCGAAGGTACTCGGGGATTAGAGTGGGCGGTGATAGAAAACGGAGGTCAAGGTAAGGTTTAAGAGTTTCGTTCAACGTTTCATTAGCCCTGTCAAAAAGTCGTGCATATTCCGGGAACAGCTTTTCAAAGAAGAGTAAAAAGACTCAGCCGGAAGGAAGGGGCCCGGCGAGAAAGACTCTAAAAGTCCACGGGACACTCGTTTACGCCGTTATGTCCCTCAGCAGCCTTTTCCGCCATCACTGTCTTCACCAAAGTAAGTGAGTCGAAGTCATTTCGACGTGAATAGCCTTTCGTCTATGAGTTTGCTGGCCTGCGGGCTATCCTCCTCCCACAACCTAGTGTCAATGCAAGAAAGAGGGGGCTTAAGCCATTTTCCAACCACAGCACACATGACACCATGTATGACTCACCGGACTTTGTCTGACCACGGCAGGTCCGCGAGACACTCCTCCCATACCGGCTGCGAATCCAGGAGCACCCATCCCGCCCGCTCTCCGCTGTCGGCGCTTAAACGAAAGGGGGGCACGTACCATAACTGGAGCTTCCCTGGCTGGCAGGGTATGGGGGCAAAAGGCATACGCGATCAGGCTCTGCCGACTGTAGCTGTCAGATCCCTGGCCCCGACAACTTGGCGAACGTCAGCAACCTGTCTTGATTTTGGCGACCAGACGTTGCTGCTTTGGATTTGAATGCTGATTTCATGCCCCTGACTGGACGTCTTGTAGTGTAACTTGCGCGAGCAACCACTCGAACAGAGAAGCGAATGGTTGCGACCATGAACCGGTGACTTCAACTTCAATAGAAACACGCCTTTTAACGTGTTGGACGCCAGGAGATGCTGAAAGCAGAACTTCCGTCCGATTGAGACCCAAAGTTCATTGGGTGAATGGGACGCCTTATCCGTTTTTCCCCCCAAGCGGGTCAATGATTGACGAGCCCGAACATTGGTGGTGACCGTTTGAGTGGTGTTGCGGCAACCTCGAGGGGGCATCTCTAGCTTTCTTTCTGAAGGGCGGCAACCGGAACAAACGTCTTTCATAAAACTTTGGACGACGCAATGTCACCCATCTGCCAGGTCAGAGCGTGTCTCCCTTTCAGATACAGTTAAGAATGCTCAGCTTTTAAGGAGTAGGACATAAACCAACTCAAGAGGTCCGTATATCCGCACCCACCACAAGCCAGCCGAATGAAACTCACCTGGGTCTGCTTGACTTCAAATGCTATGTACACCAGCGACTTCGTTGCTTCCAAGTCCCCTTCCTGTGAAACCAGATTGGTAAGTGCATCATATTCTGCCTCAATCAAAACGTTAAAAGAAGTTCGTCAAAACGCCTCTTCATCAAAGCTTGAATGTGTACAAAACAGATGTAGCTTGCACCCTCACCCAGACTGCCCCTGGATTGGCGATTGCGGTTGTATTGGTGGTCAAGGCAAAGGCGAATGCGCCCTTATTGTGTACTTAAGTCCCAATGCACAAAGGTGACACCGGCAGTGTGCATAGCACTACTCCCCAAAACGATGACACAGGTAGAGCTGAACCAAACAGAAGGTGGCTCGCTTCCACCGCTTCACAGCATTGCATCCTTTGTCCCTTCCAACGACTTGCGCGCAGGACCTTCCGTATCTTCTCGTCTCTTCCCTCTCCTGATAGTATGTTTGCTGGCAAACGTTACAGCCTTTGTAAAGCTTGGGACTGGCGTCAGCTGACAGGACCGCATTGACTACGGAAGAGGCATCCGATGCTTCTCCGTCGAATGGTATCCACAGCATTGAAGGTGCCTACCTTGTGGACATTCGTGACTTCCACACAACGGTTATATCCAGGCACGTCAGATGTTTTTACCTTTTATCTCTCAGACAACCCCCTCTTGATATTTTCGAAAGTCCCTAGCTCCCACCACCTTTGCAAAAGCATTCGACATGGCAATGAATAGCTACAAGGATTCACCATCTATACATAACATCTTATCAAAGCTGTAAAGATCTCACTTAAGAAGGCAGCTGCCACCACTTACCTTCGTGAGCGGAAACACCTTGACTTCCCCCGGCAAGTTGCCCCGGCGAAAATCAGCAAGGAAGCGGCTGGGGGAAGTGTCAACAGGCCGGGAAAGGATCGCCGCCCGATTCTTAGCGGCCAGTATCTGCTCCGCAACGGACGCAAGCTTGAGTGCGCCCTTGCTGAGCGACATTGCCACATGCTGAGCTGGCACGCTCAAATCCGCTCAAAGACGTCTGTGCGGTTAGAAAATTCAGGCTCAGCATGCGTTGCTTGAGCTGTGGACGTGATTTGAGCTGGGGAGGAAGTAGGAGTTATCTAGAGACTAAAACCGCTTCTATTCTACAGGCTGGAAGCTGCCCTCAAGGCACCGAAGGTCAGAAGGGGCTGTATGGCCCTCCAATGCTGCTGCAATACACTCGATGCAATCGACATGCAAATGATCTGTGAAAGTGTAGGTCCTGTGTAGGTCATCAAATTGGTCGTGCGATTGCCGCATCTTTGTTGAGCTCCATCTGGCATCTGTGGCAGCTGAGCAGCTGCTGTAATTTGTGGGGACTTTGAAGTTTGAGGAACACAGTTTGGCAAAGACTAAAGCATACGAACTGGGCCAGGTCCTCCGTTGAGGAAAGCTCTTTATGCAGATTATTGTGCAGCTTCTTACAGAGAATCATTGAGAGGAGGGAGCTGATCTGTTGCTCGAGAAATATTTCCATGAAGAGCCGACGAGAATACCAAAAGTTTCAGTGGCAATTAAGAGCGCTAACCGGAGATGTGACCCTGAAGTTAACTCAACGCGCGCCTGCTTTGAGACCGCGCGCGTGATATGTATTCTAGCACGCGTCCTTGAAGGCCTTGTTTTGTGAGCAGATTTCTAACACAGCACACCATGCAAGTCGTGATACCTACGTTCGCTTTCAAGGACGAGGCCCGCAATCGATTGATGTTATGGGATTGGCCGGGGACAGTCCCCGGCATCGACCTTCTTGCTTCTTGGCTTGTTTAGGCATGGCCGGGCGGGCGCTAGTCCTAGCGGTCGGTTGAAGTGGTCGGACGCACCCGAGGTTTTGGCGGGAACAAGCTCTCCTTTCTCGCAGATTTGCGAAGTGAGTTGTTCAAAGTTGTTGGAATTCGAAGAGAGAAAGTCGAGGGCGCATCCAGCATAATTCCGCTTCTGCTCAGGTTCGAGGCTTTGTGATTCTAGCCTTTAGAAGCGGCCTTCACACGAATCGTAGCTGCCCAAAGAACAGGCTTGCCCACAGAGATGTCGGACGACAACACCGCCCCAACGACTGGTGAGGAAGAGAAGAAGCCCGCAGGCGATCATATCAATCTGAAAGTCAAGGGCCAGGTACGGTTGGCTTCGAAACAATGACATGCGCCGTGTTCCAGCTTTCTGTTTCTTTTTTCCTGCGAGACTTCTCTGACTAGTCTTCCCTATTGCGCGTGCGGCTTGCTCTGCTTGCACAGTTCAAGTTGCTGGAATGGCTTCTTAATCTAGGGGTGGGCAAGTTTGACACTCTCCTTTGTTCCAGACCTCTTGGTTTTGGTGAAGGAGAGAGCAACTCATATGCTTGACAAGTGCTTGAACATGCCTGAAAGGGTCTATGAAGCAGCCACGGGTTGTGGATCCTACACCACTTGTTGTTGATGGTTATCTCGACTACTTCATGTTGTTGGCAACGCCTGCATTGTGCATCATCTACCGTTGTACTGGGTTTTGAGTGCTGTACAAGAAGATTTCGCTTCTGCACTTCTCAGTGTAGAGCAAATATGCCATTTTGAGGTGCAACATTGAAGGGACACATTGGGCACATTGAAGTTGCTATTCACTGTGGAATATAGTGTGTTCGTTTAGGAATTGGATTAAGCAAGCAACACATCGTCGTAATGGGAATGCATTTGCTCTAGTCACGACATAGGCACGGGGTTAGAATCATTGGACTGCAAGAGGCTAGGGTTTTGTTTTTATCAAGGATTTTGGCAGGAATGGGTATAACTTCTGGGCAATGCGTCGTTGGTTACAACAGAAGGTAACGTTTTGGTTCTGCTAGCATCGTACACACAGCGCGCCTTTGAAAGCGAAGATGGCGGTCCGCTTGTTCAGACGACCATGACTGGGCTGGCTCGTACATCTAGCCTTGGTGTTGCCATCTGCCCTAGTTAGAGATGCATGTCTAGAAGCAAGGGCTGGTAAGGTTATATCATAAGTTCACCTCAATTCCCTGTGGCGATTGCAGGATGGGAACGAGGTTTTCTTCCGCATCAAGAAGTCGACGACATTGAAGAAACTTATGACCGCATACTGTGACCGGCAGTCCGTTGATTTGGGCTCGATCGCTTTCCTGTTTGATGGTCAGAGGCTTCGGCCCGACCAGTCCCCGGAGGAGGTATGTCTTAAGTTTATGATGTTACAGAAAAGCTTCTTTGTTGACAAGAATCCAACTTCATGTTCAATCTATAGGGAGCCCATACACATACGTGTATTGCAAGCTTAAACCCTTAGCGTATAGATCGCCGGGGCCCCCGCTGTGTGCACCCTCTTTCTTCCAAACATGTCCTAGAATGACCTTTCATGGTTTGGTCTGTTGAATCAACACGAATGTGTTGCGTGCTTGGAACAAATTCACTGCAGACGGCACTGGAATTCTCCTCAAGCACCTTACATTGACCTGATTGCTGAGTCCCAGTCTATGAAGTAGCTTCATCGAGCTTCGGCGGCATTGACCACAAGCGAGGTTGCATGGGGCTGACCACTCAATCCTTACTAGGTGCCTGAGCCTCGGTTGTGCTGTGTGCAGCTGGACATGGAGGACGGGGACGAGATCGATGCAATGCTGCATCAAACAGGAGGCAGATTGTGAATCTCGTGCTTACCAGCATTTGTGAGGGGCCGAAAGCTTTGGTTTATGTATAGTAGGAAAGGGCGTCGATGAGAATTGCACTTTCTGTGCGTTGAGCAGCAGATATACAAAGCTCCACTGGTCTTGGGTTAGTATACTTGTCACATATAGTTGTCTTTGAGCTCGGACGGTGCTGAGAGATTTACGCTTTGCAAGCAATGCATCACCACTGCACTGATCAATGCCAAGAACACAATGGGCACTGTTTGCGCCATGTCATTATCGATGTTTCATGTAAGTATGTGCTCCAACGCTGAATATCTGCTACAAGCTCGGCTTTTTAAACAACAAAAACGTTTTGATCGCCAGGCTGCTTCCGCTCAGTCACATGCGCAAAGGCGTCATGCAACCGATTCACTTCACAAGTATTCATCACTTTGTGCACATCACATTGGACCTACTGCATGCATATTGTTGAAACTGCGTTTGCAGATTCTGGATTTCAATTAGGCTGGGCAGGTGTCAGCTGACCGGGTGAATGCGGTCTTCCCTTGATTGAAGACATTTTGTCCAGTCAATGTACTGATTGTGGTGGACGGTTTAGAGCAGCATGTGCAAGCTGACACTGCTCTCTTTAATCATCAATCGAGCGATAGGTCTGTACCGCCTAGACCGTGCAGCAATGATCTGCAATACTAATATAAAGCAGCGCTCGATCGCTCGATATCAATGCATGTATACGAGGACGGCAGTGGCCATAGAGTGCGTGGGGATCAAATATACCACACTAGCTGTACGGTCGTTACACTGGCCGCCGCCTGCATAAGCATGGAGTGCATGGCAATTAGTGGATCAGACTCGCTCAGCATAAATACCGGTGAACCATGTGCTCGCCGCTTGATCCTCATTGAACATGATCATTGAAGTCCTTAATCATTGTGCTACAAGATCCTTATGCTGCTACAAACTCAAAACGGTGTTTTCATAAACGCAACGAGGAACACGCAAGGTGCTTTAACCCAAGCCTTCAATTTTATAAACCTTGTGGTAGATTAAGTTTGTCATATGTCTGTGCAAAGCATTTGGCCGCCACTCGCATAGTTGCCCGCTAGGAACATCATAAACCTACAAAAATCCACACTGTACGGTCCAGCTAAGAACAGGGGCAGTTGCCCCAATATTTTCCCAAGACGTTTACATTCTTTTGTTCTAACACGCTGCACAAACTTTTGAACCATATACGAAGCACAGGCGAGCAGATCTGACGCGTTCAGCGTCATTGATCTTCGTGCACTATCACGGCCTGACGGCCCTTTTTCAATGGCTAGCTAACCATGCCCTCCGCGACGTACTCGAACAGCACCTGCTTCACCGTCCGGATGTCCGATTCCTCCTTTTCCGTGTTTTCTCGCTCGGCAATCAGGTGGGTCTTGTCGGTCTTTGGCCGCTTGTTTGCGTGCAACTCTTGTTGAGACAAGGACTGCCGCTTTTTGGCAAGCGCCCTTTCCCGGTCCCGTATGTATTGGATGAGCCCAAGTGCGGTTCGGAGTGCAAAACCGTAGTCCGGATTCTGCGTGTTATAGTTGCGCCCTAGAGATAACAACAAGAACACTATTAAGGCAGGTTGCGACTTGCTCATCCGGATAGAAGAAGCAGCGGCAGTGACAGCGTTCGTTTGCTGAACGAGGTCAGTAGAGGCAGAAAAACTCCCGCAAGCCTTGCGAGAGTACTGTAGTCAAATTTACTTTAGTTCAAATGCACGCCTCGTGCAGATCTTGACTCCTGTCTATAAACAATCTTCATTGCCAGTTGCATCTGACGGAACAGCCTTCAGGGATGCTCAAAGTTCATCGGGGGAGACCACAGATCTTCGAATTCGCCAACACTCGAATCAACGATCAGCAACAGGCCGCTTGCACATTTTCAAAACAGGATGAGATTTCAGAAAGTACCGGCAGCCACGTTGTTCGCGTTTGCATTTGCAGGTGCCTTCCCGTTCTTCTTTACGGCCGGAACAGGCTGGGGGGCTACCGGTGCTGACGGGCCGGCAACCAGCTGGCCTCCTGCAAATCATGGACAACAAAATTGGCAACCTGTCCGCAACCTGTTCGCAACCTGTCCGCAGATGATTGCAACACCAATTGCAACCATCCGGGTCGCAGCCCACCCTGTCCAGAGCCTAAACAGGAACTCCCTACGACTTTGCACTCCTAGATTCGGAAGGGTCACCCGAGTTGTCTCTAGAAGGTTTTTGTTCTCGACAAAGACGCCGTCCACCAAAGATAAGACGGGAGCTGTGTAGATTGAAAGCAGGTGAACAATTCATCTTTCTTCTGAAACCAGGGGACACAGTGGTGAAGCAGGTAAGCATCTCTTGATAAGAAGGTGGCAGTTTCCACATTTCTTTTCGCCAAAGCTGACAGTCGTGACCAGTTATCAAAACCAAAAAGAGACTCGTTCCAAGTCCGCCTCCAGGCCTTTCCACTGAAGTACATAATCCATCCCGTATATCCACTAAGAAGATCACATCAGTCCAAAAGGATAAAAATTTATGGGCTTCGGAGCTGCGATTTCAATTCAGAGCAAGCAACCAAGCTACTTGATTGTACCGCCTGTGCTAACTGTTGCCTTGGCGGTTACCTCACACAGAGTGCTCGGCAGGCCAGGGCCACACCATGACCTCACTCTGACACAGCCACATGCAATGGCAGCCATCATCTCCAAGCCATGCCTTGCGGACACGCATAAGCTGTCAGTTGTGAACAATAAGGTAGAGCATTGACCGCCTACCGTGGTCCATGCCTCCCGGCATCGTCCCCCGCAGGAGCTCCTTCTCCTCCTTGACCTTCTTCCGCATCTCCTTCATCCGCGTGCGCAGCTTCTCGCACTTCTCGCACCCGACCGGGTCCTGCTCCAAAAAGCGCCCTTCGATCAGGCTCGTTACAAGCATCCCCAAGAAGCAACATTGAGCATAACAATGTTGCGCCAGTGTGTTGTCATAAACACCGAACACGCTGTTTTGGCGGAGCCCTTGTGAGGGGATCGCACAGTGAGCCAGCTTTAGTAACTGGTAGTTATTGTGCTAGATGGAAAGCCCAGAAAGGCAAATTTGTAGAGCTACTTGAGTGCACAATGGAGGACTTTACTGACCATGCTAAGGGACTGGCTATGGAAAGACTTAGCAGAAAATAAGCCGGCAGCGCGGGCTATGCTGGCTCCAGATCTTCTATGAAGCACGGCTAGCATACGCAGGTCGTCTCCCCGTATCGAAGAACTTAGCAAGTCAAGTTCTCCTAACCGCAAACGTAGCCTGCTCGTTTGCCTAAGCCTTCCACCCACTCCGTGCCGCATGCTCACCTGGGCTGTCTTTCCAGAGAATCTTAAGCCAGACAGCCTCACGACCAGGATATGGGGTCAGGGTGACCCTCACCACCGCAGTCGCTCCCTTGAAAGAGAAGTGGCCCGATGGGAGAAAAGATACTATTTGACCAGGAAAGATGAAGTAGGAGTAGCTAATGTGTAGTCTGGAAACGAGTGAACATACCAACATTGTCCAGGAGTCAATATCGCCCTCACCTGGCAATGCCAGCAGGCCTTGAGCAGCTGTTTCCAGCCCTGCACCTGGGGGTCCCACTGGAAGAGCTGCGCCCAGGTCGCCCGCTTCATGCAGCACGTCCCGCAGTACCACCGCCGCGTCGTCTTCTGCAGGTTGCGCCCCGACTTCTTGCCAGCACGGTCCATGCACTGCGGCTGCTGGCAGATGACCACCCCACCTGGCAGAAAGGAAGGGAACAAGTCAAATCATTGAATTGATGAAAGCTGACTCTGCGTTTCCTGGTGATTCGTCCACCTGTTGTACTGCCTGGTTGCTGGTATAGGTCTAGCAATCGTAAGAGCTTCTCAGAAGCAATGAAAGTAGAGTGCATGATAGCAAAAGATGGCAGGGAAAGGGAATGTGGTGAAGTATTCAGGTACTGCCGAGAGCTGCTCAAAGGAGTATCTTTATGAACCACGTCTGCTGAGCGATATGTCAGACACTTTGGCAAGGGAATGGCAGAGCAGAGAAGATGGTCTCTCAACTACACTCAATCACTTCGTGGTGCCTATCATGAAGCTCATCCTTGTTTCAGCATGTCTCATCACAACTTGGCGTATTTCAGATCAGCAAAGCTATACAAGCTTGAACTAGGCCGGCAGAGAAGCACAATCTGAGCAACAATCTGGTAGGTAAGAATGCAGTAATTGTCAAGAAATGCTGGCTCGGAAAAGAAGCACAGAGCGAAGCACAACTCCCCCCGGCTATCCATGCTTGGAGGGGCCAGTTAGACACTTTACCAACAATCCTATGAATGTTTTCTTTCAAGAGTTGATGTTCAAGGCCAATTTACAATCTCTAAACAACTACAGAATCTTGAGAGAACAACCCAGGCGCTCAAGTGCTTGAGGGAAGTCATTTGCCCCCAAAATTGTGCCAATACTTCGATCAGACGAGCTGACACCATGTCTGGACAAAGCTGCAAAGCTGCATTGCAAAGTTGCAAATTGTACGGGTCCTGTGAAAGAGGTCCAACTGCAAAGCATCCTCTTCAATGCGCTCAATCTGACAGAGCTGTTTCACAGAGATGTTATTCTCTTTCCCCCAGGTCATAAAGTGAAGACGAATATGAAGCAGACTGGAACCCAGACGAAACAATGAATCTGTGACGGACTCAATTTTGGCAGCCAGAGTATGGCTGACATGCTTGTGATCCACACAAATCGAAGGGCCGTGTGTCTTTGAATCTGTAAAAATGGAGCAAATTCAGCCGCAGCTCTAGACAACACGCCAGGAAAGGAGACAATATCTGCAATCTGCAACTCAAGGACAAAGTGTCCGAAGACTCTAGGGTTCGGCGCAGGCTGATACAAATTGCTCCATTTGCAGGTTACTGGATTGAGCAGGTTGGAAAAGATCAATAACTGCAGCAGGTCAGAAAACTAGCACGGCCAGGATTGTCCCTTGAACTTGGCGACAACGTGGCAGGACTGCTGCATTCTAAGTATGAAAATGATGAAGCTATTGAGGCATATTACACTTCTTGTGAAGCAAAGATTTTTCGTATCGAGGGCTGGTCCAAGAACTCACTGCTTATACATCTGCCCGAGTAAAGCTGGGCACGTGATTGTGAAAAACCAACCAACTGGTGCAAGGACTGACCTGTTCGAACAAGCTCCCGGGGGAACTGCTTGTCATTCTCGAGGAGGTGTTGCATCAAGCCCGTCTTTGCCGGCGTGTGCTGCAGACTGCACCCATGGCACTGCTTGGCCAGCTCGATTCCATACTGCTCAAACAAATGCTCGTCAAAGTAGAATTCTACCATGCTGAACCAGGCCCAAGATTCTCCTGCCTATGGGCGTTCGTCAGGCTCAGCTTGTTGGCGCCTACAGGTCATGGATTGATGGTCCAACAACTGACTCGGCCCCAGACCTGTGCTGCAAGTCGACGCCACTTGAGGAAGATTTTACCAAAGAAGAAGTGACATTTAGTTGGGCAGATTACGGTGCTTCTCGCATAGGGCAGCTGTCCTCGTTAAGTGCTCTCCACCAATGGTAGGAGAAAGTATTCCGAAGACTTCCTGCAAAGGACCGGAGAGAACACTAGAAGAACTGCTCAGCAGTGGCAAAGACAGGCTTTAATGGAGCAGCTGGATTGGGCTTCCAGATGCAGGTATGGCGCCTCGCCATGAATCTGTTGAGCTCCCTTTCAGCGCAGGAAGCCATCTGTTGAGGCTTGAGCTACCTGTGCTGCTCGGACTCTGATCGACTGCCTCACATGAGCAGTCTTTGAATTGAGGAGCCTTTCCAGGATGTGCGCGCGCAAATCAAAGCCTGGCGGCCGCGGTGGCGTGAATTGCCGCCGCCCGCGCCCGGCCCCGCTGTCACGGTGGTGAGCGGCCGCGACGAACGCCGGCGCCTCGAGTCGCCTTCAGGCTTCGGCCCAGCTAGGCTGCATGGAACCGGCATTTTTTGGGTTCGGAAATTCCAGATTTCAAGCGTCAAATAAGCCATTCCTGAGATCCAAAAATGCCAGATTCCATAAAAATGCCTCAAAAAGCTCTTGGTTTTGGAAGTTTTCTAGATGCCAGTTCCACTTTTCTGAGATTTCCTGAAATTATCAGAGATGCCAAATTCCTTCAGAAAAATCAGGCCGTATGCCAGATTCCTGGCCCCAAAAAATGGAAAATGCCGATGCCAAGATTCCGGTTCCAAGGCCGAAGGTGTCACCTGGAATTTCAGTTATGAATTCAATTTCCTCTCCATGTTCCCGGATCATTTGAGATTTGGTATAGGCGCGGGAACGACATCGCAGGCATGCAACTGAACCGGAGGGCCACGAGCATCCATACCTATAACATCCGATTACATCGCATATGCAATGTGCATGCCATGAGAAGCCCGTCAGGCCTATTCTAAGAACCATCGTAATTCTCAAAAAGATACCATCATTGGACAGTAAGCAAAAGCGCATGCCACGTCTGCTTTTCTGATCTTTGATGCTTTATTCGATAGTCGGCCACATGTCGGTATGCACAATCGGATTCAAAGTAGTCCTGATCGCCTTATAAAGAGCTGAATCTTTCTCCGACTCAAATCTTGAAAATAACTTTAACAGAGTTTCTTGTACGCACAAGAAGCTCAGGTTGCGAAATCAGCGTTTGTTAGAGCCTCAGTATCTGCACTACCTGTTCGAAACTGTTAGCTCGCCGTGCTATCAAAGATGCCATGATCATGCCTGACTAGCCTGCTGCACACTGCGTGTCTAAAGTCTTAGGGCTGACAGGCACAGGCTTATAATTATCTATGATGCACCTGCTGTGCCGAACCTCTTAGTCAGTCCTCTGTCGTTAGGGCTAAGCTTTTGATTGTTCAGTTGTATCCGAGCGTGCCGTGCACTACAACACAACACACCACAACAACAACACAAGCAAATTAAAGTCAGATGCAGTCTGTTTAGGCTGACCTACGCAACGCCTTCTGTGATTATCTGTTTTCAGGCTTTGAAACGCGCTGCATTACGCTGCGGCAGTGCCCAAACCCCCATATTCCATACCTGCCGTCTGCCAGGGATCCCTCACTGCCTGGATTGACCTTGACCTCTGACCAGTTGACCTCTTTTTACAACCTCACACCCTGTCTCAAACACATGACCTTCCAAAGACGTGACCTTTGCTCCACAACAAGGGAGCCTTTCCTTCGCCCTGGGTTCCCGAACCTGCACCTTTGCTAACTACTCTACAAACCTGACGTGTTCCTTGGCACCCTGCCCCGCAAGGAAGACCGCTTCCCTTCCCGCTGCCTGAGGACTCGCCCTGGGGAACCCACCCACTACGCCGACATTGTGCGCTCCAGCGACGAGAACGACACAACCCTCGACACCGTGCTGCGGGGGGGCGTGGTAATCTGGTAAAAGTCGGCCAGCCGCTTTGAAACCTGATCTGCCGGCGACCGACTTTCCGTGTTGGCCGTCGGTGTGCCAACGTGCAACACGTACCCCCCAGGGCTCCCTTGTGGAGCAGAGTAGAGCTGCGCCGGCGCCGACTGGAGGCTCCGCAGCCTCGGGCGGGGGGGGATCGAACTTGAGCCCTTTGAGAGGGGGGACGAAGTGTAGACCTGAGGGGCCCCCGGCCTATGCATGTACTGGGGTTCGGCAGAGGGGCTGCTGTTGCAGCTCTTTGAGCGGAGGTTCTGCAGGGCTTGGAGCGAGAAGGATGCGGAGCTCCGTTTGGGGGTGACAAGGCCGTCAGCCTCGCTGGCATACCCCCGGATATGTGCCGCTTTCTGGGGCTGAAGCACCCTCCGCTGCTCCCCCGGGAGAAACTTAGGGCTGCCGGCGTCGAAATCTTCCCTTATGGGGGGGGGGGTAACTTGGACGAACCGCTGCCCCCGAACATCGCTGAATTGGACGCCGTGTGCGAGGGGGTGCAGCGCAAAGCAGATGGGGCAGCGCATGGCGTTGATCTCAAGGGGCCGGTTGCCGCGCTCGTTGTCGAGGTTGTTGCGAAGCGTGCGCTGCATACAGGACAGGTGGCAGAGGTAGCCGCAGCTGGGGGCGAAAAGGGTCTCCATGCAGCTCATGGGGCGGACGCAGACAGGGCATGCGTCGTTGGCGGGAGGCGAAGAGACAAGGGAGCGCTGCAGAGAAAAGGAGGATGTGTTAGGACTGCATAATGCAACATTTGTGGCCTCAAGAGTTTGCAGCTTTGGAAGGGGCTTTCGTGCACCGAATGACTGGAGCTTGTGCTTGAAGCAGGGTTTATTTGAGGAAGATACCCAATGAGAGGAGGATTTGGTTGAAGCAGGGATTTTCTGAGGGGGATAAGGGAACCATAAGATTTGTGGCGCTTGGTCCAGGATAGTTGCAGAACCTCAGCAGTAAATAGAAGATACTTCTTCATCATCCAGGCTGCTCTTCTGACAATCTCAAAACAACAGAGAGCCAGGGTAAATTGCTTGAATGTGGGCTTGATTCAAATGAAGTGTCTTCCAGCTAGCTTGTAGCCCATTCCAACCCCTTTACAGATGACATGATGTGATACTCAACTAACTCTGAAACCTCTTGCTCATATTTGCCTTAACAGTATTGTAGGTCTCACTTGTTGGTTGAGGCATAAACCCTTGTCAATGTAAAAGAAGCAGCAGAATGGCAAGGTGAACTACAGAATTACCTTCCAAGGCTCTAAGAGTGGACTGCACCCACACCATGTAGGCAACATGAAGACTTCCTATCAATGTACATCCCATGTTATGCTTACTATATAGGTTATTGTTTGACGAAGGTTCTTCATATGATACATTTCAGGCAAGCAGACGAAACGACTCTACAATTGCTCGCTCCTCTGGTCAAAGGGGACGTGCATTATCCAGAAGGATCTCAAGACCAGGAAAAACTGTTCTACTCGACATGGTCCAGAAAAGGCTCGCTCAGACGGCCTATGGAATTGCATTCTCTGGTGTTTCATCGTTTTGTGGATGTCACGGTCAGGGTAAGACTGTTTTATTTTTGAGATTGCAAGGCTACCCCAACAGTTCCACAAGCAAACCCTATAGTGATACTTATCCCTAAGCACTAATGCTGCTAGGGCTCTTGAGCAGGAGAATCCAGGTCCAATTTTCAGTTGTCTACTTGAGATGCTCTCATCTACTGAGGTCTTTACCTTATGCACCCGCTCGTCATGGGATGGAGGATCAGCCGCCAAGGGACTCTCACTTCCCAGCCATGGTGCTAAGGTAGCATCTCCCCAGTCTCGCCTGAGCGAGCAGTCCGTGTTGTCGCTCCAACCCCTAGCCAGGTTTCCCTCTCCAGCATCAGAGGAGTCTGCATCTACCTGGTCTGACTCGCTGCCGCTTGACAGGGCAGAAAGATCGTCGCACAGAGTCCCGGCCGCAGACGCACATGCCTGCGGCATCCGGTGCTTACAGGGAGGAGTGCTGCTTGCCGATTCTGAGGACCATTCTGACTTCGGTGACTCGCTCTTAGACGATCTGGAGTGCAAGCTTCGGCAGAAGGCGGAGTCTGGAGTCGACCCCCTGCTCTCCGCTATGAACAGAAGGGTTTTGAACAGCAAACCCTTCGTCATGATGCCGTTGTAGAGCAGCTTCAGTGTCACCACACACGAGTCCTTGTCATCCGCTCTTCCCAGGCGCCGTTTCTCCGGAAAAATGAGGCACCAACAACGACTCTGCTTCTTCCAATGCAGGAAAGTCTCCAAGGTGATTGTCCTGCATCCCACATTTGCCCAGCTTGCAACCTTGCCAAAGAACATATAGATCTTCACCCCTCCTTCAACCTTGCTTCTCCTTGCATTTGAGAATTTAGGTAGGGCGGTATGGCCAGACCCCAGATTGGCGGATCAGGCTTCCGACCACTTCTGACACCACACATTCCCATAATTCGAACAATCTGCAAAGAGTTGCGGATCCGAACTGCAACTTCAAGCCACCGCTGCGGCATTGCAGGATTCAGCACTGAATTTCTGATCCTCTGATCGCGTGCCCATGTGAATTGCAAATTGCTGCACAAGTTGGTGCACAAGTTTGACGAATCCTGTGGCTGCAAAAGATTTGGTCCACAATCAGAAGCAGGCCCGCAGAGCCAGCCCGGATCACCGCTGCCGGTGCGATCAGCAGATCGGGCCCGGCCAATCGGAGGCCGGAAATTGATCCGCTGACGCACGGCGCGCGGCGCCGACCACAGAAATGTCCATCCCCAAGGGCCAAGAAGTTGAACGGTTGCTCCCTTGGATCCTTGCTTGGCAACCGCGAAGTCCTGCCGATCCTGACATTGAGCATGCCGGTACGCACCGTTTCTGGGCGTTGTTCAGCGCCTGCGCAGAGCGCAGACGGGGCCTGAGGCCGGCGCGGACAATCAACAAGAAATTATTTTCTAATAAGAAGGTATGTTTAATCGCACGGAATGGGTAGGGTTAGTAGTTTTAGGGGGGTTCAGGGTCGGCAGCGGCGCGCGGTACTGCCGGCAGGTGACGGTTTGGGTTCGGGTTCACTGTGAAAGTTTACATGGGGGTTTACGCATCCTTTTATTTAGCAATTATAGGTATGATATCAGGGCTGAGGGCGGGTCGGGCTCCGACGCCCCGGGGGGGAGCAATGCAGGCGGTACGAACTGAGCGCTAGGGTACCGGTACAAACCTCAGCGGTACTACCGTCTGCGGTACCCAGGATACTTCTCGATTTCATGTTGACTATTAGGGCATGTTCATTGTTGACTATTAGGACAGCGCTCGGGGGAAAACCAAAACTAAAACCCTAAACCGTAGAAATGACACGCTCCGCACCCGTTCCCACCCTAACCCCCAAACCAACCCCACCCGTCCCCCGGGCTCTTTCCTTAGTCAACATGGCCCTTAGTCAACATGAGACAACTCTAGTATGTACCCAGGGGGTGGTACACTACCAAGTTCCAACCGTGCGGCGTGATCCAACTTGCAAGTCCAAGCTCCTGTATGGTCCGTACCTTGGACGGTCAACTTGAGAAGTTAGGATCCCGTGATACGCGCCGCGCGGTGTATCTGACATCCGTGACGTGTCCGATTGGGCCGCGGTTGGCTGTGTTCCGCCAAGATCCGCTATTATGACCGGAAGCGGAAAGGGAGGGCCTCAACTTCAAGCAGCTTCTGAAGGGACCATCCACAACGGAATGCTGTGGCAGCGCCGACCAGCGCGGAGAAGAAGTGCTTGACCCCACAATGGCAGCTCCAGGGGGCTTCCTGAGTGGCCAAGCCGAGGCCCCTAGTGCTGGCGTGGTCATTCCTGATCAGGAGGAGCACTCGGCATCGGGTTCGTGGAAAGCTGACTTGAAAGGAAAGATGCGGAGTCTGAAGAATGCATTGAAGAGCGCGGGCCTTGGGCGGACACACAGTGCGCAGTCCAAAGATATCCCAGATCCTGCCGATGTGATTGTGGGTCCGGTGATCGGAAAGGTGAGGGCAGCTTGTGGTGGCATTGCAGGGTCGCTGCGACAAATGAAACATTGATGATGTGAATGTTGACATGCAATTCCACTGCAGTCATGTCCAGCTCTGCAACCCAGGCTCTGGGAGCTGGACGTGACGATTTCCAAGGGTTTATTCGCAGATGATCTTCTTACGACTAGCTACCTTTGACAAAAGAAGGGGGCGAAAGTTTTTGATCATTATTGTGGCAACTGGTGGTGGAATCGTCTGGAAGTTTTCAACAAACATCCTGTTGAAACAAACCTTACGTTTCAGGTTACTCCCTGCTTGATTAATCTCAAATTGGGGCACTGCTCCCAGAAACATTGTCCAGCACGCAATTGAAATGTTATAGATGTTCAAAACAGTAGATGGTTCTTTTGATCCACTTTGTTCGGTGATATACCAAGTGATATTCCCAGATAAGCAGTCCTTTCCTGGAATTAATCTTGATTGTCTTAGGCATACGTTAGCCACCTCCCTACGGACTCTTCTTACTAGACTTTTGAATGGAGCCAGATGGACTGTAAGAGTCTCTTCTCCTATTTTGTGTTTAAACCTAGCACCGTTCTTAGAAGGTTTGCTTTGTCTGCCTTCAGATCTCTGATCTTTCTAGATTTATCTCACACGGAGGTCCGAGCGGGCGCTAAACATCCACGGTTTAAAAAGACCAAGAATAGCAGCATCACTCCACGGCACTGACCTCAAGATTGAAGTGACCAAACAAAAAAGTCTCCGTATTCTCGACCAAGGCCCCCAGACGGGTGTGCTGCTGACTGGGGGCCACAGCCCAACTCTTTCCTGACGATCTTTTTTCAAACACTGCAGCATCTTCTCTTTTCACTAGAATAATTTGATCCACATAACGATGTGACAAGGTCATCAGGCGGCATTGCGTCCGTTTGCAGGTTCTAGTGTGAACAAGCCAGTCCACAAGATTCCTGAAAACTGGAACCACACCCGCCGCTTTGAAAGATGTAATCTGCCACTGCCACAGTATCCTTAGTCCCTTTCATTATCTTCAACTTTCTGGAGACTTCGAATTTGTAGCAAGGATAAACGTGGTGGGAAAGTCCATAATGCTGTGCTCGCTTTCATGGTTATAAAGGGTTCCTACTCCAAAACGACTTCGATTCCATTTCATGTTAAAGCTTCCCTCAGTGATCAATTATTCTTGCTACAGCATAAACAGACACTCGGCAGGGGCCCCTCTGAACCTTCGCCATTCTCAGCTCGTGACGGCTACTGATGTCCCCCCCACTTGCAGGTGACCGATTGCACGGCACGCATCCTCATCGAGCTGGACAAAACGGCCCAAGTCACCCTCGCTCTCGTGGACGAGATCTCCGGCATTCTGGCGGGGAGCAAGGTTTTGGCGGTCCCTCCTTTCCAGCCAACAATCTTCACTTTCCAGGGGCTTAAGCCCGAGACCTCGTACTCTGTTCAAATCCGGGGATGTCACTGCGGGATTACGAGCGGGTTCAAGACGATCGCGCAGTGTGCGAACGAAGTGAAGTTTGCGGTGATCAGTTGCAACAAGATCTTCATAACGCGGACGGAGGTGAAAACGGGGACGGGCGATCTGTGGCATCATTTGGAGAAGCGGATCGCAAAGGGGCAGGTGGATATGATGCTGCACCTAGGAGACCAGGTGAGGGTTTTCACACCACCAGAAGTTGTGACTGAGAGGAGTCTGTGGGGGGGCAAGCCAGAGTATTCACACTGAGCAGTGTCTGGTACATTCGTCACTGTAACGGTACGGTGAAGGATACACAGTTGTCAAAAAACCAATATTGCGTCGAAGAGGCTGGAGTTGCTGGGACTGAACCACATGCAAACAAGTACGAACAGCGAAACGACGATTTCGACCCTATAAGCGCGGTGATTTTTTCGTCTGGTTTGCTTGAATTCCCCCTTCACATTGGCAACAACCCCTCAAATGGGGCTCAATCTCGTCGTTCTCAAAAACCGTAGACCTTAGAAAAGGTCGTTAGGTACAGGTGTTCGTCGTCCTTCGATACTCCCCAAAATCATTTTCAGTTCCGACAGGCGTTTCAATGAACTTCCTGAATTGTCAGCCCCTGACCTTATCACACCTTTACGATCTATGAAAATCTAGGCCTTTCAAAGGGCATTTTCTGGAGGTTCTCAGATTCCGGGTTTTCAAATCCTCAAATAGACAAACCCCGCAGGTCTACGCTGATGGCGACAAGGCCTTCGACAAGGCGGCCGCGCGCGAGCACACGAGCCTGAGCAACAAGTTTGCAGTTGCGGAAGACATGCTCAAGGGGATCCCCTGGGAGCAGTGGCCGCAATACTACGACCGCATCTGCGCGATCTACCGCGAAATCTACCGGGAGACGTGGGCGCACCCCCCGACCGCGAGGTGTCTCGCGACGTGCCCGAGCATCATGATCTACGACGACCACGAGGTGGGTTAGCGGGACTGGGGTTAGGGTGGGTTAAGTGGGGATTTTAAGGTCACCGGTTTGACAGGTTCGGGTCATCAAAGGATGGGGTTGACTCGGGCTGAACGGGAGGTCTTGGTGACTCCTCCGTCAGCTCGGATCAAGCATCAATCGTAAGTATTGTGAGACTGGGCACCTCAGAGAGCGAGAGGTGTTCATAGCCTTTCTAGTTCCGAGGTCGCCCAGCGTTCGTGCGCTTCAACAAGAGACAAAGTCAAGTTGGCTCCAAAAATGCTCCTCTATTCTGACTGCGTTGCTGTCTAAAAAAAAGGTGCTCCAGTCTTTCTCCGATTTGGCTCCGGTGAAAGGTGCTTCTAGTTGTAACGAGCGTCCCTAAAGTAGAAGCAGTTCTCCACTATGACCCGTCTTCGTTAGGCTCTCGAGACTGGCTGCAATTCGCCCATGCTTCTAAGCCTTAAGCGGACCCCTGATGCGCTTTTCGTGTGAACAGGCGTCGGCCCGTTTCCATGGCCTGCTCAAAACAGTGCAGACTTCCTCTTTGCATTTTTGCTTATGCTTTTGAATGATTGATCCAGGTTCGTGACAACTGGGGCGACCTCCCGACCGACTGGGACCCCGCGAGTCTTCACATGTTTGTGGCGCGCTGCGCATGGCGGGTGCAGCTAGAGTACCAGCGGCAGCTGCACGAGGACGTCGACTTTGCGCACCTCGAGCGGATAACTAGAGTGAGGATTATTTCTGGATTTGGACTTTTGAGGATGCCCGTTCAATGTTTATCGAGGGCTTTTCGGTCTGTGTCATTCACTTGCGGGAGTATCAAAGGCAGCTGCACGGAGACGTCAAGCTCACGTACCTCGAGCGGGCTAGAGTGAGGGCTTTTGAGACGTTGGGTTCTTCCGCGGCTTGCAGTCCTATGTTTAGATGCGGGATGACGAAAGGCAGCTGCACGACGACTCGGCGGCAGCGGCCTCATATACTTTAATATCCGGGGCTCACGCACTTTTACCACTCAAGCTCCCTCTTCATTCACCTAAATCCCGTCCCTATCCTCGTTCTTTAACCTCCCCACTGGGGACTTCCACTTCCCTGTTGTCGGCGGTGTCGGGCTCATGTTCCTCGACATCCGGGGTTCGCGCACTTTGTGAACCGTCCTTAATTTTGTTCCTAACCTCCTCCCTTAACTCTCCCAGGACTTCCCTGTCCACATCGTGGGCGGCGTCGGGCTCATGTCCCCACCTTCCAGGGCTTGCGCACTTGATACGCTCAATCTCCACGCTCTTGACCTCGTCCCTAACCTCGTTGGTTAACCGCTTCACTCAGGACTTTCACTTCCATGTCGTCAGCGGTGCCGGACTCATGTCCTCACCTTCCAGGGCTTGCGCACTGTCACCGCTCGTATTCCTTGTTTCATACGTTCTCAACCCTGTCTATAAGCCCACGCGTTAACTCTCCCAGGACTTCCACTTCTACTTCGTAGGCGGCGTCCGGCTCATGATGCTCAACACCCGGGGCTCGCATACTTGTTCGACCACGTTCTCAACCGCTTTCTCGACCTCCCCTTTAACCCTCCCAGGACTTCCAATCGCCACGTCGTGGGCAGTGCCGGGCTCAAGTCCGCCGGGTGCAAGTCCTCCCCTTTCAGAACTTGCGCATTGTCACCGCCTAGAATCTTTTCTTACGCTCTTAAACCCGTTCCTAAACTTACTCCTTAACCCTCCCAGGACTTCCACTTCCACGTCGTCGGCGGCGTCGGGCTCATGTTCCTCGACATCCGGGGCTCGCGCACTTTTCACCGCAGGCCTAACGACCCCTACAAATACCTGGGTTCCGACCAGTGGACCGAAATCAAATCCGCGCTCGGGAGGGGGGGCATCTTTGACGGCGTGCGCGCGCTCCTGGTGTGCTCCCCCGCGCCGGTGGTTTTCCTCACCGGCCTAGTTACGGACGAGTTCGCGGACCACATCGCGCGCCTGGAGGACTTCAAGGGCCACTGGTCGCACCGGGACCACCGGGGAGAGCAGGTGAGGAAGCGGTTTAGGGTTGAGGGTCTTAGGGTTTTCAGGGTTCTATGATTTAGGGTCTAAAATTTGGAGGTTTTAGGGTTTTGAGGATTAGGGTCTAGAGTGCAGCGTTTTGAAGTTCTAGGGATGTCACGGATCTTCATCTTGTCGTCCGTCCTTTTCTGGCTTCGAAGAAACAACAGGACAAAGGGGTTTGTTTGGCGAGCAGGTAAGGAGGGTTTCGATTGGACGGCTTTGGGAGGGCTCTTGATGTTTCTTTAAGCGTCAAGTTTGGACTGCTTGTAGGCTTTTTTCGAAGTGAATAAGAGAAAATAGTGTGGGTAAGCGAGACAGTGCTCATTCGTTGCATGGAAGCGAAAGGGTTTGGGATGGCTCTGGGCAAGCGTCTATCGGAAGTCCGTTTCTGAAGCCGTATCCTAACTTGCACAACTGAGTCCCAGTAGGTTAAGGGTGCCTTCGCTCGTTGCTCGGATGCCTATCGCTCATAAAAATCAATATGCAAACCCTTCCTTCAGGAATCAGGACGGTAATCGTTCAGAGGTCCATAGTCGGGATGCAACGAATGAAACTGCTAAAGCGGTTCCACGTAATCTTTTAAGCTCTACTAATCAAAGAGGCCGCTGAAAGTGTAGTCAATCACAACTACAAGTGTCCTCCGCAGCTTGAGTTCCTGACTCGGCTGGTGGAATGGAAGGGCCGCGTCGCGGCAGGCGCGGGCGGCCGCGAGCTGTACATCTTTGGGGGGGACGTGCACTGCGGGGGGCACTCGGACATTCTTTTGGGCGACCAGCTAGTCTTCCGGCAGCTCACGAGCAGCGCCATCGCAAACCACCCTCTGCCCACCACGGCGTATACGGTTTTACGGTTAGCGGGGGACACTCTGGAAGACCTGGGGGAGAACTTCAGTTTTCACCACCATCACTGGACGCGCAGGCGGAACTACGGGTTAGTGAGCGTGGTTAACCAAAACCAGGGGGACCCTGCGGCAGAGGTCAAGATTACTACGCAGCTGGTCGACGGGCATGCGGTCATGACCCACGAGGGGCCGATTGTGAGTAGCTGCGACGAGAAGGTGACCGACTGGAACATTCTCGGGCGGTGCATACGGAGTATAAAGGGCAAGCTTGTGCTACGCTAGCGCAGTGCTAAAGTGGGTTACGGCAGAGACAAGTCAAAGGGCCCTGGCATGCTGAGGGACATGTATACTAACAGTCGGGTGTGAGCTTACCATGCAAAGCGGCCAATAAGAGAGAGGGGCCGGGTGTGTACGAAAAGAGTATAGGTATTCCCCTTATACATTGCTCTAAGTTTCGGTGTAGCATAGTATAGACAAACCTTATTTGAAGTTTTGCAACTTGCACTCCATGCAGGAGCAGGTCTGTACCTCTATAAGATCTGAGCTGATCGTGAACAAGCTTAAAAGCGCGACAAGGCTGAGGAAGTATATACGAACCTTGAAGGCTAAGTTTGTTGAGTTTGACAAGTTTGATCCTTCTCTTACAAAGTCGACCATGCATACTGATCAGGCGCCTGCTGCAGATCCTTCATGCAACAGAACTTAGGCGGCAACTCTGCCGCACACAGGAGCACTCTCTAAGATCTGCAGATTGTTTCGGCCTTTTTGCTCATCAGGCTCGATCGGAGAATAAGTTGCATGCTTTGTATACGGTCTACCATGTGATAAGCCCATACTTGTTGAATTACAAGATATATGCTTGTGCGGCCGCCCTGCTCCATATGCCATCCTATATACCCAGCGCAACCGCGCAGCGAGCTGCGCCGAACTATATAGGCCGACATGCACGATCATGGGCGCTGCAATCACCGATACACGCGCCAGCAGTAAAGGACAAATTTCGACTCTGTCGGTGTTTGTTTCCAACGCGACAGCGCCGCTTTCCTATAATGTCGTCTGGCATGGCAGCGCTCGTGAATAGCGCGTGATTCGTGATATATTGACACCGCCGCCGTTGCGGCCGGTGCGCTCAATTGAAAGTTTTTGGTACAACTTTAGACGGCTATATTCGAGTAATTGGACACCCCGGCCGCAGGATGGTGACCTTGCTACCACGTACATGCAAGCTCGATTGGAAGGTTATGCACTGAGTCGATCTGAATGTAAGGTCGATCAGACCATAATCGATGAGACGTCCTAGTTCGAGAAGCGTCACTTTGATCATCATAGATGGAAGCGTTAAAAACAGTCGCTCGGTGAACTTGCACGTCTTTAGTATCGCTGCAATAAGACAAGTCTATTTTGTACAGTAGGAGCTAGCAAATGCTAAAGCCGGTCTGAAGGATTTCCAGATGTCCGCGCTCTCATGATACAAATGAGGCACGTGGCGTGACGCCCGTCACGGTCTGCTCGAGGAACTCCTCCCACGAGCCGCCCCCTGCGGGGCCATAGATGTCGCCGAGGCAGTCGACGGTGTCCAGCAGCTCCATGAGGTCCTCTGCCGCGTGCAGGTCCTCGACGAGTTCCTGGAACTCCTTAGCGAAAGCCAGCATTGCCGGGATATCATTGAGCCTCTCTTTCATGACAAGCTCCCACGAATGATCGCCCGAGTCTTCGCTGCTGGGCCGCCGAGAGGGGCTCCTCTGAGCGCCGGAGTCGCGGCCCTCGGTTACCCCCCGCCGGAGGGGGGAAGCCTCGCCCGGGGTCCTAGGCGTGGAGGACCCCCGGGAGAAGGAGAAGCTCAGCTCTTCGTCGTCGGGCGTTTGTCCCGGACTTGGAACCGGCTCGGGGAATGCCGCCCACGTCCGCGGCTCTTGCTCACCCGCTCTAGTTCCCGCCCCCCCTTTCTTGAAGAACTTCTGCAGCTTGTCAATTAGGGCGACCATGATCGCGATCGGTTTGACCGCCTTGAAAGCCGCCCGGGGATCAAACCCGCCGTCTGGCGTCTGGACGACGAGGGGCCCGGCGGTGAAGAGGGAGGAGAGGTCGGTGAGGGATCCCCCGGGCGACGGAGATGGGGGCACCGGCATAAGGGGCCGGCTCTCCCGGGTCTGGTTGTAGGCGAAATGGATCGCCCGCTGCAGGAACTCTCGCCGGTGCTTCTGCCACTCTTTCAGGGAATGCAGAAGCAGCGACAGGATCAGCATCAGGTGCACGCTCTCGTCCAATGAGCGGGCGACAGGTGGCGCGGGGCTGCGGGGCGGGAGGCTGCTTCCACCAGGAGTGGAGGCGAGCTCGGGGGTGCTGCTCGAAGGACCGGTGGGCACAGCGTCTGTAGAGAGAGAATCGCAGGAGTCAAGTTTTGATTACAAAGAAGACGGCGAAGCACCGAGGTCTGGATAACACCGAAATCCGCAATTGTTACGGTTTTCAACGTGAACCAAATCAGCAACCGACAACTCAGAAGTGGGAAACAGTTTGGGGCGGTAAAATACCCAGCCAACTCAGGCGTGCCGACAAACCCGGGCATGCCCAGAACGCAGCTATCTGTCAAGTTCGCCTACAGCGTTGAAAAACTTGTCTTTCCTACGCCTGACTGAAAAGGCTACTCACAAGGACTCAAGCTAACCAGCGTCTTACCCGCGAAAGAGCTCCTGCGTGGCGTCGCTGGGCCCGGCGTGCGGCTCGTCTCCGCCACGCCCAAGTATGCCTGCAGCGACTTCCGGAGCGCTCGCCGCTGGCTGGATCCCACTTGCTCCAGCAGATACGCGCCCATTTGGACCATAAACGGCAGCAGCTGCGCGTTGCTCTCCTTGGACCCCCCATGACTGTCCACGGAAAACGACCCCCCCGAAGCGAAGCGCCCGAGCAGCGCCGCCAGATCGTGCGCCAGGAGCTTGAACCGGCTCCCGTCGGCCCGGCCCAACGCCGCGAGATTTTCCCAGTACTGGTCGCAGTAGCGGGAGTAGTTCTGCGGGGTGACGTCAGGGCCGCGGAGCGGGAAGATCGAGTTGGCCAGCGTTTCGCTGTTGCGCAGCGCGGCGCCCTCCCACTCCTTCTTGGGCGTCTTCAGCTTCGAGTCCGCGCGCTTGGCCTCCACGTGGCACGTGAAATGAATCACGTTGAAGTGGCTGACCGTGGTGTAAATAAACTCGGAGCGCGCGCCCAGCATCCCGCCGCCGTTCACGCGCTTGCTGAAGGCATACGTCCCCAGGCACTCGGCGGGTTTGAGCTTGTAACCCTCCCGGCAAACCATGCACGCCAGGCTGTCGTCGCCCTCTTCCTCCATCTCGTCCAACCCCTCAATGCTCGGTTTCGCGCTAACCACGATCCGGTCCGCCCCGTCTGACGTCACCGCGCTCGCCATCCCGAGCCCTTTCAGCATCGCCTCGCGCCTCTTCATCGCCCGCACGCGCAGCTCGTCTTTCGTTGCCTTTCGGAGCGCGTTCACAGTTGCGGTGAGCGCTCCCCCTGAGGCCTCGTCCGAGACGATGTCCAACACTCCCTCGGCCTTCGCCCGGATCTCTTTCTGCTCGCTCGAGACTCCTTCCAGCGCGTGCAGCAACGGGAGCACTCCGTCGCGATCCATGAGGCCCTGTATCGATGGGTGCCCATTCGCGAGTCCGGTCAGCATGCCCAGGACGATGGGCACGCTCGGCAGCAGCAGGGCCTCGGTGAATGCCGGAACGGAGCGTATTTCCAGCGCCACGGCGCCAGCGGAGGTGACGGGTGGGAATACGTCCTTGAGGTAGTGCAGGCCGCGGGCAACGAGGCCGCGTTCAAGGAAGAGCGACTTGAGGAGGTCGCCGTTCGCGTCCAAGCGGATGCTCTCGCAAACCTGTGGAAAGAAAGGCGGCGGTCAGAAAAGGCACAAATCTGGAAGCGTGAGAGGAAAAAAGCAATCAAACGGGTTGAGTGGTGAGTCGTCGAAAGGCGATCTAGGCCGGCTGTGCTTCCAAACGTGCACCGAAGCCTCCTTTCCTACCAGTGAAAAGCTACAAAGGCAGAGACAAAACCTACAAGGGGACATCCTGTATCGACATCATTAGCAACCGTTGTTCGTGAGAAATGTAAACAGACAGAGCTTGAAAAGCACGAGTTTCAACATACCTTCACGAAGCTTTCAAGGCGCTGCCGGTGATCCGCTGCCCTCGACGCGGCCTCCTCTTGCTTCCCGTCCGCCGCACACAGCCGGTCAAACTCCTGGAAGTCCATGAACGGCGCAAAGTGCCCGATAAGACACTCCATCGCTGCCGGTTCTCCATATGTCAAGTAGGGCAAGATCCGTGCCACCGCATCCGCCTGACTCTTCACGTCCTTCTGCTTCCCCCCCCTGCTGTCAGGCGCGTTCCGACCCCCCTGAACCGGGGACGGCCTGTACGACAGCTTGTCCAGAAACATTTTTACAGCCGCCACCGCCTCCTCCTCCCGGGCTTCGCCAGCCCAGCTCCGGCCACGGGGCGTCGTAACGCCCGCACTGGTCGGCGCAGTGAGCGTTACATTGTCGAGCCCCCCAGCCGCCATTTCGTTTGCTTCGGTGACGAGGCTCTCGATGATTTCGAGCAGGGCCTCGGCCGTGCCGTCTTGCTCGGGGGAGGAGACTGAGACGGCAGCGCGCGCGCGCTCGAGGAGCACGTGGAGGGCGTCCAAACGGAGCAGCGTCCGGCGGTTTGTCCGAACCTGCAAACCGATGAGACGAGGCTGCTCAATCCAGAAGGCATTTGAAAGTCCAACAACCCGCTTTCTTAGAGGGTTTTAATCTGGTGGGTCGCTTTCAAACACCAAAAGGTTTGCTTCATATGCGAACAAGAACGCTTTATAACATCTGGAATGAAGGGCCATTGTGGCTGCATCGGTTGTTAGTTGCCAGCGTGCTTGAGGCTCTGCTTTGACCTGCAAAAGCCTGGTAGCACCAGGGGCTCCTTTCTCCGTGCGTATCGTGGAGATTACTAAAAGAGACCCTCCGCATGTTATAGGCTTCTGCTCAGATACTGAGCCTTATCCGAGTGCACAACAAACAGAAGCTAAGTCCCACTTAGCAGCACAGGGGAACACGACGGAACACTTGTGCTGCCTAAGTAGCCTAACCCTTAACCTTCCTTCAAGAGTGACCGTGACAATCAAGTACACGAACACCGCAATGCTATGCAAGAGATCGCCACTCGTCTTCAGTATCAACCATTTGGAAACCCGCACCAAGATTTGAAACCTCACGAGCCCACCTTGCAGCAGAAACCCAGCAGCTTCAGCAGCGCCCCCAGCTCGCCCCGCCCCTGGGGGCTCTCCCGCAGTATCTTCAGCAGCAGTTCCAGCCCCCCACACGTCTCCATTTCTCCCGTGAGCGCAAACTCCACCTCAGGATCCAGTTGTTCCCCCCTGTCGTCGTCCACTTCGCTGATCATGGGCTCGGTCGCCTCGCCGTCCAAGCCCTGGAGACGGTATGTCACCGACATGGGGGGGCAGTCCGCCAGAGACTGGACCCCCATGGCCTGCTGCGTGCGCAGCCACACTTTTTCGTACACCTGGAAGGAGTCGAGGACGGGCTTGTCTATTGCCTCTGAGGAGTCTTGTCCAACATCATGCGGTTTGAAGTCGAGGCCTTAAGAACACCAGGACTGAAGCTCTTCACTTCATTTAAAAAGCTCGAGTATGTAGTTGAGATTGTAGTTGAACAAAGTAAGCATCTCTTACTAAGGATCAGAACGCCACAGGATTTAGACATCGGCTGTTCAAGCGGTTCCTTGGAGGATCATTTAAAGAAGAGGGTGCAACAATCTTTGCCAGCGTTGAGGTTCAGATCGGACAGAATCATAAAGTGTCAGCCTTGCGTCATGGGAGAAGCTTCTCATGGAGAAGCAGGAATTGTAAAACCCCTGAACCAGAACCCCTGAAGTGCCGGAAGCTGTCAGTGCCTTCGCGTGGAAACCAGAGACAGGACCGACCTGCTTGATGCTGAGGTCAAGGCTGACGATACTCCCGGCCACCAGGAGCTCCATCCCGTAATCGTCCTCAATCAGGCCCAGCATCTCGAGCTGGGTGCAGATCTTGTTCTTCACGTCACGCATCAGCGGGCCGACGTCAGCGCTGCTGTACGGGTTCTGGGCCATGGCGCCGCGGATGAACTCCTCCTGGGTGTGGGCCTTGTTCAGCGTCAGCAGGTAGACGGGCTCGGGCCGGACGGGCTGGATCTGCGGAAAAACAGGGCCTTTTGTGTCAGCAGCTCATAGAGGGAAGAATATGCCGGTAACTCAAAAAGAGCAATTGCGGATTATAATAGTGGTGTTGTTGCGTCTGAAGAACATGCACTCCTTATCTCTCATATGTTAATCAGACGACATGAAAGGCATGGCTCGCGCAAAAAAAGGGCCACGATCCTTCAAACAGCCTCTAATCTGCACCCCTTTTGCCGAGGACGCTTCTCCTCGATTACATGGAGTGTTGCCAATTTTGTTCTTTGAATTCCTCTTCTCCTTAGCTCGTCCACTGCGTTGCACCTCAGACCCTTCTAAGTTTCTTGCAAGCAAGCAAGCTTCTAGATCGAATGCAGGGGCGGGTCCGGACTATTAAACCTGCCGGCCACGTACCACGTCGCACAGCTGGTTCATGATGAACGTCGCGGCGCGCTGCCCGCCCCGGTGCTCGTCATTGGCGCCGGCGTGCGCCTCGAGCGCGCCCATGCATGCGCGCACAAACGAGCGCTGCGTGTCCTCGCCCGTCTCGAGCAGCATCTCCAGCAGGCCGCTGAGTTCTTGCGCGCAGCTGGCGGTCAGCTTCGTCTTCTGGATCACCAGCGACTTGAGCGACAGCAGGGCCTCCAGCAATGACGTCAGCAGGCCGTCACGCACAAACCTGCGTGGGCAAACGTTGCAAGGTTGATATGAGTTGCAATAATGTCGTAATGAGGAGACCCGAGCTTCTCAGTGAAATTGACTCGAATGCAAGCAGGGCCTCCTTTCGCCACGTGAGCAGGCCAGTTCTTCGCACGACTCGGCCGTACACCGACGCTGCTAGCTTGGTAAGATGTCGAATCTCAGGAAGTAATGAGGGTTCGAAAAGAGCCGTTCATGTGAGGTGCAAGAGGCAGGACCACCAAGGCACCGTGTGTTAAGCGTGAAGGTCTGAACCACACAGCAACATATTAAGGAGACTACACAAGCAGTTCTGCGTTTGGCCTGAGCGCTCCGTTGTATCTTGATCTAACATCGATGACACATGACTACCCCTTCCTTTTCTGACTCACTTCCGTAATTTTATGCGAGGCCACCAAAGCATAACCTCACCTGTGCCTGATGGTCCCGATCTCCAGGAAGCTCCTCAGGAACCCAATAACGTGCTGCAGCACAAAGCCCTCGTTCACGTTCGCCATCAGGTAGTTGCCTTCCTGAGCCCGGATTCGGTGCACTTCCGACACGATCAGCCCACACGCGCTGCGCAGCCAGCCTTTGACGGTGAGGTACAGCCGCCCGTCCTCCTCCGCCAGCATGTCCCGGTACAGCTCAAAGTACTCGACGACCGCCTCGGCGCGTGCGTGGCGTGCTGACGTCAGCAGTTCCGTCATCAGGTCGAGGAACCTGAAGAATGATGCAGGCTTCAGTACGCGGTTGAAGGGCGTCGTCCTGACTCGCATTGGACTGGACCAAAGGGTTTGGAACGCACTTTGCAAGCAGTGACAAACTTGTCCTCCCGGGCAAGAAGGACACAAACGAAGCAGAAATCACGAACGAAATGGATGCCCGCCACAGTCCGCATGGGCGAGCGACTGACTTGAGCCTCCGTGCCGGGCTCCCGCTTGCTGACAGCGTCCGAACGAGGGCGCAGGCCTCCGTCCGAATGGCGGGGCTGCTGGCGCTCAGCACCAGGCCCTTGAGCCACGAGTCTCGATCGAGCGCGCCCAACTGCCGGCGCGCCCGCGCACCCCGCCACTTGCTCACGACCCTCCTAGTCACGACCTCGGGCCGGAGCTTTAGACTTCCGAGCCTAAGAGGAGTGGACACTCGTGCCGGGGCATTAGAAGCGTCCGATGGGTTTGTAGCGCCTGATGCCGCCTTGCCGCGCTGCTGCTGGGCCAGGGTCTCGAAACTAATGGACCCGTTCGACCATTCCTTGTAGGTGACCGTCAGGCCGCCCTTCTCGCTCCTCTCCAGACGGGGCCCTGGCTGCGACTCAGCGGCCACTACAAGCGGAGCGGGCCTTGTTGGCGGCGGTCGTGCCGGCTGCGGCCAGCTCGTGGCCGCTGACTGCGCGCCACGTGTCTCCTGCCTGACGGCCCCCGAGGCCACCTGCGCGAAGCTCCGCCGCCCGTCTGGGCCCCCTGCCGTCGAAGCCTGCCCCAGGCTGCTGAACGCTTGGCTCAGGCCCCCCACAACGGAGCCGCCCGGCTTCGACGCTGCGTCCGCTCCCTTTCCGTTTCCGTTTCCGGACCCCGCCGCTGGGACAGTGCACGCCTGCGCCACGATGCGCAGGCAGGACAGGATGACGTTTTCTGCAATGGGGGGGCTGTCCGTGCCCACCTCGACTCCCCTGAAGAGGATCTCGAACGCGAGCTTGAGGCGGGGCTCCCAGCAAGAGTCGTTGAGCGAGCAAGCGTCTCGCAGCAGTTGGCAGTCGTTCTTGGCCTGCACTGCCAGCTCGGTGGTGCGGGGGTGGTCCAGGCAGTAGTAGACGCGCTGCCGGATCAGCGACGTCAGCGACTCTGAGGCGGCCGGGTTGTCGCGCACCAGCGTACAGATGAGCAGCCGCGTGCTCGACCGCACCTGCAAAGACCTTTCGCAGAGTTCACATCAATGCTCAAAAGAAGCACCGAGCAATGAAGTGATTGCTAGGACAGGAAGTCAGATAAAGCAGGTTGCCTTCTGAGTCGGTCTTCCTAACTGCAAAGCAAAATCTGCCAGCTAGCAAAGCCGAGTTCTCGGGTTAGCAACCTCACAATATGTGCATCTGTACCCGTGCTAACTCCTGTGTGATTGAAGGAGTTTGAAACATTCCTGAAAAGTAAAGGACGCCCCTCATGAGTACGTCGCTGGTTGTTTTTGGATTCACCCATCAATTTCAAGAAGCGCCCAGAAAAAGCACAATCACGGCAGCAGCAGAACAGACACTTGCCTGCTGCGAGCCGTGGTGGATGCCGCTCTCAAACAACTCCTGCACAAGGCCTTGATCCACCATCTTCTGCTTCTCGCCCGAAGAGTCGGCCAGCAGATGCAGCCACTCCAGCGCATGCGTCACCAACGTGCTGGCACACCCGTAGCAGCGACTGGGAGGTCGTTTGGGCGCCGTCGGGAGCACCGGCGCTTGGGTCGTGCCTGCGAAATCAAAGTAGGGTAAGAGAAGGAATCAGAAACGTGCACAGGAGAAAGCTTCACTTCCTTGAGGGGATGATGTGTCGGAAGCAAACAAACGTGACAAATAATGATCTGCTCTCTTCCGTTAATCTTGAGCTCGTCAGGAGCTTTGAAAGGTGAGCGACTTCAGAGAAACATTGAGAAAGAAGAGAGACCGACTTCCAAAGAAAAATTGGTGAAGCCTAAGGACCGTGCGCCACAGAGCTCTTGCAGCGGATCAGGAGGTTCGCTGCAGCCAAGCCCGACCTGCGCTCGACGAGCTCCTCTCCAGGTACGCCGTGAGCGCCTTCCGCGCCCCGTGCAGCGCCTGGACGCTGCGGCTGACTTGCTCGAACGCCTCCTTGCACTTGTTCCCGTAGAGGACGCCCAGCACCGCCACGTTCTGGTTCACTTTCAGGGTGGGCGAAGACGAGGACGGAGCGGCGACCTGGGGCGCGACCTGCACCGCGTCCTGGTCGCCGGAACCGTCCCCGACCATGGAGATGAGCCGGAGGAGCGGCTTCTTGGTGGCCAGCAGCTGCTGGTACTGCTTGTGGGCGTTCTCCGACTCTTTCTCGATGACGGCCAGGCACTTCTGCATCGGAGATGAACTGAGAGTCAAGTGAGAACGGGTTCGTGAAACCGTCAAGTTTCGTTTCTCCATCCAGGACTGAAAGCATCCTTTTGCACCGCTCGCATCATTTCTCCATCAGCAATAAGCATTCTCTGGCTTCATTGCGCGAAATGGATCGATCTCGCGAGAGGCCTCACCCTCCGTAAGAGCTTCTCGCATGCTCCAAACTTGCAATTCAGTGCAACGGGTTTTGGCCAACTTACCTGCATATCGTCCTCGGACTCGATCGCATCGAAGGCGAAGCTGGGCTTGGCGTTGACGCTGAACTCGAAGCGGCCGTACTTGCTGTAGCCGCACTCATTGCAGAGGAAGGAGTCCAGGTTCTCGTAGTTGATGTTGCGGCACTGGCGGCACTGGAAGCAGTTCTCGTGGCAGTGTGGGCAGATGCCGTGCCGGTCGGTCACGTGCCTCGAGCATCTCGGACACTGGAAACAAGCAAAGAGGAATCTGCATATGCTCCAGATCACGATGGGCTGCAGGGCTAAAGTTGGCTTGAAAGTTGGCTTGAAAGTTGGCTTCAAAGTCTGGGTTTTGCCTTCTGGCGCTGGCTTAAAGTGGATCAGGTGCTCGACGTACGTGAAAATTCCTGATTACCAACTTCTAATATCTACCGCCGAAAAACGATCCTAGCGGCAGAATAGAGCCGCAAAAGCTTTGCACAGAAGTGAAGGAAGACAACCAAAGACTCTGCAGAGTGCTGAAGAGACCTTGACAAACAATACAACTTCGGAATTGATATTCTGAAGAAAGGGTGTCAAAAAGGAAACCGCAAGCACAGAAAGCACAAGGGACATGTAAGGCAGCCGCCAAGGCAAGCCCTCCCCCGGCATAGTTTGTCTTGCAAACGAGCAGACGACTTCAAAAACTCTGACAAAGTCGCTGCTCATAAGAAAGGGAGGCAGGCGGGCTCACCTGCAGGTGCTCGAGGCTGCTGGCCTGCAGGTTCTCATACAGCTCCGCAAACTCGAACATGAAGTTGCACCCTGTGACGGGCACCGTCAGCTCCGCCTTCAGCTCCGCCTGGTTGGGCGCCAAGTGATAGCTCTTCACCTTCTTCCAGAGCGCCCAGTTGCCCTTCAGCTCCGACAGGTCGCTGGCCGCCCGGTTGTTATAGTATAAGCGGAGGACCTTCACGCTCTTGGAGCGGCGTGCGTCGTGCACGGCCATGGAAAAACTTTCGAGCGTGTAGCTGCTGGGGCAACGCACGAGGATGCGGTTGTCCGTGTACTTGGTCTCCTGCTTGATGCTCTCCAGCTTCAGCTTCGAGAACGGCACCTCTACGTTGTTGCACGCGGTGCACGGCTCGCTTTCCAGGTAGTACCCGTCGAATTCGATCAGCGACTGAAGCGTTCCGTACGCCCGCCCGTTGGGATGCGTCTCGAGCAGCCGGTTATGCGCCCGCAGAGCGTCGAGCACGCGCGCCGACACGCCCGCGAGCGTAAGCGCCGCGCTCCAGCCGCCCGGGTCACGCTCCGCGCCCTTCGCGAAGAGCCACTTGAGCAGGCCGGAAATCTCGTGCACGTTGGTCCCGTACGACGAAAGCTCGGGAACTGCACTGACGATAGACGCTACAAGAACGCCTCGCTGCGCGTCCGAGTCCGCCCGCAGCCACGCGTTTTGGAGCACGGCGCGTGCCTGGACCCGGACCGCTTTGGCTCCGAAGTCGAGCAGGAAGAATCGCACGAAGCGGTCCAGCTCGGTTGGGTTTCCCAAAAGAAACTCCGCCGAAGGCCTTGCTGACGGCGGGGCGCCCTCTTCCTTCTCCTCCGCCAGGGCCAGCGCCAGCAGTTTCAGAGCCTGGAGCACCGCCTCCTCCCCCAGAAGATACGACGCCCGCAGGAGAAACGTGAGCGCGTCCGGGGTTTTGCCGGGGGAGCAGAACCACTGCCAGCTGCGGGGCCGCTTCTCGGCCGTCTCCGCGAGGACCCCGAGGCACTTGACCAGCTTGACGGTCTTGTCGTGCGGCAGCGGACGCTGGAACCCGTCCGACTTGTCCGACAGCCGCTGCAGCTGCTGCAGCTCCTTGCCCAGCAGCCAGTTGTCGCGCGCCAGGTTGAACGCCGGCTTGTTCCTGCCGCACGACTGCAGGAGCACGTGCCGTGCGCTGTCTCGCACGAAGTGGGTCTGCGAGCAGTAGATGTACGAGCAGAGCACGTCCGCCCACGGCCCCTCCGGCGCACTCCCGTCCTTGCCGGCGAGAGCCCCGCCGTCGATTTTGACTCCGCTTTCCGTCAGTGCCTCCGCGAGATCCAACGCGGCCCCCAGCACGAGCTTAGGGAACTCGGCAAACACGCCGCGCCCGTGCGCGCGCGTGTACGCGTCCGGGAAGAAGGGCTGCAGGCTGGAGAGCGTCTTGTCGTGGCGCGAGTGGAGGAGCGCTCCTTGCTGGTCGTGCCCCGGCCCGCCACTCTTCTCCCGCTTCGGTTTTGCGAACTCTGGCACCAGCCTTTGGAGGACGCTCAGCAGATACTCCAGCAGGCCGGGCTGACGCAGCGCTTCTTTTGGACCGTCCGCTGCCCTCGGAGCTTCCGGACGGTTCTTCCGTTTGTGCCCCTCGACCCCCGTCCCAGGCTCTCCATCGGCGCTTTCCCAGTCCGTCAGCACAAACGCAAAGAACTTCAGCGTCAGAACGGCCACTTCGCCCCAGTCAGACCGACTCTCCACCGGCAACGAGACCCCCAGGTTGAGCTCCCGCAGCATTGCCTCGACGAGCCGCCGCACGTCGAAGCCGTCCAATCCCAGCGTGCCACCTGGCGCCCTTTCACTGGCCAGCCGCGCCAGCAGCTGCAAGATCGGGACTGCCTCCAATCCCGAGCAGCGGTGCATCCAGCCCACGTCAGACGCAAAGCTCTCCAGCAGCATTTTCCGGAACAAGGCCCGAGGATCGGTGGCCGGGGGTTCCTTTTCCCGTTCCTGAGAGGCCCCATTTGCAGAACTGGGCCCCACCTGCCCCGCTTCCTGTGAACCATCCGCCACTGCTCCACCAGTCACGTCACCGCTTCCCGCAACCGCCTGACGACCGACCAAACTTCTTCCCGCATCAGCGTCTTTGGGGGCCGCTGCAACCGGATCTGGTTGCGTCTCCTGCATGCTCAGCTCCAGGGCCAACTTCAAGTGCTCTTCTTCCGACATCTCTTCTATCGCAAGATAGGCCGTTCCCTGCCCCTGACCCTCCACAGAGGAAGCTGCCTCTGCTGTCTGGCTGCCTGCGGATCTGACAGGCTGCGGCTCTGCAGGTTCGCTGGCTTCGTCTGAGTCGTCGCCGCTGTCTGACAGAGGGTGGCTCGAAGCTTCGGCGACGCTCCGGGGGTTTGGGATTGGTGTGAAGCTAAAGGGGTCGTCGACGGGGAGGCAGACCATTGGATGCTCCTGGAAAGCGAACGGAACCAGGTTTGAGTAGAAGCTGATGTTTGCAGAAAGATCAAGAAAGAAGAAAACAATGGATCCCACCTACTGTTGTACAAAAAACGACAACAGCTCATCATACTTTTAAAATTGACTTGACCAACCCCCAAGGGACTTCTCTCGGAGCAAGATCAGCTCAGATGTTGAAGATGAGTTTAACATCAAGCATTGCTGATAAGAGAACAATTAGCTTCTCAAACAATCAAGACTCTGTCATAATCAAAGAGCCGCTGTGTAGTCTGAGAAGAAGCAACACAATCGGGGAAAAGCCAGTGAGAATCCACAGAAGGCGGCTTACCGGTCGGTGCTGGTCAAACCGCCGCTCGCCCCGCCCCTCATAGCACCTCTCACAAAGATCAAAGTCGGGACACTGCGTACAGTGCCACCGCCTCCTCATGATTGGACACGCGCTGCAACCGTCGCAGCTGAACTGCACCGCGTCTACAACCACATGCGCCGCACGTGCGGGCATCTCCACCACTTGGGACGGGCCACTCTCCGCAAGTGGCTGGAGGGGCGTTGCTGACGTGGCAAGCTTTGATTGGAGGAGGTGCGACGAGAGCGCCACGCTTGCGGCAGAGCGGACCGGCTCCTGCGGCGAGAAGAGAAGCGCCTGGAGCACGCAGAGTATATGCTCGGCCCGCTCCGGGCCGCTTCGAGCTGTTTGCGCTTCACGCTGCTGAGACTCCTTCTCTGAGGGGGGCTGTGAGCCCTGCTGTACGGAGGCAGCCGAGCCCGTCGGTCCGGCAGCGGCTCCGGAAGCAGCCCTGTCTTCTGACCCAGTACTCTCTAGCTCCCGATTCCGGCTGCCCAGGGATCCCCGGGCCGCAGGCTCTCCAATCTCTGCCAACGCCTCTTGGGCGCAGCCACAGAGCACTTCCACTAGGTCGATTGTCAATGCGCTGAGCTCCGTCGCCTCTAGGCTCTCCTTGCCGACCACCGCCTCAAAAGCACCGACCAGTTCGTCGCTGAACCCTGGCCCCTGACGAGCGACGGCTTCCCGGAAGTGCTCGAACCTCTGCGAAGCAATCTCGGAAGCCCAGTGCATCTGAGAGCCGAGAACGTGCGCAGCGCGGGCGCGCGCATGGTGGCCCCCCTGGGAGAGCGCACGCGCGCAGGGGCCGACCGAATTCGCGAACGCGCTCATGAGGAGAGCGTCTTTGGCTCTTTGCAGTTCGCTGGGCCCCGGATGAAGAGAGCTCAGGACCCGTTGAGCGAAAGCCTGGACGGAGGGGTGTGGCTCGCTGGCAGAGACCGCCTTCTCCAGAAGGGCGAGGCAGCCGGGGGAGGGGTCGATCGAACGGTCCGAATTTGGGGCGGCGGTGTCGTCCAAAGCGTCCGACTGTTCCTCCACGGCGTCCTCGAAATGATCATGCCCGGTAAGGCGGGGCGACAAGGTGTGCTTTGAGACGGGACTCACACCACCTGAAACAACAAAGAATCGATTGGTGTTGGATCCGGGCTCACCAGAGGCTGAGTCAGCGTAAGGGCTACTCGCCCAAATAAGCTCAAATCTCGCATGCGAGCTGTGTGTCACGGACTTGTCAGTGACGAAAGCCCACGAAGGAGGCGCTGCTGACCGGACTTCTTCAAGCCGCTTCAATCAACAAAGCAACTGCATAACACAGACAGACGACCTATTTGCAAAGACACGGCGAATGCCCGTCACATGGGATGATACCCATAGAATCCGTCTTTGCTTTCCATCGCGAACCTACATAAGTATGCCAGTGAAGGATTCAAACACAGCAGTTTACAAGCTGTGAAGACAGCACCTCACCAGTGGCTGACCGGCCGTAGAAGAGGCCGAGGACCTCGAGTCCTGCGCAGAGGCCCTCTTCAATCGGGCTCACAGGCGCTGCGGCGGGCGCGTCTGTTGGGGGCGCAGCAGTCGCGCTGGGGCCGGCCCGGTTTTGCTGCAGCAGATCCCGCATGCTTTCGACTTTCTCCCGCCAACCAAAGTCCTCCTTGGAGCGAGCATAGACCTCGATGGCGTCAATCCGAGAAAGCTGGTTGTTGGGGGCGGATCCGAAGGTAAGGGTGAAGGAGCGGTCTGCTGTGAGGGACTCGACAACCGTGAAGGGAATGTCGTACCACCTTCGATTCCCTGCGGAAGGACGGAAAAACGGATCTGAGAAACGCAGTCGACGTTCCTAAGACACCGCGGCGCAAAAGAGAGCTCAGAACAAGCATGCAAAAAGCAGCAACACCCTCCGAGGCCCTTTCAAGCTTTCTAAATCGGCGATATGCAACATCGAATCAAGTCCTTCAGTCATCAGGCAGTCCTGACGCCCATCCTCAGCTGGCTTCTGCAGATAAGCTCCACCAAACTTGAATTATGCTTGCATTATTGGGCGTCCTCACAAGCTTGCTGTTTCCCAACCCACCTTCTTCCAAGACGACAGTGCGGTCGAAGACCTGCACTTGGCTCGGCACGTTCGCCCGCCCGGTCGCCCCGACGTGAATCCGACAGCCGACCATCACCGTCTCTGCCGCAGAGTTGTTCACCAGGATTTTGAACGGCCGGGCGGTGGGGGCCTCCAGAAAGCTCTCCTCGGCAGCCAGGCTGAGCTTGATGGCGTCCGAGTCCCCCAGGTCTCCGCCCCAAGTTACGCTCTGGGTGATACATTGGGTGTTCTCGAAGAAAGTGAGGGGGAAAGAAGCTGCCAATGCCGCCGGCTGGGGACCTCGCCTGTCCGAACTCTCTACTCTACCCCGGACGTACGCACTTCCTGGAACGCCGTACCGGTCCCCGACCTCCGCGGGCGCATGCGAGAACACCTGGAGACCCCCGTCGTCGTTGAGAACCAGTATCGAGCTTTTCTGTCCCGAACCTGGCGGCGCGTATGTCGCAACCCCCTCCATTCTCAGTAAAGACGACCCGCCAACCTGACGGAGAGTCTGCGTCCCGACGGACCCTTCCGCTAACTGCACTGCCACCGCAGCCCCCTGCCGCGCACTGTTCACTGCCACGTACACCCCCGAGGCTTCGCTCACCGCCCGCCAGAAATGCAGGTTCCCGCTTCGCTCGTTCTCGGACAGGAAGCACACCTTTTCGAAGGAGGTGAAAGTGTCGGCGAGACGGCCGATCACCACTTGACCGTCCTCGTATGAAGAGATCAACGTGCGGTGCTCGGGGAAGTGGGACAAAGAGCAGCCGCGGCTTCCAGGCCATTGCCGTTCGGGGGGCAGCTGCAGGCGCTCAGTCAGGGAGATGGCCCCCTGGCTTCCTTCCTGGGGGGACAGCTTCCCCAGGAAAAGTACCCCCTGCTGGGTGAGGACGATGATTCGCAGCAGGTCGTCGGAGTCCCTTGCTAGCACCGCCTGCTTGATGCTCTCCTGGGGAACGGTGACATAGAAGGCGGGGCTGATCTTGTCCTTGGAAAGGTCGTAAAGTTTGACCGATCGGTTGGTCACCACCAGGAGCTCAACCTGACTGCCCGGCACCCAGCTCGCTTGCACCACGAACGTCTCAGGCTCTAGGGCCAACTCCACAGCTAACCGGTCCGTAACCTCGCCCCGCGAGTTCAGAATGAACACCTGGCAGTCTTCAAAGCCGGACACCACCAGGTGGGCGTCGTTGGCCGGGTTGAACTCCAGGTTAAGGATCTGGAAGCGGACCGAGTTCTTCGAGAGGGGTTTGGGCGCGCCCTTGTCTGCAGATGCCGCAGTCAGAACGGCTGCCTCGAACAGCGACACTTTGTCGCCTTCCGCGATCGCGACCTTCCCCCTCCTGCTGACTGTGAGTAGCGACTTGCTGATCGCTCCACTTGCAATGGCAGCTTTCACTTCCCGCGCCGAAGAGTACTCCATCTTGAGCTTCGTCTCGAACGTGCCATACTTGTGCGCCCGCGCGAACGTCACAATGTCGTTCCGTTGCGTCAAGCCCCCCGCCAGCGAAAAGTCGAACGCCGCTTCGTTCTCGACGTCTCTCAGGCCGCCGTTTCCGAGCCCCAGCGCGTCCGCAAAGCTGTCGCAGAGCTTTAGGAGAACCGCCTCCAGCCCCTTCTCCTCCAGGAACGCCAAAACCCCCGAGTCCACCCTCAGCTTTGGGAACAGCTCGCTCTGTAACGCCTCTTGCGGCTCGTACCATGCCTCGCTCCCGGAGTCGCTGGCAGTCTCCCCGAAAGCGCGGCCCCGAGCAGAGGCCCTGTCAGCCGGCGCAGCGCTGGCAGAAGACTGGCCCCGCAGGTTTGAGGAAGTGTCAGAACGGGGCCCCCGGGGCCTTAGGGCCTGGCAGGGGTTGTTCCGCGAGCCGCCGGCGCCGCAGTCGCAGAAGAAGCGGCTGAATTTGGAGTAGACAACCTTGTGACCCTGGTGGCAGACGCGCGCGCAGGTCGAGCAGCAGCCCTTGGATCTGCGGGAGCAAAGAAACTGGTTAAAGAGTGTGCTGACTTGAGCTAACCCGTCACTTTTCCAGATTCATAATCTCAGCAGCTATGAAAGGTCGCATGCTGACCTTTCGGCGAGGAAGCGGCAAGTTTTCCTCTGGTATCGCATTCAGATCGACAAGGTACACAATTCTGTGCTTAAAACGAACATCAAACACAAATCCACAGATTATTAGGATGGAACGCTGTCTCTATTTCAATCCGCCTCTGCTATAGGAGAAGACGAGGACGCCGTTGAAAGATTAAGGGCTTCTTAGGAAGAGAGGAGGTCTGTAAATAGTACTGGTAGTGCTTCTACGACAGTGCATCGAAAGGCCTGGACGGCTCCACTGAAGATCGTCGCGAGCACTTCCCGCAGAAATATTGCTGACAGCTGGCAAATACATTTCTCATTACGTTGTCTCATGCAGTAGACTCCAAGCGGAAGAAACGTTCAGCTGTTTGCACGAGCCACTTACATAACCAGGTCGCACGTGTAGCAGAAGTACCAGTGCTGCTCAATGAAATTGCTGCCGCTGGCGCCAAAAGTGCACAGCTTGGCATCATCGTCGTCGCTGCTGGTCTCCCCGCTCTCAAAGTCGTCCTCCTCCATCTCCACCGTCTCGTCGTCGCCCTCAAAAGCCTGCAAAAGTTCGCAAAAGGAGTCTTTGAACCGGCATTGTGAACCAAGAGTTGACGTTGGTGGAAAAGTTGGTATGCTTTCAATCAAAGACAGACTGCAGAGCAGGTTCTTGGTACGGAAAACCAGCGGCTGCGTGCCTACCGACAATGTCAGGGAAGAGCTTTCTTTCTGCAGAGACACTGACAATCGCCGGCCAGATAAGCCCTCCCCTGACCGTTTCTGAGCATGTCCCACGATCGTATAAGGAAACCTTGGCTTATAAGCATCTGGCGAACGTCGGATGTATGAGCGTCTTCAAAGCAGCTGCGCACCCAAACCTCCTTTTCAGCAAGCAGAACAAGCCCTCACCTCCTCTTCCTCGTCCTCCTCCCCAAACGAGATCAGGTCTTCCTCCTCTTCATCCTCCGAATCCTCCCTCACAACCTCGTCTCGTCCCTCCTCCCTCGACTCCACGATCGCCTCGTGCACCTGCGGGGCCCTGTTCCGCGACGCGCTCCTATCGCGCCGCTCAAAGTGGCCCGCCCTCCCCGGCCGGAACAGGACCTCCTGAGCGGACGGCACAACGCCCTGCTGCTGCGCAGCGGAGGTCGCGGCGGCCGAATTAAGAACGGCGCCCAGGAAACCCAAGAGTCTCTGCACGTGCCCTAGCTGCTCCGCGCTGATTGATCCGGCTTGGAGGGCAAACGCGTCAAGCAGGTCCGTCGTGACCTCGAGAGTGCGCTGGATGAGGCGGGGGTGGTCAGCGGAAAGGCGCACGATCAGCTCAAAGTAGGCGTCCACGCTTTTGGCCTCGAAGGTGGCGTATGCGGGCTTGAGGCGCGACAACAGGGCCGTGAGGAGCTGTGAACTGAAGTCCTCGCTGCAATCTGTAGAAGAAGGAGAAGTTCATGAGTCTTAGGTACATCCTTTCCGGATGCTTTACTGTTCACCCGATATCGATAGAGCAGGGCCGTTCAAGCAATGATCAGGAGCTGTTGTTAACAGAGGGTTTCGAAGAGTGGATTCAAAAGAGGGTGCAGAGAACAGGCGACCACTGCGTTTTTTGAGGAACAAACCGATGACTTCGGTCGACGTCGTCCTGGGCGCTGTTCTGTCAAGTCGATCCAACTTTCCCAAAGTCGCCAAATGATGCCGAATTGAGTGAGAACGCAGAAGCCCACCTCGACTGTCGTGCACAAGCGCCTCCAGCAACTGGCCGGCGCTCTCTCTCTGCTGTGCCGGGACATGCCACGTAAGGGACCCACCAGCGCTGCCCAGCAATCTCTCTTGCAGCCACGTGGCCAGACCTGATTCGCCCATGCCCAACAAGCCCGCCCGCAAACGGTGAGCTATCGCCCCCGCAAGCAAAACCCTTGGCGACCCGGTTTCCGTCTTGGCCTCCGAAGGCCCCCCGGCTGTGCTTCCGAACCCCACTCCATCTTTTTGCGGGCTTAGTATCTTCACCAGGAGGCCGAGAATCCTCCCGTTTAGCAACGAGCTTGGACTATTTGAGAGCGCGCTCAGAAGGAACGACAGATCACCCTTGACCGGCTCCAGCCCTGCGCCGACTGCATCGTGCCCGCTATTAGGCTTAGTAGCGGCTGCAGAACTTGCTCTGCCTGACTCGCCCGCTTCGCCTGCCTTTCCAGAGAAGTACTCCAAAAGGATGGTTAGGCCTCGCCCCGTTGGTTCGTCCAGGAGCGCCTCCAGCTTGTCTGCCAGGTCGAGCGTCAGAGCTTCCAGAACCGTGTCGAGATGTTTCTCGAGCGGTGGCGGAGAAGGGTGGGCCAGTGCCGGTGCTTGCTGTCCAGGCGCACCAACCACCCGCTGTTGCAGCAGAGTCTGGCAGAGCGTCACGGAGTGGTCCAGTTCGCGCGAGGTCGCCCTTTCCTGCAAAATATAAGGTGATACGTTCTCAGGACTGTGGCATTGTCCTCGTCAAAACATGGCATCCGATTGTGAGAAGGGAACCACATCATCGTTATTTTGAAAGCTGCAACTGACAGGCTTGACGAAGGCTTCGTACAAGATGCGTAGATAAGAGTATGCGAACCTAAAACACCAATCGCAAACTCGAGACTTTGCTTCACTCGTTCGCATCTGCAAGCTGCAGCGAGGACGCCATGTTCTGGGGCAGCCAATACGAGAGTAGTCATCTGTCTGCCTAGGAACATTCAACCCAAGAGTGAGAGACAACGAGAAGCAAAGGGGCCTCACCGCATCCAAAGAAGGATGGCTTGCCCAGATACGATTCACGAGCGCCCCCTCTGAGTCCAGCAGCCCAGTCAGGGTCGCCCTGCTCAGGGCTTCTTCTACCACAGACCACCCGCTCTCGCCAGGTTCGTCGAGCGAGAGCACTCCCTCCATGCAGCTTAGAATTGCACCGATGAGAATCTGGGAGGACGCTACTGGGGCGCTGGTCACTTCAGCCGTCGAGGGGAAACCTGGCAGCAGAAAGGCCGCTTCCAACCACCTCTCCGAGTCTGCTCGAAACACCCCGTTCACAACCCTCTCACTGACAGAGCTGTCCGTCGCTGCGTTCCCCGCTAGCTGAGAAGCTGGTGAGAGGCCGTCTAACAATCGGCGCCCTCCCTGTAGAATCAATCTCACGGTGCTCACGCTAACCCCCCCTTTCACGAGCGCCCCCTCTAACGAGGCCCGATTGCCAAGCCGAGCCCGGAGGAGAACCATCACTAGCTGCGCCGCCTCCGCGCCGTAACATCCCTCGAGATACCACCGCAGGCGCCTTGCGTACCGGTCTGCGGCACCGTCCAGAAGGGTACACAGCTCCCGCAAGAAGGCGCCAGGTTCCTTGCTCTCCAACCACTGCCCAAAGGACTCGCTCCACTGGGCCGCCCAGGGTCTGGCTCCGTCCCCTGCCTTCCGCTCCCGCAGCCCCGCTTCGAGAACCGTCAGAGTGCCAATTGCCAGTGCGTCGTTTTCGTGCCCGGCGGACGCCGACCCCAGCCTGACTGCAGACCACACGGACGAGAGCAGCTCCACCGTCGCTTCCCGTGGCGAACTCGGCCTCGCTTCTTCGAGCAGCTCTGCCAGCTGGAGAGTGGTCGCTTCAGCTGAGTCTGCCTCCGAAAGCAAGGGAAGAGGCCACGACCGCAGGTTCCGCCAGCACACCTCAGACAGGTACCGATCAATGAGAAGCTCGGTTGTGCTTCCGCAGTGGAAACGAGGGGACGCCAGTATCCACAATAGGGAGCGCGAGAAGGAAGCAACGAGATCGGGCGGAGCGCCGCCTTCTGCCACCCTCCGCGATGCTTCCTCTTCGCGTTCGCTAGCAGGGGCATCGGGCTGGCCTAGTAGGAACAGGCTCTGTGCGAGCGCTTTGTCTGCGAGGAGGCTATTGCTAGCTGCGCCGATCTGCTGGGCCAGGGACGCAGTCAGGGAGAGATAGCTTGGATTGCTAACAGATCCAGGGGACTTAGAGGAGGCTAGCTCTAGGAGACTCTGAAGCTGGCCCGGTAACCAGCCCGGGTATCGGTCTAGATGACCAAGTAAGCTCCCGGCTAGAAGGACCAGCCTAGAAACAGCAAGCTGGTGCCCTGCCAAGAAGGTTGCGCTGTCCCCGCTGCCGCTCTTCCCGGCCTGCCTGGCAGCCTGCAACTTGAGAGCCTTTGCAGCCGTCTTCAGGTGTTCCACCGCTGCCGTTAAGAGCCCTACCCTGTCTGCCCGCTCAAAGAGATGGAAACCGAGGAAGAGCACAGAGACCTGCCTCTGATTGGGCAAGGACGCAAGAGCGTGCTCCAGGGGTGACAATTCCGCGTCTGCCAGAACGACGGGTTGCTGATCAGAAATTGGGCTGACAGCAAGCGACCCGATGCTTTGAAATACTGCTTCCCAGATCGCAGTGACTAGAGCGCGCAAGCTCGCTCCGTCCCCTTCAAGTGGCGCCTCTTCGCTTTCTGTCCGCTTGCCAGCCTCCTTGTCCGCCGCTTCCCCGCTCGCGACTGCCGCCCCTCCCGCGCCTCCGTCTTTCTGGAGCAACCACTTGGCCAGAATCGCAAGCAGGACGTCCGACCGGGCCCCTTGAGTGTACAACTGCACCGCCAGCTCGCGCACCAACCCCGGAGTCTCGGCCAGGCGTCCGTCTTGCACCGTCAGCGCCTCCACGAGCTTGCACAGCGCCGCCCGCAGAGCCCCAGAGCCCAAGCCTCCCGCCCCGCTCGCCGCACATGTCGTCACAATGGCCGCGAGGTGCTCCTTCCTCAGCAGCGAGCACGACGCATCGAGGACGGCCGGGCACCAACGGCTGTCGAAAGCGCAGCCTCCCAGGAACTGCGCGACTTGGATGGCCGCTTCTGCCCATCCCCCGTGGCTGACTTCCTTGGCGGGGGGGTGAAGGTCCACGGGTAGCTCTCGGTGTGAGGCCTCACTCACCCCCCGGCTGCCCATCGCCTCTTGGAAGAGGTCGCCGAAGAGGTTGTCTTCTTTCGGAGGAGGAGCTGCCACAAAGAACCAGAGCGGTTGATCTTAGTTTCTGCCCTGGCTTAAAAGAAAGATGGCTTTACAGAAGGTACGGCCACTTGAAACAAACTCCTACTTTGAGAATCTGCAAGGTCTGAATTTCATAGTACATGCCATGCATACAGACAAGGTGAGTTGGACGGCATTTGCCAGATTGCTGACAATCAACCTGGTGAACTGCGAAACCGACTGTGGATCAGGTCAATGAAGAGCTTCTTTTAGAATCCAAGCACATCGTTTCAACTCACATCCGACATCCTTTCCGAGTGACCAGATTTGATTGTCTGCATGATTCTACCGCTGTTGGCAATCCTTTGGCCACGTTCATTAATAGCAAACAGCCTCACTGCTCTCAGCACGAGAAACGCAGGGACCAGGCGAACTGACATCGACTCCTAGCTTGTCCTCGCATCACCTTCAGCAAGACTCAGCTTCCATGCACAGAGTTTTTTGGCAGCCAGAAAGCCATGCGTACCCGACTTTGTGCTTTGGCTCCTTGAGAAGGCCGCCCCGCCGTCGTCCGGAAGCCCCACGTTGACCTCGGACCGCTCTTCCGGTCCGTACCCTTCTTGATCTGGATTCACCAAAAGCATCGCCACAAGCCTGTCCAGCCATTTGCCAGCAGGGGGCAGGATGAGCCCCAGAAGAGACTCCCTGCTGTGCTTCCTCCTCCACTCAAAAGCCCCCAGGAACGGCTCAGACCGCGGCAGCCTAATCAAGCGTCTCGGCTCGAAACTGGACACTAGGCTCGCCAAAGTGTCCGACGCCTGCCCGGTTTCTGGCTCCACTCCGGACTGAGGGTCGGAAGGGGCCAGCTCTTCGTCCACTTCCTGAATGAGCTGGACCGCAAGGGACACCACCGATGGCCCCAGGTCTGGAGAGCTTCCCCCGGGACTTGCATGCTCTTCCCCACTGTGCGGAAGACTCTCGTGCGCATCTGAGAACGCACTGCCGGGCTCAAGCAAGGTTTCCAAGTCCGGCATCTCCAGCCGCCCAGTCGTGTCGATGAGGGTGGCGGCAAGCAGCATCTTAAGGTTCACGAGCACAACCGGGCTCACTCGCGCAGTCTCGGCTACTCCAAGAAGCTCGTTGACCAGGAGAAGCTCGCTCGGACCCTCTTCCCCGTTGCCGTCAACCACAGGTTCCGGGTTTTGGAGGCTTTCGAGCATCGATCTGTACACTGCCCCGATCTGAGAGGCTATGAGGACCAGCCATGACTCTACCTCTGTGGCGATGTGGACGGGCGCCTGAAGGAGCAGAATCTCCTCCAAGTAGAGCATGAGCTGGGAGGCGAGCGAGAGGTGCCTGCGCACCGCGTGCCATGTTCTAGGCCTATTTGTGGGGGCGGAAGTGGCTAGAGGCTGCAAGAGGGCGTCGCAGATGGCAAGGATGCGCTGCACTAGCCGGGTGTGGAGGATTGCGTGGTGCAAAGTGGCAGAGGGAAGGTCTTTGGCCAATGGAAGCCACGTCTCGTTCTGGGGCCTGAGGCCCTGGCTGTGACCATTTTCTAGCTGGACTGCCCAACGGAGCGCAGATGCCAGGCTTGGGTCCCTTGCGTCGCCTAATGGGGCAGGAACTGAACAGAAACAAAGGTTTCACCAAGTCAGAAGTGCACAGATTGGCCGAAATCTTTCACTAGATTTGAGATCAAACAGAGCTGTCCTCAACAAAGGTACACCTGCTGTCTGCATCAAGGAAGCTACAGACTGGTCAGGACAGGCCACCATAGCTGGGACAGCCTGCAAGCCTTCTATGCCCCAGACAATGTCCAATGATTCAAGGTTTGGCCTTACCTGGAGTGCTGTTGTCCCTGCTTTCTCCACCAAAGAGCGGCTGCTCTTCTGCATACTTAGAGGCTGCTGCCTGAGCATCAGCCCTCTGCGCCTCTGCCTTTTCTTTGACGGTTGCAGCCTCCAGGAGCTCTAGAAGGGCCAATGGATTCTGCAGAATTGTTGGTTGATCAGCAGGCCTTTCCAAAGGACTATTGTTACTGTTGGAGAAAAGCTAAGACTGCAGAGCCAAACTTGGCAGTGCGGAAGGAACATCAAAGAGGATTTTGTGCCTGCGGTCCACGTTTTGAAGACCGCAGGTAAACAACTCTTGGTGCTATACTCCATCAGCTTGACAAAGTGGGTAAGGAGTCTGGTTAGTTGTATGGTCAAGAACTGTAATCGAGCAAGCCAGATTCTGAGTGTCAGAACAAGCTCTTGAGGAAGGAACAGGTACTGACCGGCGCGCTGGTCTCTGCTGCGAAAGTGTCTGCCTTCACTTTCTTCTCCAAGGATGTGAGTGCGAAGGCCACTGCCGACGCATGTAGAGCCCTGGACAGAGGCTCCCCTGTGTAGCAGAATATTTTGTAGTGAGAATTTATCTAGTTCCTTTGAGATCAAAAAAGACAGGGGAATAGGGCAAGGTGTGGTGTCCGCATGAATTATTGAACACCCGCTGTGTTGAGGCACTTTCGAAAACGACTTGGATTGAATGCCAGGCCACTTTTTCAAACGCAGGTCACACTAGCTACTTAGAGTCGATACTGACCTCCAGGGCTGGTTGCAGTTTTGCAGATGACAGCATGCGTCAGGGTAGCAAGGAACCCGTCTTGTTCTGCTGAGAGGTTGCACTGCGCGTCCAAGCGAGTTGTCAAAGTACAAATAGCTGAGCGAATTTGGGGATCCTTCAGATCAAGGTCAACTGATTGCAAGGCGCTGATGAGTGGCTCCATGGTTGCAGTTGCAACATGTCACCTGCAACAAACAATAAGTCAAGATGAGGTTGCAGATAAGGGACTTTCGTGCGCCCTTCTAAATCGAATTTGTAGACTGACAATTGAAGAAGCGTCCATCAAGGACTTAAACATTCTTTTGATTGTGCAAGAAGGGGTCAACATTGGCCTCAAATCAAACCATTGACAATCAACCCCTCCATAAGCATCAAGGAAGACCGCCACAAGAGGGTGCTTGAGTAAACATCATTTGTCCTGCTTTTATTGACAGTTCTGGTGCCAAGTGGTGGTTGCGATACTCTTGTCGAAATAAGACACACTTGAATGCTAAGGCAAGATACTGCTTTGAATCAAAGTTGAGATGCTGAAGACAGCGCCAAACTCACTTCCTATTGCCTCACGCCTGCATCATTCCGAAGCCCTTGAATGACATCGATGAGACAAAAAACCCTCTTCTGCATTCAACCATTTTCTTGTGCATCTCGACTTGCGGCTATGAAAATTGGCTGCCCCATTGGCTCATCGTGCTGTACTCAGCTGAACTCCCTCTTTTGGCGAAAGAACACTGCATGGTGTTTGGGGGCGCCCCTGCAACGAAGCACCTCCAACTTGAAGGACCACAGCCTGAGGTTCCGCTCCTTTGAGACGGAGCGGAACGTTTACACAACGGAGTGCAGTCTGCCCGAGCCGGTTCCGTATAGTATGGCCGACCGGAGATTCCGGACCGGAAGAACGTATCCGTCAGACCGGAATCTGCCGAAGTGCACTCGTATGAGTTTCTGAGAGTCAGACGGTGGTTCGCGAAGGTTACGAAGGTTGAACTACCGCGGTAACTTGCTTTTCATCTTTTCACCCATGCTGATGAGATGCTGATCATTTTCATTGCAGCGGACTTTCTTCAATTAGACGTAATACAATCAGGAGCTCCTATCTTCAGCCATAACATTGTGCAGGTGTGCCGTACTGCAGGTTCACGTCCCTATATATGACTGCAGACCATGGAGTATACGTGTAAGCTCATCATTTTACAGGGCTCCTCGCAAAGTGTTTGACTCGTGTTATGCCGCTCCCAAGTCCAAATAGGCTACACAACGGCTTCCTCAAGTAAGGCTGACTCGCAACATCCGCAAGGTTGGCAAATCAACAGAATCAATTCCCTTTGCTTGCAATTAAAGGCTAACTACTGTGAGCTCATGGCAACACATGTGCAAGCTTTGCCTTCTTGGTGCTTGTTGGAACAACCAACAGAAAGTCACTCCATTCGTAGAAAGAGACCACAGGTAGCTGTCCGTCAAACCTCTTCGAAGCAGCCGGGTAATGGGGGCAACTTGCTAGACTCCACATGATATTGATGTGCCCTAAAGAGGACGTTGGCAACGGGCGAGCTGTTGAAGGAGAAACCAAGTTCCTCCATGCCTAAGAAGAAAATTTCCAATTCATGATTGCCGATTAGGAGCAGATTAAGAATGGTGCAAAGCTGTCACGATGCTGAAGAGAGTTTGACAAAAATGACAGTCTCTTGAAAGCTCCGTTTGCTGTCCCATAATGGTGGCTTTGTGGCGAAGTGTTGACCTCTAACACCCCTGGACCCCACGGCGTTCTCCGAGTCATGCTTGCATTGGCGAGTCCGTTTATGTGTCTTCAGAAGTCTCAAGTGTGCAAGTGAATCAGGTGTTGACTAACTAGAGAATGTACAAAAAAAAGCGGCTGAACGTGTTCAAAACTGTCTCTACTCCAGGTCACTACGTTATCCGCGACAGCTGCTGCATTTTAAGCCGTTCACCCCTCAAGAGACATTCACATAACGGCACTCAGAAGCATAGTCTCATATAAGCCTATCGTCTGCAACAGCATAGCTATGCGGGCCTCGTCCGGTAGGCTCGCTGTCCCGGCCGCCTGATACTGCAACAGACACGTAAAAACGAGAGTGAAATCTCGGTAGTAGAGGCGGCGTAACGTGCATTCTCGGAGTCAACATGTTCTCTCTCTTCTGCGTACTTGAAGCTTCTTTACTGTTTTTTGGAGCAACGATAGCGAGAGACGCTTAAAGTTGGAACTCTGGAGTTGGATTTACATACTGAAAGTACGCGGTTAAGGCAGCAGACAATCAGAAACATGAGTAAGTCTTCGAAGACCGCCTCTGGAGCTCGTCTTTGATGAGCCGGCCTTTCGAAACGGCGGGAAACGAAGACTAGTGTCAGCAGGAAACCAAGGCAACGGGGCGCGGCTCGAGCGCCTCATTCATTACCTCGAGCGTCGAAAGCTTGCTAATCGTCGCTCGAAGGATCGCCTCCGCTTCGCTTGGTAGCGGAACGCCCTCACCGCCCGTGCTTTCGCCGCCTGAAAGAGCATCAGCCTACAAAGTAGGGCGCACAAGAAGAGGGACTGTTGCGGGTTCATTGTTCTCTGCGGGCGTTTCGACAGCTAGCCTTAAGTTCACTCACGAACGGGAGGTTCGCCCGTTGACTCCACCATGCCATCCGATGTTCAGCCGGCGCCGTGATGATGGGCAACATGAAGTAAGCCAAGTCCGGGTTCTGATCTGCTTTCAGTCAGCTAAGATTCCTCCGTCTTCCGTCGCTTAGACGAATTTTGAGGAACTCGAACAGAAGGACCAAAAGTTGGATTATCGGCGCAAAAACTAGATCTCTGCATGCCTAGCCAAGACAATGAATCCGGGTAACAAACGAAAGTGGCTCTGTCACCAAATTCGCTGATATCTCTAGGGATCGATGTCCATCTCGCTGTTCAGGGACAGAACTTATCACGCTCTGGCTTACCTGTGCTTGCAGCGACTTGAGGAACGTTCGAGCGGGCACCAACCAGTCCATACACTCATCGCAAGACCCCAGATCTGCGCATATGCGAGCTATATCGTATCATGGCCCATCACAGATCACCCTTCATCTGACACATTTCTAGATATTGTCTACGAGCACGTCTTTGGATTCTGAAAGCGCGGTTATCTTCGTCAGAGTTTCAAGCAAACGTTTGATACATTTGTCCATAATCGTAAGAGTCAAAGTGCTTATGTAAGCAAACGATAAAGTGCTTTGGCGATGGGCACCTGTTTGGATGTGGGGCATGGCCACCATCTGGTCCGCCAAGCTCATGATGCGCTGCTCCATCCTTAAGGAAAGGGGAGAAGCGGGCGGAGTCAGTACCTTTCCATGTTTCTTGATCTGTCCGCACTGTATATACCCCGGTGTTCGTTCCTTACGGATGTGAGAGTCATTCGAAGAGTTGACCCGTTATGAAGTTTCAAATGGATTTGACGAACTTTTAAGTGCCCTATGTCGACCGTCTGGGAAAACCTCGTCTCCTGCTGAAGCAAATGCAGACTTTATCAAAACAGTTAGTTTTAGTGCATCCAGTCTCCGGGGATCCTCGTCGTCGATGCACGATTTTATTTTGTACGCAAAACTCAGCAGTAGACAGGGCCCTACGAATCTTTCGAGAAGGAAAAGAGAACCAGGCGTTATCCTTTCTCGAAACAAAATATGGACGAGCTCACAGCCAGTATCTAATGATAACTGATCCTTGGATTCCATCCATTATTCTAAGTCGATGTGTGAGCTCACTCCGCGGTCATGGCTTCGACCTGCTGGATCTGCCGCAGGTGCTGCTCGCTGCGCGCGTTCGCGGCCGCGAGCTTCCTTTGCGCGGCCTCGAGCAACAGCTGCGCGCTGCGCAGCTCCTCAGTCAACGCGGCGACCACGACCGCGTCGTCCTGGCCCGCCTGCGCGGGGCTCATGCTCGCCTGCGCGGAAGGGCCGCCAACTCAGGCAAATGGCGCCTCGGATGGTCTAAAATGTAAAGCTATTCGTAAATGGGGAGATCGATGTACCGACACTTCTCGAGTGCGTTGAGAACCGGGTCTTTAGACCCAGTACCAGGGCGGAAAAAACTGCGCGGGACTCATCCTCGCCTGCGCGGGAGGAGGGGCTCACAAGAGGTGATAGCGGCGATTTCACCGTTGCATGCTGACACATCCCTCTTTACAACGGTGACGCTCTGGCGGAAAGTCTAAATTCATATCCGTAGCTGCAAGCATCCGCCCCTCCACGCTCCCTGGATGCGCCAAACGCAGGGTTTAAAGAACTTCAAAGATGCGAGACGAAGTTGCAGCTTCAATCCGCTTATGAATGTCATTCACATTCAATCAATATCGACGCTGACATTCATGTATCGAATCCCTGAAGAAATGGAGATGCAATTCGAAAGACGAAGCTCGGAGGGCAACACGAGCAAAGAAACTGTCCAACAGCAACATTGCGGAGAACGAGAGCGGAGACACGACTTACGATGGGCATGCCCGCGTCCGCGGCGGAGGCCGCCAGCCATCGCTGCTCGAGATTCCGCACTTCCTCACGGGCCTGGTCGACCTGCTGACGTAAGTGGCCCTTGCTGTCGGAGGCGCACCGCACCGCATCTGGACGCGGAGAGAATGAGGTTAAGGCCCAAATTCTGAAAGATTCTTTCGTAGCCTCGGCTTCACGAAAAGTATATGAAGCATGTCGTCGGATGCGGGCAGTCAAAGAAAGGACAGCTCGGCGGATGGGCGTGGAATCAGCCGGTAGACGCTTCTATCAAGAATCCTTAGCAATGCAAGTAGCAAGCAAGAGCATGTTTGGCAATTCGCGAAGAAGGTTCAAACAACGGTCTCTCTTTCTGCCAATCTTCATAGCGATCGTCGTACAATTTTGGAGATCAGTCAATCTGAAGCTGCAATTAAGGCGTTCTCAAGTTCTGCCCCCGTACAGAAAGAAAACCAACCGCCCACATGTGGGAACGTGAGATGGGCGACTAGGATCGGCCCCCACCTATCCACTTCGAGAGATCGTCAGAGTCTGTGGCGGCCAGAAAATACTCTTTCCGTTTCACTTCCCCCAGCTTCTCGTTGTTAGTGAGTGTCACCCGAAACACCCAGTCCGTGGGAGCGTTCCGGCTGTCAGCCGCTTCCACGTGGCAGTTCTGGATTGGGACGACCCCGGCGGGAGCGCTCAGATCCTGCGCGAAAGATGGAGACGAGCTTACTGACAGCAGACGAGAGGAAGCGAACGGTTTGATGAAATCCTGAATGATGGCGAACGACGCTGAGACACTGGCAAACGTGTTTTCAAACGAAGGGGCTTGAAAATTCGTATGCTTCAAAACACTGCGAAGCTAGGATTGCTATCGTCGACTTCATGGTGGGGAAGGCACTTCGTATTTTGCTGGCAGCTGGGTGCCAAGAGATTGTTCGCCAAGATTTTGCATCTTTCGACGGGACGAGTGGAAACGGCAAACATCGTTGTCCAACCGCAGCTCCCTCCTGGACTAGTGTGAGGACACTTAGTTACCCGTGGGGCCAAAACTTGTAAGCAACTATTTGCTCGTATCTAACCATCTTTGCTGACTGCTTCGAGATGCTGTTCTGAGCGGTGTTACAACTCCAGTCCCAGGAATCTCACGTCCAGGTTTCGAGCTCGCGATACTCATCGAGCTTTTATCAGAAATATTTCAGGCTTGCGACTCACTTTCGTCACTATAAAGGGCAGAAGCTGGAGCATAAGATCCTTGATGACGAATCTATCCAGACAGTCTGCATAAGATAATCGAGCTCGTAATTTTCAAAACGCAGCCCACCTGACGACTCTTGAAGTAGAAGAGAAACGTGTCCTTGACAACAAAGTACCGCCGCTTCCAGGTTTGGATGTCACCGCCCCGCTTCATTAGAATCCCGCTCTTGTCAGGGTGCGCCCAGAGGGTCTCCTGTAAACACGCGGCATTGCGCTTGAGACTAAAGAGTCTGACAGGAGGGCAGTCTCTGAAAGGTCGACCAATCCAAAACGTGTGGTGTGGTTTCAAACAAAGCTCTGTCGAAGCGAAGAGCTGTCAAGCGCCTGCGCTCTCGATGCCTTCTGAACAAATGAGCTTGAAGCAGCTAGTCAATGGACCACCAGCGCGAGCACATTGGAAGAGATGGAAGGGATTTTCGCGGAACGTCCCTGCTTGTTTTGGCTTAGAAAGGGAGCGTCGTGCAATGAGACAAGGGATCATCAAGGGCAATATGAGGGTGGACTGAAAAGACTCTGGCTAGAGAAGCAGCAACCTGCATGCGGTTCTGGCAGCAGCATTATGACCAGAATTCTGAGAGCATGTGCGCTAAGAAAAGCAATGCAAGAATCAGTACGAGCCAAAGGGGCTGCACAGCAAAAGTGGTAAGCTACTGTCTATGTAAGCAGCCTAAGCTGGATGTCGTGACTGCTTTTTCATTGACAGCACTTTTTAGCTTCGGAGTTGACGGCATTGGGTTAAAACAAGCTCTTGGTCGTTCTTGCTTGCACATTGAGATGATATAACTTGCACATTGGTCCGCACAGCCAAAGTGGGTCGGGCTTCTCACCAGGTTTTCCATGGAGAGCTTAGCAATCTCTTTGATCGCTGATTTTGCCATGATCCAAACGCCTGTCTATCCAAGGACTGTGGCTGGACTGCTGCCTTTTCTCCAGTATCGCTGGTCTTCTACAACCTTACGGCGGGCTTCTCATTGTGGGCGACCCTTTTTCCCCCGGCTAATAGATTCTTTTGCATTCAGACATACTCCAGTATCCTTCTTGTAGGGATGGAGAACTTCTGGTCAGGATCCTACTTCTCCGTCTAAGACGCATGTCCCTGAGCCCGTCAGGTGATTTGGTTTCCTTCTAAGAAGATTTGAATCCGTTTCGTGCTCCCTGAATCAAAAGGAGCTTTTCAAAAGTGCGCCACTATCGAACTCGCCACTTCGATTCGACCAATCTCATCCTCGACCTCTTGACTGCTCAAGCCTTCGAGATCAGTTGGCTGGCGAGTGGGCACCACCGAGGATACTTTCGTTAGATAGGTACACCTGAAAAGCAAAGTTTATGCAGAATCGGCTGTGATGGGACCTTTCCGCTTATGAAGGCTGTGGCGAACGAGATTAGCTGTGTCGTGAAATGCAAGGAATATGTGCAAGCAGCACGGCCTGTTGAGCTAACACTACTACATGTATTGTCCGCACGTCCTCGCACCGTCGAGGCAAACGAAAGCTAGAGTAATATGCAACGCTTGCAGTTGAAGGCGCAACATCTAATATGTAAAATTGAGAATCTTTTCGTCTTACAATCCTAGTGACCTGAGTGGAGTTCATCGGACACGTGTAAGGAAGCCTTCAAAGCTTCGGACGTGCTTAGCAGGGATCATTGTTGGCAACATATGCAGGGCTCGTGAAAACCTCATTTGTGATTCTGCATTCAAGGAAGTTTCAGAATTCAGGGAAGTACGAGCAGAAGAGCCTGGAAGGCGAAACGTCGCGGGCGAAGCCCGGCCAGCCTGACGCGGCTGAGCAGACCGGCCCGCGCGCCGCGCGGCCGCCTTCTTCATCCGCGCGCGCAGGGTACTAGTGACGTCAAGGACGGTCGGCCTGCACTGCATGGGCCGACGCCGGGGCTCCGTGTCGAGGGAACCGTCGATTTGGATACGTCGTTCGCATCCGTTCCATGATGACGTAATGATGTACTTTTGAGCAGCGACGAATATGTGAACGTCCGAACCAGGGTTATTTACATTCAAGCCCCGGGTGGCAAGCTGAGAACATGGACCGGTACCTGGCCGGCCGAGAAGAAACTCCGGCCGGTGCCGAAGGAACCCACCGGCTCCATAGCCTGTAAATTTTGCAGGCCAACTTTTAACATGGTGGCCTCACTACACGGCCGGTATTAAACTACCGAGTGGCCTGGAAGCCCGGGTGCCGGCACGTGGCCGGCCGGTTCGAAACTTGGACACCCGAGCAAAATTCAAATACCTAAACGAACGATGGGAGTAACGTCAAAGTGTCCGAAAGCTGTTACGTTTTGACGTAGGCTTCCGACGTGGCAAGACAAGTGGCTGACGACGAGCGGCACTCGGACACATGTGATCCGCCCGGATTTCGTCTCAGCCAGAAGCTCTTCTTCCCTGACGGCTGCAGTGCTGCTCGCAGCCTGCGTGCAGCCTGGGAAGTTGCAGTTTGGTTACGAAACCACCATTTCAGCACAAGAGCTTTTCTAGGGTTCAATTTCGTGGGCATTCATTCTCTCTATTGATGCATGCATTTTGGGGGCGATACGTACCTTCCTCTTTCTGGGCGCCATCGTTGAGCAAGAAGCGAGCGAAAACTTGTATTGTCTGTAAGAATTAGCACAAGAGAAGCTCTAAGAACCAGACGCGCTGACAACAAAATCTCATCTCTCCGTTCTGCATTTACGTAGAAACTTAATTAGACTTTGTTGTGAGTCTAGCACTAGCTATGGCGGACTATTTCCCCGCCCCGGGGCGGAACCACCTGTTTGTGCCGGGCCCCACAAACATCCCGGACAAGGTGATTCAGGCAATGGCGAGGAACAATGAGGATCATCGGTCCCCGGCATTCCCCACCTTAAGCAAGACCTGCCTAGAAGATGTCAAGAAGCTGTTTGCAACCGAGAAGGGCCACGCATTCATCTTCCCATCCACAGGTGGGGCGCGCATACGATGCTTTTGTGCAGGAACGATAGACCTATCTACCAGGAATGTGAACATCATTCCTTCAGAAATTCTGCAAAAGATGCTATGCAAGATGTCATGAGGGCCACAGATGCCACATGCCAACTTCTGCGGAAGCATGAACTTTTCTTTTGCGGTCATCTGTTTCTTGCTGGTAGGTTTGGTTTCCAAGACTGCAGTGATTGAGCTCAAGTAAAGACTGATATTTGCAAAGGTTTTAACATTTTCAAAACATGAGAAGTTGATAGGGCCCCAGTATGGGATGTCTGTGCCAGCTTTTCGGTTGAATTACAGATTTGTAAATGCAGTAACTGAGAATGTATTGAGTAGGATTATGGGGATAGGAATACGGATGCAGTGAAGCTGCTCTAAGTTTTCCAGATCGACATTCCGACCTGGATCAAGGACTCAGTGAAGACAAGCTTTATAGTCCTAAATTACAAGGAAGCCGAAGCAAACTTCACAATCATTATACTGAGGTAGGTCGCGCATCGCCTCCGTATGAAAAAAACACAAAGGCAGTATCTCAGCAGACTTACAGGTCTTCTTAGGGTTTCTCTGAAGCCAAGAAAGCATCAGCCGAATTTTGATCAGGTGCACAGTGGATTGCAGGAAGCAGTATGAAGTCTTCGCAAAAATTCTTCTCCCGCCTGTTGGCTGGTCTGTGACTCTAAAGAACCTCTAATCAGCCCTCTTTCGATCGGACAACGCCTCTACGTGCAATGAGCTTCTCTTGTGTCTCTTGCAGAGTCCCCTAACTCACAGCAGTCTCGTCCGCCAAGCACACACACTAGAAGCAGATTGATACCAAGATTGATTTTGTCTTTATTTCCCATGCCCTTCTCATTGTGCAGGGACCGGTGGGTGGGAGAGTGCTCTCACCAACACGCTGTCCCCCGGTGACAAAATTGTCTCGTTCCGTGTCGGCCAGTTCAGCCTGCTGTGGATTGACCAAATGCAGCGGCTCAACTTTGACGTTGATGTTGTCGACAGCGAATGGGGCGCGGGCGCAAACCTGGACGTTTTGCAGGTACGGCATCGTCCTCTTGTCTACTTTTATTCTGTGCATTGTAGGATGAAGGTGAATTTGCCTAAAAGATGAGGATTATATCAGAAGATGACCAGCTCAGTATCTCTTTCGTCCTCAGTGGCAAACCCGGCTAGTCAGCAAGTCATTCCGACGAGTTGAAGAAGGGTGTACCGCAAAGCAGAGGGAGAGTGAGGATGAACTGTGTGCAAAGTAATATTGGGGCGGCCCAAGAATTGGCCAGATTGAAAAAGAATGAAATCAGTGAGTGAGCTGGCATTGTGAGGACAAGGTCAGTCGAGTCAAACAAGCAAAAGAGTAGGAGGAGAACACCTGGACAATTCTTAGCACTGGATTGGAAGATGGATTGGACGGCCGATAGTGTGGGAATGTCATACCATACATGGATCAGCGCAACCGAGGAGATAAAAAGACGTCATGGTGCACCGTGTCTTCAGAAACAGTAGTCACTTGAAGCCAATTGTAGGAAGCGCCAAGTCGTAATCTAGCATGGAGACGAACAGCTCATAACAGTGTGCATTGTAGCCATTCCTCAGCTGATGTTACAGACTCATGCACTCTTCAGTGACGGCACTACGCAGCCATCAGTCAAAGCTCCCAACTAAACGAGATGAAAGGCAACAAAGCTCTCATACCACTCGAGTATGCAACATATGTAAGTGGTGCTCGCGCTGATTGTGGCCTTCCTCACCTCTGCTGCAGTCCAAGCTAGCTTCCGACCACGGGCACAAAATCAAGGCGGTGTGCGTGGTGCACAATGAGACATCCACGGGCGTAACCAACAGTATTGCCAAAGTCAGGGAGATCTTAGGTGAGCTGGACAACGAAACTGCTCTGATTGCATGTACATGGCTTCCACAGATGAGGAATTCTATTTGGGTAAAACCGGAGGGACTGTTGCGCGCATGTGCGACAGTCGAGCCTTGATGACTGGCTCATTGGCCTGCTTTTAAGCAAGACATGCATTGGGCTTTTGCTGAGCTCATGGACGAACGCGCTTCTGCATACAGTGAGCAGACACTATCTATTTTCTTGCAGAGTCTGTTGTTTACCAGCCATTACAAGTGCGTGAGCTGAAACTGCTGTACCCAGCACTGCCTGTAATCCTCCACCATTCGTCTCAAACCTCACTTTCAATGTTTATCTACAACCCATAGAATCGAGACACTGAAGATCATTGTATTCCTGTTCCCTGTTCTCATGTTTTTATCTAAGTCAATCCCTCATGTGTTTTCGCAGACTTTAATGACTATGTCTGAATCTTCCATTTTGAATCCTTTTGCAGACCGCAACCGCCACCCGGCGCTCCTGCTAGTGGACGGCGTCAGCTCAATTGGTGCCATTCCGTTCAAGTTCGACGAGTGGCGGGTAGACGTGGCGCTCACAGGCAGCCAGAAAGCCTTGTCCCTGCCCACCGGGCTTGCCGTTGTCTGCGCCAGGTGCGGGCAAATCAATCTTTTTTACATTCTGAGGGACGGGGTTGTGATGGAACCGAGAGAACTTGGTGAAGGATTCTGGTAGACGTAACAGGGAATTCTCACCTTCATGAGCTGTGCTCAGAAATGTTGGGTTTGCAGCCTTTGGAACACAGTCAGTTCTAGTTGTGTCGCAATTGTCATTATGGCTGGAAAGTGTCTCTTGAAGCTTGGCCAATGGCACGCTGAGCGGTATGGTATCAGAGCGGATCTCCCCGGTTGGAATGGATCAATGGTATACAGTGATATGAATGGAGGGGGACATACCATTGACTCACGGGGAACATGACGGTGCAGGGCTCGCAGTCCCAGAGAGTCAACAGGCCTTGAGCTGAGTGCCCCGTTATACTTCTGCTTTGAGCAATAGTTACATTCTGGAAAGCCTGTTATGGCGCTGTGCCAACACTTCTTTTAGGCCACAAGCGCTTTTTGAAACCTTGGAGGTACCGATAGACCCCTAAGAGTTGGTACATCTACAGTCGAAGGAACCAAGTCTTTCGTCCAAACCTTTGAAAACCTCAGCGCTCATTTGCGGAGTCTACCCTGCAGCCCCAAGGCTCTGGAGGCGGCCAAGCACGCAAAGAGCACGCGCGTGTTCTTCGATTGGGGCGACTACCTCAAATTCTTTGAGAATGGCACCTACTGGCCATATACGCCGTCCATCCAGCTGCTCTATGGGCTTCGCGCTGCGCTCGACATCCTTTTCCAGGAAGGGCTAGACCAGGTGTATGAGCGGCATCACCGCCTTGCGGAAGGCACCAGGTGGGGAGGAATGCTTCTATTCGATTTTGTTATTTTTCCTTGAGTTTCTCCTGATGTGGGACAGTACTTGGAGCAGTTGAGAAAAGAGGGGAGCGTTTTGCTGCAGAGGGCACCATATGCTGTGGGGAAAGAAGACGCGGGTTGGAGATCCCGACGATAATGTCGTTGTTTTGTAGTGGTTCTGCGAGGCTGCACCTGCCCCTCAGCTGGGGGGGTGGCCTGTTTAAGCAAGGGTAATTGGTTGAGCAGTTACCTCGCTCACGGCATGCTGACAAATCTTGGATAGCGTACCCTTGCATGTGTGAATGTTCAGAGAGGACAGAAAGTGGAGCGTTACAAAGACTGTGAAGATGACACCGGTCGAAGATAAGTCTTTAGGGGCAGGAAGAGCTTGTTAAACCTGGGCTTGAAGCGGGGCAAACCGGTGGTGGCTTGATAGAGCACATACGCTCGGTGTCAACGTTTGCCTACCTGTAATCACCTTTCCGCCTCCTCAAGAGACTCTGTGCAGCGCACCTTAATTGGTCCGCGGAAGATCGATGATCATTTCGCCTAGACGAATGAATTCGGGCTTTGTCGTCCTGTCGGAGATTGGAAGAATCGAGTTAGATGCGCCAGTGCACATGTGGGTTACGTCCTTGTGTCAGCATGGGCAGGGTCGCTTGACTCCATACCAGACACTGTGTCAGTAGCTTATAGCGAGAATGAAAACAAATAGTCAAGGTCAGATCAGGCCCAAGCGTGTGCACCCACGATTTGAGATGGAGCAAAGAGCAGATCTGACGCAGTTCTTCACAGAAGAGAATCGAAAGCGTTGTGGGCAGACACCAGTACAGGAATCCAGACACGGAAACACGCAGAGGGAGCGTAACGCCTAGCGCTTCACTGACACACTATTGGTATGGTGAGCAGGCGCGCCGTTGCTGCGTGGGGCCTGAAGCTGGCAACCAAGGACCCCCAGTGGAAGAGCAACACGGTGACGGCCGTGATGGTGCCCCCCGGGTTCGACAGCGGCGAAGTCGTCAAGGTCGCCTGGAAGAAGTACAACCTCAGCCTGGGGGTCGGGCTCAATAACGTCAAAGGGAAGCTCTTTAGAATCGGGCACCTGGGCAGCCTGAACGAGGTAAGATGCGAAACTGATTTCAAACGGAGAGGGGGCTGTCCCGGGGACAGATTTGGTACCAAGATTACTCCTGATGCGTGCACTGCTGTGCCTGGCGTTGCCAAATCGAAGCAGTGGTCGAGAATCATTTGACACTCTAGTCTGCTCAACCAGTCCACACTCACCGGAAGCAGTACGTCTCTCTCTTGACTCCTCATTATCTTAATGCTTGCATCTTTCAAGAATTTCATCAGTCAGGTATATCCCTGATCAAAGTGTAAATCCGAGCCAGCAAACTTGCGTTTCTCACCAACGTCGTTTGGGCCGCTCTCTTGATTCTGCCTGTTGCTTCTTTCCAGGTATCCATCCTCGGCGCTTTGGCCGGCGTTGAGATGACGCTGCGGGACGTCGGTATCAATGTCACTCCGGGGAGCGGCGTCGCCGCTGCGGTGGAATATTTCCGCAGCACGACCCCCATGATCAAGTCGCGGTTGTAAAGTTGATGTAAAAAGCAGTTTCAGATCCTTGTCAGCCATTGGAGCTACTTGGGGCGATTCTTGTTGTTGGGAGACGTTCCTGCGGGATGCAGTAATTGTATGCGAGTTGTTTATGAGACGTTTTGCAATCCGTTTCCTCCCATGCGGGGTTGATGTAAAGCGCTGGGCGTGTTGGTATGGACTCTGTGTAGGTGCGCAACAGTTTGACGCTGACTCTGATATGCCGTTGCTAGGTAACAAATCTTTGCAACTTAATCCAACATATCTTGGACAGTAATCACGACTCACATTGGAAGTATGCTTTCGATTGCTCTCAGGTAAGGGATTCTATCGCATCCTGAGTTTGAGTGGGCGAGTCAAAGCTTTTGCTTGCCATAATGAGCGGAGTATAGGGCCGTCATCTGGCATATACACACTTTTGACCCATATTAGACATCCTGCATGAGTATCGTAGCCCTAGCTAAGCGCCACATGACAAATGCCGCCTGCTCATCATACATTTATATGCGGTATACATTATGGTTTAAGTATTAATTGGTAACTCCGGCTTGTATATACTGAGAGACGTAAAGACTAAAACTAAGTTACCATGTCGGATGTGCTTGCATGGCCACCCCTCCGACGTGGTCGGTACCCATGCGCCAAAGTTGAGCCGACTATGCACGGGCATGGCACATGTGATGCTACGATCGCATCGATACTAGCTGGCAAGCTTGAGCTAGCATCTGAAGATGTGCTTGGTTGTAACTCAAGGCTTGTGCGGTTTAAGGCATGCAGGCTGCTGTCCCTATAGGCTATAGGATATATCTGATCCGGGTCAAGGCAGGCATTCACATGGCACTTACGCAAGCACTGGCATGCTGCCCTCTCCATGCATGGCATCTTAGCTTTCAACAGTTCAACTTAGATTGCATGCGCCATTTAGAAAAGAAAGGAACCAGATCCAGTACGTACGTACGTAGAGGTATATCTTCAATTTGGTCCTTAAGAACGCTTCGACAAAAGTTACATCTTCGTTCGGACAGGTCACAATAGTTGCACCATGGCCCGGCCAGCTCAAATCGAGTAGATCTCACCTAGGGAACCAGAAGATTCCATTCATATGACCGTGATGCAGCTCAATGCAATTTAGGAAATCAATGTCACGAGTGGACCGTTTATCTAACAAGGTTATGCAAGAGCAAGTTGATCTCTGTATATTCCTGTAGGTCCTGAACTTGTCATTGTCAATGTAAATTCAACTGAGACTAGACAACCACTTTGTACATATCCGTTGATGCTCTGATACTAAAGGCAATTGCGCACAGCTTTCTTACAAAGCTATCGCTGATCGTGATAGCCTACTGCGTTGATTTCTCGTGCAAGCTGTTGCTCCTTACCTCCCTTCGGTCTTCGTACGGACAACTGATGCAACTCGTGTGACACTACAGTAGACTCTCTTTGTCTCTGAGACCTAGCTAGAGTGACACGCCGACGACTCTACTTATTTACAGAATGAATCTTGGAATCCGACTTGCTCCATCGGTTTGACCATCCACAAAAGTGACTCCTACTTTGCTGGCTCCTCCCAAGCTCGTCGTTGCTCTCAACCACCTCTGCCCTGAGGGTCTCGGCCCTCCTACAAGCCTCCATCGAGTCGCCTGCTTTTCGTGGATCGCCCCCCTTTTCGCTATCGCTCCCCTTGATCATTCTCGCAATCTCAACCGCCTGCTGGGCCTCTAAGAATGCCCACAGAACCCTCCTCCTCGACGCTTCATAGAAGGTCCGCAGCTCTTCGCCGTCGCCTTTCGCCCAGGTCGATGCAATCCGCACTGCCTCTGGGGTGGAAGCGGGTCGGAGCACTCCCGCTGGAGAGTTCTGGGAAGTACTTGCCTGTGGAGAGCGTAAGAACTTCAGTATTTGAAGACAATATACAGGGGTGCTTGGACTCTGCTGAAAACACCTCTTATTGCATTCGAAATTTTTGCTTGGACTCTGCTGAAAACACCTCTTAATGCATTCGAAACTTTGAGTTGAAGACATGTGTGCCATGACCAGAGGTGACTGTGAGGTAGGTGATAGACATCATAAGCTGTCAAGGGGCATCGAGGAAGTGATCTCAGGATATCAAAGAAGTTTCTATTGACCTACTGGTTCTCTGCTTAATACACAATCTGCTCTCTAAAACCAACTCTTCACAGTTCTTAGCTGCACGCCATCCAAGATGGAAGAGCACAAACGGCAGGCCCACGACGCAGCAATTAGTAAGCAGCCATCTTTTGCAAAATGTTCGTGGTTAGCAGCACATGGCGCACCATAGAAAAGGGATCACACAACAGCCTTCCATGACAGTAAGCATTGAAGCCAGCCTGACAGTCCGTTGTACTAGTCAGAGTCAACATAATACTGGCCGAGTTGTCTCAATTGCGCAAGCAAGAGTAGAATGCGCAACCTGTGCAAAACATTGAAAGCTTGCAGCCAAAATGAGCCGACTGAGCAAAGCATGAAAGGGAACTTCCAAAGTGCAATGAAAACACCAACTAAACTCAACTTACGGAACTGTATGAAAGAAAGCCAGAATCGATTTGAAGTAAAAGCAGAGGAAAAAGTGGAATTTTCAAGGGAAAATGGCTTAAAGTAACCAAGACATCAAACACATACAGCAGGTCTGATTCTCACTTGATGGTCGCACTCCATGTCACTGCTATCGTCAACTTGTATTGTCAATTTTCGCCGCTGCGTTGGTCGAGCAGAGTCTCTAGCGTCGCTGCTGAACCGAGAGTCCATAGTCCTGTATGTCACAGTTATGCAAGCTGCCATATGACAACCAAGCCAGTGACTTGCCAAACGTCTACTCCAAGCTGGTTGAGAGTATAGCGCTATCCGTCAGGTTCAAGGGTGTTCGAGAGGAGGAAGCTGTCAATTGAGAATGGTTGTAGAGAGGACTTTGGATTAAAGAGGGGCAGCAGCCACCTCCTTGCAAGATTCCCCTCGAAAGATATTTTGTGGCTGACCCTGCCAAGGAATGGACCTGGGTCCGGCGATACAAAAGCTCTTGTATCAATGCTTGGGTCGAAGCCTGCAGGGTGCAGCTTCCAATCTGCAACTTCAAGGGGAAAAGAATGCTCGGAAAAGGTGCAATTGACGGAAGCCATGCCCTTGAAAGTTGAAACGTTCTGTTTGTTGCTGTGTCACTGTCAGAGGGGGAGGATTGCCGACTCTTCCGAAGCGGATACCGAAAGCGGATGGCGCTTTTCTTATGCTTTGGCCCAGCCTCTACGAGATATCAGAGATTTTGGTAGATCGCAAGGAGGGGGTGGCGGGCCAGAGGCCACGAGAGTGATCAATAATCGGATCGAATCGTGGCTTATACAATCAGCTCATCAGGAATATAGCGCACATGGGTAAATTTATGAAGCGTCCTCGGAAACGGCAAGACAGGATGAAAAGACGGTTTCGACTACCAACACGCTTGCGATCCTAAATGACCATGGTGAAGAAGTCGCCGTCGAAAGCATTGTATACTCGTCCAAATGCCGGGGACCTGGAAAGTGAATGGATCTTAAAATCTTCAAAATTCCAACCGCACAGATTCTGCAAATAATATCAGGATTGTGACGGCAGTTCAAATCGGTTTCGATTCATATGATGCAGCACACGTACCGCCATGACTGTCGGCGGCCGCCGCCGGCGGGATTTGCCGCGCCTGGCCGAGTGACGCCAGCCTGGGAGACTCGAGAGTCATGCAAATTTAAACCGATTGGCTTAAGCTGCTTTGCAGCCGCCAGATGACAGGATCGAACGGTCTAAATTGCCCGGTATCAGTGTCCCGAGTCAGATGCAATGACGCAAAAGGGACAATCTACACTATTTTATTAGTGTCTCCGGTCGATCTGTCCGAGAGTAAATACTCTCACAGGGCGTCAATCTGTGCAGGCATTGGTTGATGGTCTGACATGTGTCAA